GTCAACCTATTACTAATGTTAATGGTCTTAAATGTACCATTTCTTGCGGCGGTCTAGTTAGATTGTTGTTTGTTGCATTGTAAGTCGCAGCACAAAATTCAGAACCACATTGTTTCAGTTCATATTCAGGTATGTTGGATTCGTTTGAGTCAGTGTGTAAAAGCACAGAGGCAGCTATGTTCCCACCGATTGCGGCTACAACAAACATTGTATCTGTCATATCCATACACGACCTACCCTGCGCGCAGAGTCTAGTTACAAACTACGAAAAAAGACGAAGCTCTCTTTTAAGAAGTGAAGTCGAACGAATTCAAAAGGTATACACGACCCGGGTCGCTGTATGTATTTCAACATATTGTATAGGCATCACGGCTTATACAATTATAAGTTAACAAGTTTAAAATGAATTTAAATGCTTCAAAACACACTTACACAGTCCAAATATGGCATAGAAAATACCAAACAATCTGTTTACCACATCCCCACATGGTTCCCCACTATTCAAGCTATATGTACGAGCAATTTGTGTCACGTAGGTCGACTGAGATGTCCATAAGGGCCCACCAGCTAACCCGCATAGAATTGCTCCAGGAATGATAGTCCACCAAGAAGCATAAAGATTAGCAGCAGCATATGCGGCATAACCAATAAAGCTTACAGCAACGGTATTTTTACACCCAATTTTTCTGATGCAAAATTTAGGCAGTAATAAATTTGAAAGCATCAACGCGCCATAGAGAACAGCCAGGCCGGTTGTTCCAAGCCCTGCATCAATGTTGATCGAACTTTGCAATGTTTGCACTGATGTATAAGCTGTGAAGTTCAGCATAAATGACAAACTCAGTACTCCAACATTTTTGTACAATGTTTTCTTATCCATTTTAAGTTTTAAATGTTACTTTAAGATATTGATAAAATACACGGGAAACCTTATTACAATGTCCATATTAGACGTCTATATATTAAACGTGTATTTTGTGTGTTGATTGGATGTAAAATGATAAGGTGCTCTATTGACTGAAATTATCTTGAACATGGAGCACTCACAGAAAACAAGGGTTATAGATGTAGTACTATTTCATTTTTGTTTGTATTTGTTAATATTTATTTTGTTTATTACATGTACTGTGTACATTTGTGCTCAGAATACAATTCAATGGTAAAGATTGGACAAATTAATTAAAAATTAAAAAGTATTTGTTCCGTGAACAAGTACATTATCTAAGTGTTATCTAAATTTCATTGAGTATATAAATATTAAATTCGAACAAAGTCAATATTTCTCGAGGGGTATATTCGTCAACAATATCCCGGGTAATATGAGTAACGTGTGACGTCATAATGTCAGGCTGTAGTAATGGCGGACCATAATAAATATTCGAAATATTTTGGCAAGTGATATTTCGACGAATAAACCCCTTAGGCTGGGCCCTTTGGTCGTTCGGGGTACAGAAAAGGTGTGTCCCCAACCATGCGGGGTTAATTCTTCGATATAACACCCGATGTTTGGTCTATATTTCTTAAGTATCTCATCAATTATTTGATTAAATGAAGGGTAAAAATGTATTTGAAAATGTAAACTCGCATTATCCACATTCGTCAACATAACATGATACAAGAACAAGAACGGTTGTTTGGAGAATCTATATCTTGTTATCAGACCTCAGACTACAGCCTCGCTTGTTGACCTCATTGACGCCCCTTACGAGCAGTTATGCTAAAAGGATAGTCGTTTCTCATTTTTATTATTCGGTATATTAGTTTCGTTGTCTATACAAATATAAAGACTAAAGGACCAACATTTTCCAGCTTATCTAATTTAGGATTTTATATAAACAAACGCAATGAGATATCTACCCACAAACTTATGAATATAATAAACGGGATATGTAGATAGTAAAATTACAATCAGTACATCGGTACATCTTTTTATGACATATAGACTTGAAACATTCTTAGATAGGCACTCGTGGATAAGATATCCATACTTTATAACTTCGCATGTGTACATTTTTATCCAAGACAAACGCTTACTAGCTAGCTTAAATAAGATATAAAACATTGCCTGTATTTACATTCAGAATAACGGGGACTATATACAATATGCCTTTAAGAATGGTGAACGTTTTCAAACAAGGGAGATATACATACACCCATATAAAGTAACGTGTTTTCAGAGGAGCTGAACTTGAAAGACTTGACACCATGGGAGATGTAGATGCTTTGAAAGTTGCTAAAAGAAGAGTCTACAAAAATATTATAGTGTTGGGACTTGCATTCTTATTAAACTTTTCTTCGTATATAACAGCCCAGGCATTACAAAGTTCAATCAACCTTGAAGAAGGACTAGGTACAACTGGGCTAGCCGTACTATATGGAGTATTCGTAGTATCAAATCTGTTTTTGCCTAAATTCTGCATAAGAAATTTTGGTTGTAATTACACTATTGCCATTAGCTTCATTGGCTATGCCGCATTCGCCGCTGCGAATCTGTATGCTACATGGTGGACTATCATTCTTGGAGCAACGTTGTGTGGACTCTCTGCTGGTCCTTTGTGGACATCTCAATCGACATATGTAACACAAATTGGACGTGCGTATAGCTCGGATAGTGGGGAACTGTGTGAAGATGTGGTCAGTCGACTGTTTGGAATTTTCTATACATTAATGTCGCTAAGTATGGATTGTTTTATCATAGAAAAATGACAACCATAAAACAAGGCAATTACATTGTAAAATGTCAACATTTGTCATTTGTTACAGATGCCAAACGCCGAACACCAACTACTTAACACCGTCCACAAAAAGGTGGAGACAATAACAATATGTCACCACTTATTGTAAAAAATAGTGCTATATAGAGTATTCAAAATGGCGATTTACACCTGGCAGCATTTTTACTATATATATAAGAGTATCATTATAGTATACGAGTATCATAAATGTTTTGGCAGGTGCAATTGGTGGCAACATTGCAAGTTCAGTACTGCTGGCTAATGTGGATAACACAACATATGTTCCTGTGACTGAGCTTGTGCGCTGTGGAGCGGACTTCTGTCCAGCTGACTATAATGCTACTAATGACCATCTGACTAGACCACCACAGGAAACCGTGAGTTGTATAGTGGGTTTACAGGGTCAATAATGTGGCATATTAATTTCTGTGGCATTGTTTGATGTGATATAGAAAGTATCCAAGAAGATTTGGAACATGCAAACTTAAAACTTTACCACTAAATAATGTAAAATGTGTAGAAGGTAATACTATTAATGTCATACGGCATTTGATAATTACTACTTAACATAGTATAATTTAGTACTATACAATAATAATGCCAATCATACATTTGGACTTTACATTATATTTTTCATTTCAGATTCAAATACTCATGGTGATATTTATTGCGTTGAACATACTTTCCTCCATTCTTGTCATAGTGTTCCTGGATAAGATAGATTACGATAAAAAAGAAGAATCCTCCAAAGCTCATCCTTGGGAGAATAATGAGAAGACTCCACTAATGAACTCCGAAAATAAAAGAAATGAAACAAGGAACAATTCTGCAGCATCCTTTGACTATGACGTATCTGGACACTTCAAAGTTCGACCAGGCAACGATTGCGATAGCAGCGTTAAAGTAGTGATTACAGCAAATGACCATACTGAAAAAGCAGGTATTGATGTCATCCCTGAAGAGAAGGTTACTTCGTCTGGGAAATTAACGGGAAGCGTAAAAGCACTGGTATGCATATAAATTATGGTGTAAATTCTGTGTCAAAAGTATTACATACCTAATTTAGCTGTTTTGGTGCACCAAAATAAAAATCAGTCCATATTTTATATTCATGGCATATTTAGTGGGAATCCCGGTACCTATCTTTATATTAGGTGTATGTTGAAAATTCGGTTACCGAACTTTATTTTTATAAATGGTTTTAGTATTCTAATAAAATCCCCCTTTACAATGTGATAAAGTAATATGCCAACAAAGCATATGTGCACTGATTCATTTAGGTCATAGGATGCAATTTTATCAAAACTATAACATTTAAAAAGTAGAAACACAATAACTGTATACGTAAGCGGTATATTTCAGAGTACAAAGGTCGGGAACGAAGATCAAATAAAATTAAGCTGGGCAGAAAGACTGCGGCCAGAACTCCTCATAGCAACAGTTAAATTGATGATAGATGTACGACTGATGCTGATCATTCCTCTGTCCTTACTAAGTGGAATGTTACATGGTTTTAGCACAGCAGAGTTGACACAGGTAAATGCTATAGTACGACTCGTATATAGTGCATCTAAACTATGAAGTAACATTATAAGAAACTACAATCTCCAATATACCCCTTCGCCAACCATTCGGGAATCATTATCACAATCCAAGACCACAAAGCCATGGGACATTCTATTCATACCGAAGACCATTACAATACATTTTGAAGAATGAATGAAAAAAATGAAAACGAATGCCAAAACAGCCGCTGATACAAATATTGATATTACATTGATATTCTGTACCATTTTTTAACAGAATTGAAGCCATTCTGGGAATTTGATGAGGTTTATACTTAATACTATCCTTGCATCATATATTTCCTAGTCGTATGTAGGATGTAGAGAGGGTATTTGGATGGTTGGCTACATAGCAATGGCGGCTGGAGTGGCTGCTACATTAGTGTCAATGGCCATTGGGAAAATAAAATCAGTTGCTAGAGGCGTCTCCTTCATAACTGGTAATAACCTTTCATCAACAGCATTTCAACCATTAGATCATTTTTTACTCACATTCACCCGAATGGGTAGCCCTGGACATACTAAAGTACAGATTACAGAATTTCAGAAAAAATGCAAAGATAACTTAAGTAAAGAATATTTTTTACTAAAGATATATACGAGAGTAAGTCTATTTTGACGAAGGATTATGACATCACACTGACAGCACAGTAGGGGGAAATGCTATAAATCAAGGAGAAATATTACTTATTAAAAGCATGAGGATAGGATATTGTAAGTGAATTTAGAATCTATGTGGTAACAACAAGTGCCTATTACTCTATACATTAGAGAGATTCCGCAACTCACTTACAGCATGTTTTTATTATCGTATAACTTACGAAGCGTTTGATTACATCATAATTATTTGCGCAGCACTATACGTATAGACTACGATTTATAAAAATATCACACATATGGACGCACAGAGCTGCGCAATAGATTATGACGTAATCAAACGCTTCACAACGTATACGGAAATAATAAGCATGCTATAACTAAGGTGTGAAATCTGTCTAATATTTAAAAACCGCCCCTATACTCATTGATGTCACAATTCCAACGATTTTGACAATATTTCAAGATTAATCTACATCGTTTATTTTTGTCCCATTTGGATTTGGCCCTTATACAACTTGTATATGATTATTAAAATTGCAGACAGTATTCAACATTGACATTCTCTATTTCACCTACGTCCAAAAGGTGCGTACTCTATTCTAAAGCTGCTTATTTCTTTCAATTCCAGCTATTGTTATGAGTGCAGCAAGCTTGATTCTTGCTCTGGTGTGGAAAGATCTCCACGCAGAGCTATACATTTTATTCATTATATCATGCCTAGTAGGTGCTGGTGACACTGCTTTGGAGATGGGACTCAGTAGTGAGTTATTTGTTTTTGTGTTGCTGGAAAATATACTGTTAAGATATCCGAATATTAATTTTAATTGATTAATTATTAAATCAAAGAAATCGATTTTAATATGATTCATTGGCAGAGAAAGTAATATACTTAAGAATATGATAACAAATGTTCAACGTATGAATCAGGAATTGCACTTTTCGCGTTTTTTATAATTATTTCTTTTTATTAGGAATATCATATTAACGTTTGAATGTTTATTTGCAGCTACTCTGGGAATACAGTTTATAGACCACAATGAGGCGGCGTTTGCCAATTTAAAGTTGTGGCAGAGTGTAGGTTCCGCAGTAACATTTGCTTACAGTACATATGTATGTATGTACATCAAGTTGTACATTATGTTAGCTGTACTTGCTGTTGGGACAGTGTGCATTATACTGCTTGAGATTATAAACTGGAGGAATCGACGTTCTTATAAAATGCTTTGACGCAATTTCTTTTATAAGCTATGCTAATTTCCAATTTGATATTCGTTTAATGTAGTGCAGATCCATTCGATTGTTCATGCAAAACGATATAAAGTAGCGGTCACACTAGCCGTGTAGGCTCACCGTTCGCCACCGTGTGGCTAATTATCATGGCCAGACGGCGGTGCACGGTATGGCCACACGGTGGGTCGTTTCCCGCACGTTGAGAAACGTTCAGGGAACGTTGCCGTCCATCCACACCCGGCGAATTTTTTGAGCATGCTCAAAACTTTTCCCGTTTGAGTAACGTTCGGTTGCGAACGGTGATAGCGGTACGGGAATGGTATAAGGACGGTGCGGCCGTTAAGGACACGTGTGCAGAGCGGTAATGGGACGATGGTGGACGTTGACTCTATCAGTGACGGGCTGCGAACGAGAGTGTACCGCTTGGGTACCGTCCGATAAACGAGGTTCAAACGGGGGTTTGAAAGGTCACATAAAAAGGGTTTTCACGGTACCAGCCGCTTAACGCTTAAGTAACAGACCATAACGTGTTAACGGCCTTATAACTGCTCCATAACATCCTCTAAACATCCTATTACCGTGAACTCGCAATTGTACCGCCTCGTGACGCAGTGTTGTCACCGTGTTCTGCCGTTTCAACAATTTTGCCTCCAGTTTATTTAAATATTCAGGTATTGTCCAAGGTTTTGTCCCGTAACTCGAGACATCAATTCTTCGACTTTCTCATTTGTACTTTGAAGCCACAAATCCACTCAAACCACTTTGACAGAGATTCTTTTGAAGACACTGAGAAAAACAAGTTACAAATATATTTCTTTTATCATACACGAAGAAAATAAATAAATTGCAAAAATGATTAAAGCTCAAATAAAAGTGAAAATAAATGTCCAGTTAGCATTATAAGCCAAACTTCGAACTATCAACTGTTTTATGCATTTTACGTGATCTTTCTGTTCACGTTACCGTCCATCAAAAAGTTGTGAAAGCTTTATTTCTCATTTACACGACCAATTATATAAGAAAAAATTAATGGGGTGGAGGAAGAGCCGATTTCTGTCAGAAAATTCAATAAAACTGCAATATTCATGTTCATGACAACTTAACGTTCACCCATTAATCCCTTAATGATTAAGCTACGGTATAACAAAGATGTGAAGTCTTCCGTGAATTTTCGAGTGATACCCTTCTGAGTTATTTGATTAATTTAAAAAGGCGCGACGTCACCAGCGTGCAGAAAGTCAATATTTTTTGGTATATAACTCAAACGAAGCAGGTCTAAGACCTGTAATATATACGTTGACGCAATTATCACAAAATATATGTAGTTGCCGTTTTACAAAACGTTAAAAAAATAATATAAAACACCGCCGTCTTTTTTCGAAATCAAATAAGATTTGGCATATTTTTATTAGTGATTCAATAAACTGACTTCAATTCCAATTCGAGTACAGTTCACTTCGAATCCCTCCATTTTAATGAGGAAAAATATTTCTAAACGTTGGAGGGGAGTAAAGGTTCAATCTGTACCTTCCAATAACGCTTTGCGTAAAATGTAATGTCAAAACAAATAGTTACCCCTCAGAGCAATTAGTTTCAAAACGTATAGTAAAAACGTAAAACGTGATATGGTCGGATGAAATATAGATATTGCATGTTTGTCTACCAAAATTGGTCAAGTGCTCGAGACCTATTCATTTTCAACGTATTTTCATGGAATAAATAAACATACTAACTATTACAGAGAAAGACTTAACTCGGTTGACCCAACTAGCTGCTTACAGGATGGACAAGCTATGTGGCCACACTGTACAGTTAAATATAGACAAACTTGTAATGTTATTGAACATAATTAAGATGTATAAGCAAATTAATTATATAAATCATTTAGCTTTGAACACGTGGATGGTTGAGCATACATACCAAAAAGTGAGTTAAATATTGTGAGCGTTTGCATGACGCTATCAAGGCGGTTCGGCCGATATCCAGGCGTTCCAGCCGGTGAAAACCTGGTGAGAGGATGGTATGCGCCAGTTGAGAACACGGCGAGAACGGTAAGCAAGAATTCTGAAACACGGTAAGTCCGGTACAAGGCCGATGAGAAGCCGGTACAGACCCGGAATAGAACGGTATAGTCCCGGTCAAAAATGTATAAAACAATGCAGCCGTCGCCGTCTGGCCATAAAGTAGCGGTCACACTAGCCGTGTAGGCTCACCGTTCGCCACCGTGTGGCTAATTATGGCCAGACGGCGGTGCACGGTATGGCCACACGGTGGGTCGTTTCCCGCCCGTTGAGAAACGTTCAGGGAACGTTGCCGTCCATCCACACCCGGCGAATTTTTTGAGCATGCTCAAAACTTTTCCCGTTTGAGTAACGTTCGGTTGCGAACGGTGATAGCGGTACGGGAATGGTATAAGGACGGTGCAGCCGTTAAGGACACGTTCGCAGAGCGGTAATGGGACGATGGTGGACGTTGACTCTATCAGTGACGGGCTGCGAACGAGAGTGTACCGCTTGGGTACCGTCCGATAAACGAGGTTCAAACGGGGGTTTGAAAGGTCACATAAAAAGGGTTTTCACGGTACCAGCCGCTTAACGCTTAGGTAACAGTCCATTAACGTGTTAACGGCCTTATAACTGCTCCATAACATCCTCTAAACATCCTAATACCGTGAACTCGCAATTGTACCGCCTCGTGACGCAGTGTTGTCACCGTGTTCTGCCGTTTCAACAATTTTGCCTCCAGTTTATTTAAATATTCAGGTATTGTCCAAGGTTTTGTCCAGTAACTCGAGACATCAATTCTTCGACTTTCTCATTTGTACTTTGAAGCCACAAATCCACTCAAACCACTTTGACAGAGATTCTTTTGAAGACACTGAGAAAAACAAGTTCCAAATATATATCTTTTATCATACACGAAGAAAATAAATAAATTGCAAAAATGATTAAAGCTCAAATAAAAGTGAAAATAAATGTCCAGTTAGCATTATAAGCCAAACTTCGAACTATCAACTGTTTTATGCATTTTACGTGATCTTTCTGTTCACGTTACCGTCCATCAAAAAGTTGTGAAAGCTTTATTTCTCATTTACACGACCAATTATATAAGAAAAAATTAATAGGGTGGAGGAAGAGCCGATTTCTGTCAGAAAATTCAATAAAACTGCAATATTCATGTTCATGACAACTTAACGTTCACCCATTAATCCCTTAATGATTAAACTACGGTATAACAAAGATGTGAAGTCTTCCGTGAATTTTCGAGTGATACCCTTCTGAGTTATTCGATTAATTTAAAAAGGCGCGACGTCACCAGCGTGCAAAAAGTCAATATTTTTTGGTATATAACTCAAACGACGCAGGTCTAAGACCTGTAATATATACGTTGACGCAATTATCACAAAATATATGTAGTTGCCGTTTTACAAAACGTTATAAAAATGATATAAAACACCGCCGTCTTTTTTCGAAATCAAATAAGATTTGGCATATTTTTATAGCTTATTTTTATTAGTGATTCAATAAACTGACTTCAATTCCAATTCGAGTACAGTTCACTTCGAATCCCTCCATTTTAATGAGGAAAAATATTTCTAAACGTTGGAGGGGAGTAAAGGTTCAATCTGTACCTTCCAATAACGCTTTGCGTAAAATGCAATGTCAAAACAAATAGTTACCCCTCAGAGCAATTAGTTTCAAAACGTATAGTAAAAACGTAAAACGTGATATGGTCGGATGAAATATAGATATTGCATGTTTGTCTACCAAAGTTGGTCAGGTTCTCGAGACCTATTCATTTTCAACGTATTTTCATGGAATAAACATACTAACTATTACAGAGAAAGACTTAACTCGGTTGACCCAACTAGCTGCTTACAGGATGGACAAGCTATGTGGCCACATTGTACAGTTAAATATAGACAAACTTGTAATGTTATTGAACATAATTAAGATGTATAAGCAAATTAATTATATAAATCATTTAGCTTTGAACACGTGGATGGTTGAGCATACATTCCAAAAAGTGAGTTAAATATTGTGAGCGTTTGCATGACGCCATCAAGGCGGTTCGGCCGATATCCAGGCGTTCCGGCCGGTGAAAACCTGGTGAGGGGATGGTATGCGCCAGTTGAGAACACGGCGAGAACGGTAAGCAAGAATTCTGAAACACGGTAAGTCCGGTACAAGGCCGATGAGAAGCCGGTACAGACCCGGAATAGAACGGTATAGTCCCGGTCAAAAATGTATAAAAACAATGCGGCCGTCGCCGTCTGGCCATAATTAGCCAAACGGTGGCGAACGGTGAGCCTACACGGCTAGTGTGACCGCTACTTTAGCCAAACGGTGGCGAACGGTGAGCCTACACGGCTAGTGTGACCGCTACTTAACAGTATATATACAATTTGCTCAATGAATACATATTATGGTTTTTAAATCACACTAGCCGTGTAGGCTCATCGTTCGCTACTGTGTGGCTAATTATAGCCAAACAGCGGCGTACGGTATTGCCACACGGTTTGGTGTTTCCCGCCCGTTGAAAACATCCAGGGAACGTTGCCGGCCATCCACACCTGGATGCTTGAGCATGCACAAAACTTTCGCCTGTTGAGTAACGTCCGAATGCGAACGTTGACCTGAGCAGTATGGGGATGGTATAAGGACGGTGTGGCCGTTAAGGACCCGTTCACGGGGCGTCGATGGTGTCGCCATCCTACTACCGTGTACATATATTAAGCTTTGGAGGTTCATAAATAAAAAAAATTGAAATATAAACCAGGTGATCTACCTTAAAAATAATTTGGTAATACTCTTGGAAACATGAAAGCAAATAAAGAAACATATTCTGCTTAGGCCTAATTGATGTCTTGTAAATTTACAAGTGATAACTGCATATTTCATCTGCATACCACATAATTAAACCAGGAAATAAAACATAAACATGATACTGCAAACACTAAACACAGATGGTGAAAACAGAAAAAGCGCTTATTATTAGATGTTTTATTTAGTCATTAAAGCTACTACGAGTAACTGTTCACGTTCATAAAATGGCTACACAGGATGACAGTGCTGCTCGAAATATCACACACAGGTATTTTCAAAAATGCATATCTCGAATATAAAATGCCTTTGAAATTTAACCACCGCCTATATTGCCCAATCACCGCTGATATTACCCCACCTGCCAACGCTGTTACTCCTTTCAATCAGCGTATTTTAACGATTAGCTTTATTTACAACAATACATAATCAATCCCAGAAATATTATAAAAACACTCAGCATCAGTGGATTCCTAGCAGTTAAAATAGATAAATGGTAATTCCACTGCAAGCTAGTACATTTTATGGATTCTTCTTTTATATTGAACTGATTTAATATAAGGAATAAAACATTGCATGTACTTAAAAGAGACGGAACGGAATGCATTTATGAATGGGTAACATTCTAAAGGGCGTGTACTTTAAACAGTGTACCTCTGAGAATGGTGAACGTTTTCAAGCTAGAGGGATACATCGTACACGAATGAAGTGACATTCAAGTCAAGTTTTTCAGAGGACGAGAATTCAAAAGATCGTGACAGCATGAAGGTTGCTAAAAGAAGAGTCTACAAAAATGTCGTAGTGTTGGGACTAGCATTCTTGTTAAACTTTTCTTCATATATATCAGCCCAAGCATTACAAAGTTCAATCAACCTTGAAGAAGGACTAGGTACAACCGGTCTAGCCGTACTATATGGAGTATTCGTAGTATCAAATCTGTTCTTGCCTAAATTCTGCATAAGAAATTTTGGTTGTAATTACACTATTGCCATTAGCTTCATTGGCTATGCCGCATTCGCCGCTGCGAATCTGTATGCTACATGGTGGACTATTATTCTTGGAGCAACATTGTGTGGACTCTCTGCTGGTCCTTTGTGGAGTTCTCAATCGACATATGTAACACAGATTGGACGTGCGTACAGCTCGGATAGTGGGGAACTGTGTGAAGATGTGGTCAGTCGACTGTTTGGAATTTTCTACACATTAATGACCCTTTGTATGTATTGCCCTTTGTATGTGTATTGTCTAATTATCACAGACATATTGCAACTATAGAACATTTATTTCGATTTTGTTTAGTTTTCTAAATAAACAATACTGTTATATAGACCCCCATTATGACTATTTACACCTGTCTTCATATTTATAAGGGTGTCATTAATGTTTTGGCAGGTGCAATCGGTGGAAACATTGCTAGCTCAGTACTGCTAGCAAATGTGAATAACACAACATATGTTCCTATGACTGAGCTAGCACGCTGTGGAGTTGACTTCTGCCCAGCTGACTATAATGCTACTAATGCCCATCTGACTAGACCACCACAAAAAACAGTGAGTCGTACATGTATAAGAGAAAAATTTCAGAATTCATGGAAGAACCTCTCTCCGCGTAAACCTGAAAACCTGAAAAGTGATTAGCCTTTGTATGAAAGTAGCTTCATCTATGAATTATGAGTGTATTCTCCCTCTTGGTTAATTTGGGGTTTTCTTAGTCACTCCTTTATCAGGAGTAGGGAATGTGGCATAAATGTCTTCTGCATATCTTATTGTGATAAAAAAATATTCAAGAGGATTTTGATAATTCGAACTTAAACCTTTCCACTTCTGACAGTCATCCATTTTGTTAAGAGGTTCGAATTTAATTGGCAAAATACGAATTAGATCGTTACTTTTAACTCGTCTAGTCAAAACTATTGAAGAGCATTTGAGTTCTGCATTGGAACATACAAAATAATGTAAATTTTAAAATATTCGAAATGACCGAATATCTTAAAATTAATGACATGGTGTTACGTGTATAATTTTGGACTACATAGTAGCCCGGACAGAATTGTTCAATGGTCACTTTTTCTTTAATAATTTTTTTTAATTTCCAGTATTATCATAGTCTGATCACATATTTGAAAACTAGAGTAAAATTCTGACATATAAAAATAATATTTAAGGAACATCTCTTAATTTATTGATATTATAGGCGTTCATAGTATGAGTGACGCAAATACATAATTCATCATTTTGCCTCATATTTTTTCAAAATCGGGCATATTTTTTGAACTTGAATGTTCAGTTGAAAGTTAATATTTAAAGATTGTCACAGGACTATGGGGCCATGCTGCCACCGTTACAATCCTAATGTAATGCAGCAACTGACCAGTCATCAAATACAAGAAGTCAAATCCCTCCAAGGGTATATGAAATCAACTCTATTGAAATGTTCGGGGTTGCGTTCAAGAGAATGTGAAAAGGTGGCGCCCCAATGTGCGGGATGTGATGAGAGTAGATCCTTAATCTTTTCAAGAGCTCCAAACAGCCATCTCAGAGGCCATTGAAAAGCTGAAGAACAATTCACATGCATGCCAAGGATGAGTTAAGAGACTGTGACTGGAAAGATATTACAAACTGTGGCAGTATGACCCTATAGTTGCAAAGGTTCAATGAACTAGGGTTGCTAATCCACTAAGAGAAACAATGGAATGGCCAAAAAACTTTAAGTGCTGCGACCTTACCAATATACTGTTCATAAAATGTACAAGCCTTTAAAAAGTCCTGGTATACATACAAGTCAATTTAAAACAAAGGGTTATAAATGCAGTCATTACCTCATACCAAGGCTGCAGTCTACATGATTTCGTAGGCCTATGACATTTCTTAAGTATTAACTTTAATTTCAACTGAACATTCAAACCACAAAACATGCCGCCGTTTTTGAACAGATATGAGACAAAATGGTGAATTATGTATTTGCGTCACTCATACTATGAACGCCTATAATATCAATAAATTAAGAGATGTTTCTTAAATATTTTTTTGTATGTCAGAATTTTACTTTAGTTTTAAAATATGTAATCAGATTTTGATAATACTGAAAATTAAAAAAGTTATTAAAGAAAAAGTGACCATTGAACAATTCTGTCCGGGCTACTATAGTAATAGCATTGCCAATAACATTTGCTATATTTTTTCATTTCAGATTCAAATACTCATGGTAATATTTATTGCGTTGAACATACTTTCCTCCATTCTTGTCATTGTTTTCCTTGATAAGATAGATTACGACAAAAAAGAGGATTCCTCGGAAACAAACCCTGGTGAGAATAAGGAAACTCCACTATTGAACGACGAAAATAAAAGTAATGAAACAAGGCACCAGTCTGCAGCATCCCTTGACCTAGCTGGACAATTCAAAGTTCACCAAGGCAAAGAGGGCGATAGCAGCGTTAAAGTAGTGATTACAACACATGGCCAGACTGAAGAAGAGGGTATTGATACGATCACTGAACAAAATGTCACTGCATCTGAGAAGTTAACTGGAACCGTGAAAAGACTGGTAAGCATGTAAATATAAATATTCTCGTATTCCAATAAAGTTCCCCTTGACAATACGTCAACGTGATGTAACTAAGTAATGTTCACTGATAAATTTTGGTTCAGAGGATGCAATTTTATCAAAATTATATCAAGAAGGAATTAATCCAAAAGTAGAAATTTATATACTGTTCAATGCATTGAGGACATATATTTCAGAGTACAAAGGGGTGGAATGAAGATCAATTGACATTAAGCTGGAGAGAAAGACTGCGGCCAGAACTCCTCATAGCAACAGTTAAATTAATGAAAGAAGTACGACTGATGCTGATCATTCCTCTGGCCTTACTAAGTGGTATGTTACATGGTTTTAGCACAGCAGAATTGACACAGGTAAATACTATAGCCTATAAATACTTTAGCCTATACACTTTACTGCACCTCTATTCAGTACACAAAATCGAAATGATCATGGACTGCAACATTTTGCAATCAAGCTAAGAGAAATCATTCTGGGTATTCCAGAAGGTTACGGTATCGCATATTGACGCTACATTTCTCTCGCACAACATTTTGTTTTTCTCTTTTGAAAAGCATAATTTGTATACTTGCATTGTATTTTTCCCAGTCGTATGTAGGATGTACAGAGGGTATATGGATGGTTGGATACATAGCAATGGCGGCTGGAGTGGCTGCTGCATTAGTCTCAATGGTCATTGGGAAAATAAAATCCGTTGCTAGAGTAGTCTCTTTCATAACTGGTAATAACTTGCTTTCGTCAACATCATTCCCATTTGTTACTGACTCTAACCTTAAGCAATGAACACAAGACATCAAGAAGGTACTGATGGCAACACAATTGTTATATTGACGAGTGAGGGGAACATATTAAAAGAATCTGCTGACTTGACAAATCATCTAATGATTGGTAGAGAAAGGATTCTTATATCAAAGTAACATTTTATATGTCATTTTGAAGAATGTAATCCTATTTTCTTTACTTTATTGGTATTTTACTGTTATTGAAATTGTATGTTGGATGTACGTTTGGCCCTAAGAGGGTATTAGTACAAATAGAATCCTATTATATTAAGAAAATTGCAAACATATGACCCATACACTTATATTCAACAAGAGAATATTTACTACTTATAACTTCTTATAACAACCGCTTATGTAGCTTATGGAAGTTATGAAATCAGTCCGAACACATAACCTGCTATCTTGTAGTAAAATTAACCTTAACTCAACACATTATTTAAAAAGCGTTTCCTTCGTTAATTGATTCTACAAAAGCAGACATTGAGAAAAATTTAAAGGGAAATATTCTACATCGTTCATATTTGGGCTTCACCCTCATGGATGCTTGTTAAATTCGAATCATAGATATTATCTTTTCACAATATTATTAATCTATTGCATATGTTCAAAATTCACATTTGTATAATGTTCTCATACAAGAGCAGCTACATGTGTACTGTATTATAAAAAAGGTTCTAATTTCTCTCGATTTCAGCTATTGTTATGAGTGCAGCAGGTTTGATTCTCGCTCTGGTGTGGAAAAATCTCAACGCAAAGCTATACATTTTATTCATTATATCATGCCTATTAGGTGCCGGACACATTGCCTTGGAGATAGGACTCAATAGTTAGTTTTTTGCTGGAAAATACTATGTATATTCATTTTGTAATTGATTCGTTATATCAAATTGATCGATTTAAATTTTTGATTGATAAATAAATACTCAACATCAGAAATTGTGCATTTCTTATAATCTGATAATAATTTCTTTTGAATATGCAATATTTATTTGCAGCTACTCTGGGATTGCAGTTTATAGACCACAATGAGGCGGCGTTTGCCAATCTTAAGTTGTGGCAGAGTGTAGCTTGCGTAGTAACATTTGCATACAGTACATATGTATGTATGTACATCAAGTTGTACATTATTTTCGCTTTACTTGCTGTTGGGACAGTATGTATTATACTACTTGAAATTATAAACTGGAGGAATCGACGTGCCATGCTTTGATCCAATGTCTTTGACAGGCTATGCTTATACTAACTTGTTTAACACTTTTATTGCAAAAACATCCGATTCGATTATTAAGCAAAATTTATATTTTGCTATTCGAATAGCAAAGATGGAAAGTATTGGATGAGTATATGGAATTGTTAGCCAAAGACTTTAGGCTATATAAAAGTTTGTGATCATTTAGAGAAGATAAAACTTAAAACCACACTGTTGTTGTTAGCGAATCCATTCAATTTTTACTGCAAAATGATTTGTACAAATGACTGTTTGAATGTACATTCTTAATAAATTATCTAATATTTTGGGAAACCAACATTGACAATTAGTGGAAACTGCGATTTCCAAAGTTCATCAAAATCGTTAACTTCACTTTCACGAGAAGTTAGTAAATTCAATTCTTTCTTCAAGGCAATTCATACTAATGCTGTAATGAATGTATATCCATAGATATTTAATACCTTTCAAACCTTCACATCCCATTGGTGGAAATGACGATTTTTCAAAAATCACTGAAATTGTGATTCATTTCCGACTGAAAAGGGGAAGCTTTTGATAGAAAAAACTCTGTGTTAACAAAGCCAGTTCATATTTCCGCCACAAAAAACAGTCATTCTCTTCCTGGATGTAAAGATAGACAAACACAGGTACTTAAGACTTGTATGAATGTATGAAGGAATGTACAACAGGAAGACAATTAGCTTTGCTAAACGTTAACATTTTCTGACCAAACTCCTCAACTTTGATGAACTTTCAAATATATTGACTTAGGCCTTATAGAAATAAGACAGAAGCGTTTGGTTGTGCTTTATCTTTCACTATTCTATGTATATGGGTCTAGAGGTCTGGTACTATTGGTTTAGGTTCGGACTAAATTGGAACAATACGCATATAGATGCTCCCTGTGGGGAGGGGGAGTGATACATTTGCAACAATGTACAATACACCTCTCTTCTCAAATATTTTGTCACATGGAGAAATCAGATTGCAAAATCCTGCAACCCCATGGTATAATTCCAATATTCGACTTGACCAAACATCACCCCAATACTTTCATAGCATGCAGTGTCTATATGATCTCGCTGATCTGATTTTGACATAATTCAGTGCCTAATGTGGTTCCATTAATTGGGTGGATTGTTTTATCACAAATTGATTTATCAAATATACATTTACGCGGTGCATGTTTATAAATGTTTTGTTAACAGGGTTAAGTCCCTGTAAGGTTATATAATTTTGGATTTGCGTATTTGCCACACATATTATGTATATTATGGTGAAGCCTAAAACCTTAAAACATTGTAACTGTATATCGGTTATAAATACTGCACTTTCTGCCCTGTAAAGTATGTTTGCCTTATGTTTTCAACTCATTTCTCCTAGCGTTTAATTACAATAATTTGACTCAATGATATAATGGATCAAATATATCTATTTATACCAGGCCATAATATCCCGCTGAAAAAACACACCCGAGAGTATGATTGTTTTTAAAGGTTTTAGCAAATTATACATTCCAGTATGTTGTTAATTATCTTTATGAAGATACTTAGTACTATTATCCACTAAAATTATTTTGTTATTATAATTTTACACTGTTGTACTCAAGTTGAGGTTTACATAATCTGCATGGATCATGGAATCGTTCGAAATATATCAACGATTATCATAATCGTGACTACCAATTATCTATATGATTCACGAATGGATGAAAACAAGATGGATATAAATAACGATGACACAAGCAATGGTCATAACGGGTTTAGAATTTGGAAGAGCTAGACCAACAGGAAACAAAATATATTCAGTCTGCTGGCAGGAAAACGACATTCACGAGAATGGTAAGTACTCAATAACTCTACTTGAAATAATAGCTATACTTATCCTAAATAAAGGCATCAAACATGTATATTTGTTTTTAACTCTGTGTACAGAATTATTTGAACTAATACTAGTACCATAAAGTCAAGGCTACACTATGAAGCATGAACTTTTCGCTATGATTTGAAAAAGAAAGCTATTTGGATACTGTAAACGGTTCACATCTGTTCCTGATAAAGCTGTCGCCATTTGACAAAACTAAAAAGAATAGAAAACAAATATCCAATTGAAAAAGGCTAAAAGAGAATAAGAAAGATTTTTACTTGGCCACAGTGTGAGGCATGATGGTTTTATAAGACTATATATTATATATTTCGCCGATTAACTGCTATTTGTTCTCAACTAATTAAGCACTTATCCACTAAAAAAATAAGGCAAAACTTTTACCACGTGACTTTCCCATTACCCATTTGTTTCTCATTCTTTGTTTATATTCGAAGTGGGAAAATATAAGAATTACACATTTGTGTTACGCATTTTGCTTGTCAATTTATTTATAAAGGTTATGTATTATTCCCAAATTGGTCTCAGACAAACCATTAGGAAACATATATTATTGTCAAATACCCATTCCTAATTGATTGACATATACTTTTCTAATCTGGAAATGGACAGAACATTTATTTTTTCTCAAGGAGCAACGTGTGCTATTACTGATACTGGGTGGACTAGCATTGCTACAGTGCCACCTAGCAGCTGAGAAGATGACCACAGATCAAAGACTCGAGCAACTCTCGAGACAGTTGATGCTTCAGCAATTCTTCACTGAGCAGAGGGTGAGGTCTGAGGGGAACAGTGGCATAAAACAAACAAGGTAATGAGAAACGATGACTGATACCCAGGAATGCAGTAGTAACACATGTTAAAATAGTATTTCTTATTATGTTCTTTCAATCATCCGTTCATCTTTTTCATCCTTGTGTATTCATGTGTAAGTAGGCTAGACTTGACACATAACTGGCAAGGCGTGTCCAATTCCAGCCAATCCGAACACGCTATTTCATATAACAGCAGTGCATTATTTAACCAACAACGTGTTGAATTGTATCAATGTGACAAGTTTACCCTTGCAAACAATTGACTTGAAAATACATTCCTTTGAGTCATTTGGTATAATTTAATTAATATGGTATAAAATATTTTGTGATATATATATGTGAAAAAAATTTAAGCCCAAGACTCGATGCATAGTGGCTGATTCATTCCTGAAACTTAGCACTCGATACTACCTCGTGCAAAGTTTGAAACAAGATTTTTGAGGAATAATCAGTCCATAGTGCATTGAATCCAGGGCTTAAATCCTTAAATAACCCGGTGTAAAATAAATTATGGTCCCCCAGGGATTATGGTCCCCCTTTTAAAAGAGGTCACCATATCATATAAATCAACGGAGAGTAGGACCATAAATTAATAGGACCTCCTACTCTTTTACACCGGCACTCTTTAGTACCAGAAATAAATTGTAAGACCGACTATCTTAGATCGTTAGCAGGGTATCAATATCCAAGGGTAGGAATGGTAATTGTAGACCTGCTTTGGATGATGATATAAGACTGATGTATGATAGTGAGAATTGTCTATGGGGCTCGATGTGATTTGCTCCTTCAGTGATGTCTTTGTATATTCTGATATCAAGTTCTATAGTTGAGGGTGACCAACATATTTTTTATATTCTAACTATTCAAAGCGTACAAGCAATCAAACCATGCGCAAAGTAAAATTGATGATACATATTATTTTATATTTCATTTCTTACAATCGAAAAACAATATTTATCAAATGTTAGTAATATGGGTTCAACTTAGCTTCATTGGATGATCTCTATTCATAAAAAGGAATTTTTCCAATAATAGGCATTACATAAAAGCGAAAATATTGTGAGATTATGGCAATGTTTTAGACGCTTATTTCGTCTACATGTATATCCCTTCTTTCCCCTTTACTACCTCTGGAATCATATATTCAGTTTTACCTTTCAAAACTAAGAATATAAGATTCCAATGAAACGATCGCAAATCCTTGGTTTATTTCAGGATCTAACAACGATTTTATGCAGATGATCAGTGGTACAAAATATGTTGCACTTTGTCATTACTGCGACAAAATCACGTGATTATGAAATTTAATTAATTCCATGGGAGTTCTTTCTTCAGGAACATGGCGACGGGAACAAAAGCCTACCATCAGAGGACGCACGTGGGCACTGGTATTGCGGCCATTCACGAACACGCAAACAATATACGAACAGTTGGGATGGGGGAATTCATTGCTGTTCTAAACGGTGTGGAGTTTAAAACGAGACACAACGATTACAGACTAAGGATGCCGCATCCTACGTCTAATAAATACCATGAAATGGTTGATGTACCATTTCCCGAAGTACCTCCACAGGTGAGTGTCGTCACGACTTCATGTGTTAGACTATTAAAAAGAAATATTAACCAATGATACTGTCATACATTTGTGTTTGCCTTAATGCATCATTCCACTTCTCGCTTTTAAAGGTAATATCATTGTTTAAATTATAAATTAAAAGGAATGCATTTAGGTAATACGGAAGCACAGGAATGGTGTTTTGTCAAAACACATGTCTATGTGGGATAATTTGTCGTCGCATTACAACTTGCATTATGAGTCCTGAAATAAATTGTTCCTTTCTAATCAAGGGCGAACGCAATAGTCCCGAAAGTTTAGTAAACCTTTAATTACATCTCTAGGTGAAGAGTCAACCAACCATAGAGAAACAGATACTGGAGATGAGAGAGTGGTTCAAAGCATGGAAAGATAATAACGATAAAGAAAGAAACTTTAAAGATTACTTCAAACCCGTCGTCTGCTACTTAGAAGGCTCCTGGACGTCGAGTAACGGACAGATCGACGAACCATTCTTTAGCGATCGCCATTTTATTGACGCAAAAGAATGGAGTGAATTAATGGAGAAGGCGCGTTACACAGCACACAGTGGAGGTAAATCAAGGCTAGAAAACTTCGCATACCTACCTGTGACAATATTCAACGTTAATAATGGTACGCCAATCTTCGCACAATGGAACTATCGTATCGCATGTCATCCTATCAAAACATTTATTCCTCTACATGCTTTTCACCTGGTTGAGGATCTTAGAACGAGAATGAATATGGAAAACACTCCAGAAGAGCTGTCTTTAACAAGGAGAGCAAGATTCCAGATAAACTTCAAGCTACGCCCTGAGAAAAGATACAGAGAGGAAGCAAGATCCAGACCAACATTGTTAGATGAAATAATGAGTGAGGTTCCGGGTAAGGATAACTACCAGGGTGATATCACTGATGAAACATTGGATGGACGCCAAGTACAGTCAACCACTAGAAAAAAGCTTAATGCAGCATATTATCATCGATTCTATTTGGCAGCTGGTCGAGATGCCATGGGGGATTCAATACAAAGACGCGGATTTGCAGACGATACCGTATTTATGGCACGTACAACCCAAGAAAAGATTCCAGCACTGACACAGAAAATATGTCAAAAGAAAAAGAAGAAGAAGACCTGTACGAGTCATACATCAAGTTGGACGTATGCGTTTCCTTTGGAAATCATCTGGCTCACTCCTCTAAGCTCGTGGAATCCATATAATCTGACGATGCAGAGCAAAAGCAAAAGGAGTTTTGTTGGTGGAAGAAATGGCAAGATGACTGAAGATAAAGCTTACAATGGTATACATGATAGGTTATATTATATAACGCCTGCTGAATTTTATGGAAAAGAGGGGAAGACCAGCGATAGAGATAGGGCAGACACTGCAAAAGGAGTTGTTGGTGTTTTGGACCAAACTGGAGTTGTACGTGCAATGAAATCTGCTGGAACAAAGATCCTCTTTCCGACGATTCCAGGTGTTGGTCGCTTACGACAACGATATCCCATAATGCCAGTGCACATGGAGGGTAACTCCATCTATAAAGAGGTTGAAGCACTAACTGATATGGTAATGGAGATGAAAAAATATATTGGTCTTTACAGATCCCCACCGGTGGGAGGCAATGGCACTGTCCCACCTTCTACGTATACTCCGATAACTCTACAACTCCAGAGTGCGACACGAGAGACAGTAGGACCGCATCAACACTCTGTGGAGCTCTCCAGGAGTGAAGTTGAGGATGCCATGAATGGGGAGTTCATAGATGTTGTCACAACAATAATGTCTGGGCATGACCATGAACTACGTATAGGCTACTCTGAAGGGGAATGGTTTTTGGTGCAATGTGATGACAAATTGCACTGTTGGGACGGTCATCCTGATGTGCTCTTTAGAGAGGACGAGGAGTAGACGATATGCATGTTGTAATAATATACAGATGATAAATTACACAGATGATATACTGTACATAATTTGATAAAATTGAGTGGGTGAGCGAGAAAAGGCAACCAAATCTTAATACCTCAGTCATCCGGTATGGGTTCGGAGTCATATTTGGCACAATTGAACCTTGTTCACCGGTCTTTCATTCTATTAAGTTGTATTGGTCTATTTTAAATGGTCACGATTTGATGGCCATTTTACAAAACATGCTAAAAATACTGGTTTTTGTCTTTGGAGGCAAATTTGAATGCATCGGGTAACGTTTCCTGACTACACGCTTACAGTACAGATATCTTGACGTGTAATGGCTCTAATCCCCCCTCTAATCTCTTGTCTCAACTCTCTGATGCTTCTAGGGTTGCTAATATACACATTTTTTGAAGTAGTGCCAAAGTTAAAATTCTTGGGGTTCATATTGGATGGTTTTGGTATGTTCTGGCATTTGGAGCATCTTTTGTAAAATGGCCATAAAATCGTGAACATTGGAAGTAGACCAATGAAACTTAGTAGAATGAAAGAACATTGAACAAGGTACAATTGGGGCAAATAAGTACTATGTAAACGTACACTGGATGACTGAGTAATTAAGATTTGTTTGGGTTACCTTTTCTGGCTCACCCTGTATATTCTTTGGACACATGTACAATAAATAATTTTGTCCAATTAACGATCATTACCTTATAAATTCTCAATTCTGACGCCTAGCTATTTCACTAACATTTCGGTGAAATTAGTGTTCTCGTGATATGGGATTAGCAAATTGTGATTTGTGAATTGAACTTTTGCACTCTACTATACCTAACCCCTAGAAATGCATAAGATACACTGTTTGTCTAATTGCATTGTTTAGTATATTTTTTAAAGTACCTTATTAACATCTAACTTTCAACCGATAAACCATTAATAAGGAACAGACAAATAAAAACAAATAACCTAATTATTACTAATAAGCCGAATGGGTTGCTTATGAACACCAAATGCAAGTTATAGTAGAGTGTTTTGATTCAAAACAGTAATTCGTTATCTCAGCAAAAATACCATTTTCCAATTATAACCATGATACAAATAGTGACTGCCGTAGAGGGCATTAGTGAAAATTATTTCCCCGATTAAATATCCTCTAAAATTCCCGAAGCCGCAGGAATGTATATTGTATTACTTCCGTTTTACTGCAATGGCTCTCGTCATTTAAAACATCCTTGGTCGATCTTAGGTGGCCTGGGGTGGACCCAGAAAATAAATCACAAAACGTGGTACTGTAATGGCTATCAATTCAAAATAAGCAACCGTCGAAACGTTCATTGCAAATGTGCTTTGTATGACCAGTCGGACTGGAATACAGGGTCTCCATAAAGTCTCTGCAATTTACACAGAGTTTGTATTGTAATTATAAGATACTTTATGGACACCCTGTATGAAAGAGAAATTGATATCATATCAAATTATGTTTGATAGGATAAATGTTATATGTCTCATATAAAAAGTATATGTAAGAATATTGAGAAATTGTAGAAAAATGTTAATTCAATAATATTTAATATGCAAGCATTAACTTGTGGACATATAATAAAGTAAATCGGTGACAGTTGAAATCTTCCTACATTCGGAACAGAATAAGAATCTATCTTGAAATGAGGATTAAGAGTATTTTATTGCTTATCGGAACAACACTTTTACTCAACAGATGGTGCTCAAATGAGGGAGCCCATTGAAGAGTGACCCAGTTGAAGACCATATACATCTTCTCGAACACATAATTTTAGTGGTGAAATCTTACCTTATTCTTGCCATCGTATAGTCTTCGTACGCCTGTATCCCCTGCATCGCCAGACAGGATAAAGCTAATCTTAGAACGTGTTGTGGAATGTTTCTTTATTCCCGTGAAAACCGTCATTTGGTAATGATAGTGGTCGCTTGGGATATTGTCATCTAAAGGTCGTGCACCCCACTGCATAAAACATTAATATTTTGGCAGAATTCTAACATGTATTCAAACGTAGGGGAAGGATATGAAAAATATTCACGTATTAACTTTGTTACTCGGACAGCCACTTCAAATAATCATGTTTTATCTTTGGATATTCATTCTCTTAACAATCTATGGCTCATTCTAGAGCTCATAAAATTATTTTCTGTGAAATGATAGCCTGAAAAGTATTGTTCATATGTAGCAATTGAATACTAATTTCAATATGGATCTAGCGTCAAATTCCTAATTAGGTGAGCAATTACTTTCGAGCTATAATATTTTCGGAAATGAAGATTTGTATCAAAATCAATTAATGGTTGTATTTTTGATATAGTTCTACAAATGTAATTGTGATTGTTGGTTTTATTACATGATTAGTGAACTATTCATTTTATCAATGTACTTGTTGACTAAGTAAAACCTATTACATCAAGAATCTGGCCAAATACATCCTGGCTACGTTTACACAGTAAAAGGTGGCGGGTTTTATTTAATGCTCAGTTTGCCTATAATAGCAATTACCTTTATCAGATCGAGCTTATCTTTCCTACGGCACCATATAAGACCCAAGATGTAGAGAATCAGAATGGAAACGACGGTAGAAAAGACGGCAGCATTTTCATTTAGCTTAGCGAACTTGGCGAATACGGTGCTGAAGTCGATCGTGTTTGGGGGAACGACCATGTCACCTCCAAAGTTTGTGAGATGGTTACACAAACAGTGAGTCTCTGTAGATATCGTCAAAGGTCCAACCTACAAAGGAAAAATGCTTGACTAAAATGTTGTTTAATATAGAACGTCTCTTGCAATACCCCATGTTAATTAAAGCTCCAGGTCCCCCTAACACATGTGAAATTTGGCGAATGATGGTTTTGATCTCATTGAAGTGTCCAACAGAAAGTTTTCAAAAACCTTTCTTAATGAGATAAGAGGCGAAATAGATATTAAAAATTGACTTTTAGCAACTCTAGCTTCTATTGCAGTTCTTTGTTTTTATAATTAATTTCTATGATTCCTGTTTGAGGATAATTGCGTAATAGCTTGTTCTAGATTAAGTATTCCATATGTTTACCTCACACCCATCCGAGGCCCACTTTTGTGTAGTTTCATTCCAAAACACACACTTTGCCTCGTAAAGTCTGAATGTATAGGAGTGGTTGAATTGTTCACTCATTACCATCTTAGTCTCTAAAATAAAAAAAGCAATTATGATTAAACTACTAGTATCTCATATAGCTTGTCAACTATATAAGCACCCCTCCCCTTAAAGGAATATTCCTTGCCAAACCATCTCTCTCCTCATATGGTAGCTATAACCATATATATGCTTGCCATGTTTAGCAAAACACGCAAAAATGTTTTGATATGGTCAAATTTGATCACTTAGAAATGTGATGTTCAATTCCAGTAAGCTGCCATCTTTTAAAATTTCACACAGGAAGTGATGTCATCGACTCTCAACTTTGCATACAGCTGTTTGCATATAGCATTAGGTGAGGAGCTATTAAGAATTACAAAACCAGCTAAATATTCTTCAACTTTGTATCTTATTTAATCCTTCTGAAAATCTCTTCTTTTATTCTAAGTTGACAAGCCCTGAAAATATTTTTGCACAGAAAGTAATGATCACTTGTCTAGAAGTGATTTTGTGCTACTTTCCTATACTGTTATTGGCAAGGTTATAGAAGTTGAGAGTTGATGACATCACTTCCTGCAAGAAATCTTAAAAGATGGCAGCTCACTGGAAATAAGCACTTGATTTTTAAATGATCAATATTGACCATATTAAAACATTTTCCCATGTTTTGCTAAATATGGAAACTATATATATGAATATAGCTACCATATCAAGAGAGAAAGGGTCTGGCAAGGAATATTCCTTTAAGGTTATACAGATGTCAACTATATAATCACCCCTCCCCTTAAGGTTATACAGATGTCAACTATATAAGCACCCCTCCCCTTAAGGTTATACAGATGTCAACTATATAAGCACCCCTCCCCTTAAGGTTATACAGATGTCAACTATATAAGCACCCCTCCCCTTAAGGTTATACAGATGTCAACTATATAAGCACCCCTCCCCTTAAGGTTATACAGATGTCAACTATATAAGCACCCCTCCCCTTAAGGTTATACAGATGTCAACTATATAAGCACCCCTCCCCTTAAGGTTATACAGATGTCAACTATATAAGCACCCCTCCCCTTAAGGTTATACAGATGTCAACTATATGAGCACCCCTCCCCTTAAGGTTATACAGATGGCTCAGGCTTAAGTGTTATGCGTCATTACGTACCATCGATGCCACCTATATGATATTAAGGGGTGGGGGCTTACACACATAGTTTACTACTTGTACTTTGAATAATCACCAATTAATTTTGGATACTGCTATTGAAAAGGATGAATCTCATTAAGTATATATAGACGGGAGACAGTAAACTGGAACAAACCAATGAACTAACAAATGAATTGAATAAATATTACCTAACAATTTTATCCCTACATAGTATGTCCCATTGAGACTGGTGATGTTCTGAGGAGGGAACGCTGTGTGTCGTAATTCTCTCAGTCTATCCTCGTTGTCAGTTTCAAAATCATCATCATTTGGTATAACAGTGGAGTAGTCAAAATATGTCTCGTTAGGGATAACGCCATATGCTAAATATACCTTTAAGAAAATGTTTCATGGAAGGTAAAATGGTAAACCGTCACTTCATTTATATTACTTGGTGTTACAGTAGAGTAGTCAAAGTATGTCTCATGAGGAATAACACTATAAATAGACCTTTAAAAAAATGGTTCAAGAAAGTAAATGGGTAAACCATTGATGATTTATAAATAAATAAACTAAACTAACTAAACTAAACTAAACTATAATAATTGGTTGTAGCATCCATACCAAGATAGCAACTGGCTATAGTAAGAATAGTTCCTTTAAGGGTAACATGTGCCATATACAATACAAATCTCAATGAAAATATTTCACAACTTGGGTAATATGTAGTATGTCATGATCATTCAAAACATTTATCTAAAGAAAACACCATAATTATATGCTAAACATAAAATGTCATTACCATGAATTTATCATCTATATATTTCTCATCGGGGAAGACAACAAAATGTATTGAAGATCCATTCTTAGCCAATGTGACGTCATGGTAGTTGATCTTCTCCACGTGTGGAATGAACCTTTTGTTGAAAAGATTTTCAGTCGGTGTAGAACCTGTAGAGGTCAATATTAGAACATAACTTTATGGTCTCTCAATTGTGTTAAAGAAATCCAAATTATGTCCAATCCTTTTTAGCTTTACTATTATATATGGAGACATTTCATTTTATCCAGTAGACTACAAACGTCGGGACAAACGTGCACCGTCAATGAGCTATATATTTGGCGATTTCATCATTTCATTTTTCAAGTACTTGATATATCTGATAATGGTGTTTCTTACTTTTGATCATAATTGAGAACGGTTCAGTCAGGTTGTCCATTGGTTTCTTCGTTCCATTAGGGAATGTCATATCTATTCCAACAACACTAGAGCCCGACATTGCCGAGTCCTCATCCCATGTATATGGATTCTTATCTGCAGCCATGAACTAAAGCAAAGGATGGGTTTGGATGTAGATTTAATATATGTGAGTATTATCTAGTGCTTGTGTTGCCTTATAGTTTATTTTGTAAACTTAGGTATGACTACCAATGTTTTACTCTGTGAAGTAATGCTTTACTATGAACTAATATTTTGCTGTACGTGCACTATTTTTCATCAGGAAATAATGGTTCACAATGTCAATTTATGTTTCACTCTGTGAACTAATGTTTATCAACTTGTGAACTTAAGTTTCCGTCAAATTAAAGTTTTTCTCATTTGTATCTTGTGACAACCCCCCCCCCCCTCCCTTCCAACCTCTCACATTACCAATAACCATCTATGATTACTGTAATTAATCCTCTATTGTAATTTAAACTACCTAGAATGCCTATGGCGATTGGTAGTAGATATTTTGTGCATTTTTTGTTTATGAAGGAAATAATTATATAAATAATATGTTAAAAAAAATCTTGTGAACTTATATTGTTACTAATGTTTTACTATATGGGGATCAAGACTCACCTGAACGCCTACTGATTCATTCCCTTCACTCTCAGTAGGGGGCAGGCTAAATGCTCCTCCGCCTCCACCCATGCTACTGTTGGTCGAGTTGCCTAAAAATAATTGCAAGGATCCATATAAAATTTTCAATGTCAATGCATGAATATATGAGCATATTTTCATACCTGTCCAAGTGTCCGTGGATTAGTAAAAATGCAATGTGAGATATTTACAAAGCACAAATCAAAAACGAAGTGACGTGTCGCAAAAAGGTGGCGCATTTGTTTTTAAGGGTATCGCGTGAATGTAACTTTGATTCCCCGGATTATAAGATAATATTCTAATTAAAGTTATATATCATTTTAAAGCTGTTTCGATGAAGTTTTTAGATCAACTACATGTACTCTCCGTTCACAATTTTTGTGCGTTCTTTTTTTTAAAAAGAGTTTTTTACCAAAACATTTGGCAAATATCCCCTGTTGACACGTTACATTTTGAATTATTTTTCGTCTTTAAACGCTCATAACTCAAACAATATATAACTATTATACTTATTTTTCGTCTTGATAAAGGTAGATGGAAGTTTTATTTCAAAGGATGAATTTTAGTAAGCCTCCCATATTGTGACGTCATAGAGTTTGAAAAATAGAATTTGTTGACAGCGACCTTTCTTGCTAATTTTTTGTTACCTTTAACTTTTCAGGTGTACATTAAACAAAAAATACGAGATCAATTTTTAATAATTCATACATGATTATTTTGCTCTTAAACTCTAGTTTATTAATAAATAGTTGATTTTGTTCGCAAAAGTATGTGTTTTCTGTTGTATGTGGAAAAGTGGAGGACGAAAGGTTTTCAAAATTCGTTAAAATAGTTCTATTTTACGCCATTCACCTATTTTCAATCACAGCAACACGTATATTTATTTCACCTAAAATATCAATTGATTCGTGTTTTATTATGCTCCTAACCCATTGTTAATACATATACGATATCAGAGTAATTTGCTTTAAATATTTTGAGATATAAAGGTAAATGTGGAGTACGAAAGGATTTCCATATGTGTACATTTTTCTCAAAAAACGTCACATTCTGTGGTGTTAAAAAGCGAAAATATGTAACAATACGTGCGCGAACTTTTTGCGACGTGTCAGTACAAACTAATGAAGTCCATGCTTTTATACATCATAACACCAATAGTATGTTGGCACTAATTGAGAAATTGTCAAGTATAAAATAGCCTATAGAATAGCCTATGTATGTACCTGTGCTATTAGAATTCACTTTGGCAATCTTAAACTGCAGACCAGGGGCTGCGAACTCTACGGTGGCATTTTCATCCATTTTTGACACCAAAACATTGCCAACATTTCCAAGTGCACCAATGCTGCCATCTGTGGTTTTCTTGTCCAAACACCTGAATCATGATATTAAATTTGTTATTGTTTTACGTTTTATTTCCTTGAAGAATATTGTACCAATTACATTTATGAAGTGGAAGACCCCCTTTCGCGATATTATCCACAAAATAGGAATTTACAAAATGAAATGATTTAAGTGCCACACCCCTTCTCCACAGCTTCTTCAAAATTGGACAAAACTATTTAAAAGATTTTATTGAGCTGTTATATATCATGATGTGCGGTCATTCTTAAGTAGATCTGACGGTTTTTCATCGACATTACGTCAAATTGATCCTTTCGATGGTGTCCCCCTATCAATTTAGTCGAATAAATGGACTTTGAACAAAAACAATTCTCTCAAAATTAATTGTTGGGATTTGTAAATGACTATACCCATAGGCCCGGGAACATGTTTACAAAAAAATCTTCTACGAGTCCTCTGAGAAAAAATCGTTTCTACTTTGGAAACTCACTTAAGTATACAGTGTTCTTGGGCCTATGCATAAACCTACCTCTGTGCACCGACTTTATCCTCTCGATCTTCGAGCATCAGTTCAAACTTTTCCGCTCGCAATTCTGGTCTCTCAAATTGACACAGTTGGATATATTCCTCAATAACATCATCTGGCTCATCGCAGAGGAACTCAATCTCCTCCTCATTGCAAAGGTCGCAGATCGTTCTCTCCATTCCTGTCTGAATGTCTATGACTGTGTTATTCACGCAGCATGGGTCGGGGAATATCTAAAGTTGGTATGAATGGAAGATATATTAGTATAGGCCTGTATAGACTCTGTTCATCTATTTCTGGTGAGATAGCAATATAAGTGTTTCAAAGTTTCATCAAACAAGTACATAAGTTTCGTGTGATTACACAGACAACATTGTTATGTTATTAAGAAACATTTCTGGTAAGGAAACCAGCTGGACAGTATATCTCATCTTTTGGTCGCAAAGAGAAAATGTAGTGTACAATGTTTAATAAAAAGCACGTCCTTAGAATTCCATGTCACAAGAAGGAATTGAGATATCTGATCAAATTTGTCATTAAAGATTGATAACATAAGAATATCGAAAGCCTCAAAAGCAGTGAACAGGATCTCTATTTACCTCTTTAAGTTGAGCCTCGGTTTCATTACCAAGGTCATCACCATGCGCATCTTGAAGTTCGCTCACTACAAATTTCTTTGTTTTGTGAATGTCAGACTTCTTTACCTCTACGTTTGGTTCGGGTAGAATGTTTGCTGCAGTATTTAATACACCTATAAAATTGATAGTGATGCATTTGATAAAGTTTGATTGGTTACCATTTCATTCGCTTTTTGCAAATCAATTACGTTCTTTCTTAGCAATGAAAAAGGAAAAAATGATAAAACCACTTTACAAAACCAACACGATATACGAGGTCAAAATTTAAAGTACAATATAAGAATTCACCTCAATGACTTTGACCCGGCCAGACATATAAAAACGTGGTCATCACATTGTTAATTCTGTCGATCGCTATATTTACATTGTTCGGAAAGTTAATCGTTTGTCCAAGGTGATCTTCTTGCTTCTGATCATTAAAGTCAATCTAACAATTACCTTGAGGCTCTTTTATCATAAAGTGCATTCATCGTAAAAGATGAAAATCCAAGTGAAAGTATTACCAAAGGGACAATTCAAAGGAAAGTATAAAAATGGAACATAAAAAAGTATATTTAGTTTTTGCCATAGTTTTCAATCTAACTTGCATATTTGTATATTACCACGTATCAACAATAGCAGAATTAGCCTCTGAAATGAAAATCAGAAAAAGTCAACAAGCATTATCAAATAAATTGAACCCTAATATTCGACCACACCCCAGTAATCCAGCAGGTATGAAATGTCATCCTGTTGAAAACCTGGTTTTCACGAAAGTGGCTAAATGTGGAGGATCGACAATAGCGAATATATTTTTACGCTACGGTGAGACTCATAACTTTACCTTTCTCCTACCTAAGCCTGGAAGTGCTCTTATCACGAAAGAAGATTTATATGAACATATGGATGAGGAAATAAATATGATAGTACACCATGCTAACTTTGATGAGAGACTGATGAAAAGGATCATGCCAGAAGACACGGTTTACATAGGAGTGATGCGTGAACCACTACATCACCTGAAGTCATATTATAATTATCACAATTATGGAAACATCAAAACAAAGCCCAGTTTGGCCGAGTTTGAGGAAAATCCATGGAAATACAGAAAAGAAATGGGAAATCTTGTAAACCAACAAAGTGGCTGGTATGGTTGGGAAACCAAAATAACAATGGATGACAAAATGGCTTGGAAATTTGTAGAAAAGATTTACAAAAAGTTTGATTTTATTCTAATAACTGACCATATGAAGGAATCTCTGATACTACTAAAGGATATACTCTGTTGGACATTGGATGATATGTTATTTGTATCTCACAAAGTAGCGACAGAATCTGCGGCTTTGAAAGGTATGATAACCACGGAACTCGACAAAAGCAGCTTGGACCACACCCCTAATAAGGCACTAGCTGAAAGGAACCTACGCCAGTTCAGCAAAGTCGATTACGACATGTTTGACTTTTTCAATTATACTCTTTGGGAGAAGATCAGATCCAAGGGAGACGCATTTCAACAAACGTTGAAAGAATTTGATGAGAGATTGCTTGATCTTCAAAGGACATGTAAGCAAACCAAAGAAAGCTTGACTTTTACATTAAAATATTGTAAAATGATAATTCATGAGAGTTCTTCATCACCTGACTATAGATGTCATCGCATGTTACTTGCACCAAACTGGTACAGCCAGTACATCCTCCATCCGAAACAGAACAAAACAAACAACCACTAACTATCAACTGTCATGTAAGAATATATCGAGGATATTATGTTAAAAAATACAAGCCAATAGCGACTTAAACAAACGATAAACATCTACGGCCCTGTCACTTGTGTTGCCATAGTCGGTATGCATGGCTTGTGGGGAAACAAGAAAATCCACGAAATGAAAGAAAGTAAAAAGGCAGATGCGAGTCAAATAAAGGTCAAACAAGTAATTTGTGTCATCAGCAATGTCACTATGGAGACATAAAATCTAGCGTGCATGTTCATTTATTCCATTTTATCGCCAGTATTTTGATGGTGGCCATCTTTATCTTACCGCCAGTTATGTCTTCTACATTGTTTGCTTCAAGCGCTTCAAACTGCCCAACTGTTTCTCCAAGCTTGCCCAATGCCGAACCAGCTGTGCCCTGAATAAAAAAATGCGAGATTATGCTAGATTAATTTTATTTATCCTATCTATCTTGGTTGAGCTGCAACTGGTGTGCACCTTAATATTTCTCTATTTGATATACGCTATGATTTACTGTGCTGTGTGCAATTGTATATTTATTTTTTGTTATGTAAATGCCCCCAAAGTTATGTTTGAATAATCAGAATTACGTCCAATCTTTTAGGATGTTCTTTTGAATTGTAAATCATGAGAATAGATCGTAAAGTCTGTATTTCGAAATTCTTACTTTACTTTCTGGAGTGCACTCATCCTTTGCTTTAGTGACCCCAGTAAGTGCTCCAGTTGTTGCCTCAAGCTGGTCGGGTTTGTTTATGTTATCAGAACAAGATTCCAGGGCATTCAAAAGCTTTCCTCTGAGTTTGGTTCTCTCTGCCTTGGCATCACTGTCGTTCTAGAGGTAAAATATCACATGGGTTTCTTCAAAGTCGTCAGTTTGTATCTTAAAAATCTATGTTTTGAATTTGAAATCTTTTATTTTTTGTATTTACAATACAATGTCTGGGCATGGCAGGAACATGGATGCCCTTTGGCATTGAAGCGAAGAAGTACATAACTACATTATATTGAAAATGTTTTCTATATTTGATATTGTTATAAAGCTTTAATAAATGTGTAAAAATTCAAGTGCAAATGCTACTTTTGACAATCTGTTTTATATCGAACCATTTGAGAATCCCTACTCCGAACATTATCAAGCCCCTAGCCCCTAATATTGGTGATGTATTTACTAACCTTATCCCCAACATTGTTTATGGTATCAGCAGCACTCCCTATAACCATAAGAGCTGCACTGGTATCACCACTGTTCAGGAGAGCATCGATATTTGCAAACAGATCATCCGTTATCTCAGTCGACCAAATCTTCACATTGAACTCTGTTGAATTGGATCTTGTGTCCTTCGTTGCGTATAACTTAAAGATATATGTCGGTGGAAGCCTAAGTACTTCGGCTGGGAAAGACATGATTTTTCCATCAAATGATACATCTGGTGAAGTGTCATCAAAGCAGTTGTAATCGTAAAAGACAACCGATGAGTCATTTGCCATAATCATACTCTCATTTTTAAAAACATCCAACTCAATATCGGAGATTTCGGATTCTGTTTCTTCTTTAAAACAGAAAAGGTCCAGATTTAATAAAGGATCGGGTTCTGTTTGTGAAACATCGGGATCTCCAGAGGGAGTCATGTCAATTATCAAATCTCTAAACTTTGGTACATTAAAAGGTTGTTTTCCCAATATCTCAGCCGTCAGCGGTGTCTTTCCAATATTTACAAACATTTCCTTTGTTGAAGTAATTAGTTTGTGGTTCGTGTATGAAACAGTAACAGACATCCTGTAAAGACCATAATCAAGGGTCCTTGCTGGCATTGTATATAAACCATCACTACTCTCCATAACACATATCTCCAACGCAGGTCTTTCCAAAGTACCATTTCCATCTGGGGTTATTTTGAATGCTTTCCATGTATATGTCATTGCATCCCCTCCGCAGTGATTTTCAGCTATAACATTGATTGGCATCGGGAGTGATTTCATGAACTCATATGGGGCATCCTGGGTGGTTACACCTACATCAAGGGTAACATCAGGTTCTAGGCATGAATCATCATTCTCTGCTTCTGCTACAATAATTTGGGGACATAACCACGTTTCATCTTTACTGAACTCATTTGAAGCCTTCATTTCGATTTCATAACTCCCTAGAGAATCATATACATGATATACATGGATGACAGCATTTTGAATCAGATTTGGGGTTTCAAATTCTAGTTCAAAGGCTTCGTAATCGATATCTGGCGCAGGGGTTGTCAATGTCTCAAAGGTTGTTATAGGATCTGTTGTGTTACTCGGAATTCCAGTTGTATTGATCAGAGTCCCATTCATCACCATGGTAACAACACCAGGAAGATTTGTAGCATTGAAACCTTCAGTTGGATTCACAATGCTCCGCTTCCTTCTAACCAAAACTAATGGAGTTGTCACATCAATATTTGAAGAATTCGTGATGGTTTTCACAACCTGTGTGGTTGTTTCATTAGATGATGTCGAATTTCCTGTTATATAGAATGTGTTTGGCGTGGTTGTTGGATCAACACCAGGATCAGGCACCATAATCGTTGTGCCATCACCCATATCGAGCTCAAACTTCAATGTTGAACCAGTCGGTGCAACTATTTCAATATCAACTGGGTTGCCAACCTCAACTCGGTCAGTTTTGGTCCATAAATCAACAAATGTTAAATTTTCACCAACATGAAGCAAATTCCAAACATGAACAGAACTAATGTTGTTGGAAACAACAACAGTGACATTAAAGATCCCATGAGTGTTGTACTTCCGTCTGTATTGCAGAGGCTTCGGAATGGTATTCCTTTCTCCAAGTTCAACCTTTTCATTCTCGCCATCACCATAAGTAAATGTAGCCCATACTGGCATAGATTCTTGTACGGTAAGATCGACAAGAAATGTGAACAACACAGGTTCTGCAATGGTCGTGACATTCCGAGCGTAAAATGTAACATTTTGTATTGGTCGTTCGATAGACACCTCATAGCTTGCGTTGTAATAACTGATGTCATTAGCTGCTTCCATGGAAACCTGGTACAGTCCTAGGGCGTCATAAGCATGTGATCTTCGTATAACTAATGGTTTAACAGGATGTCTGTAGTATACATACTCCACATTGCCATCACCGTAATCAAGTCTAACGTTAACATGGTCACCTTCAGGAATATGAAAGACAATATCAATTGGAGCAGAGACCTCATCTTGAGCTTTAGGTATCTCAATTCTGATATCTTTTATGTCTTCCTGGACGTTGTACACATGTCTGAGTAAGGAATGGTCCTTGTATATGAGATGTACATCATGGTGGCCACTGAGGGTGATCACATCTGGCCTTACAGTAAGGGATGTATCAGCTATACTGTACATATCATCTTCCACTATACCGTCATCCACATAGACTTCAAGCTCATCAGAGATCGTAGCACCATTTTCCACGTCAACCACCATAGCTTCCCCTATACTCTGTTTAGCATAGTCCAGTCTATTGTTTTGACTAATCACTTCTAGGGTGTTATCAACAGTTCCGTATGCATTGCTACAGTTTATAGCAAGAATGTACGGTCCAGGGTAAGCATACGTATGCGGATTACTTTCCTGAAGACTAAGGTCGTTTGCGCTGATGCTGTAAGATACCTCTGTATTGTCGCCGTATTGAACCAGACACTCTGTTGGTTCATAACTGAAAGCATCAATGTCAATCTTCACTTTGTTGGAACCTTCTAGATGACTTGCAGACAGCTGAGTGTATTGTGGAGCTGTACCTTCATGAACATTTTCGATTATAATTTCCACTTCTTTGCTCTCGGATTTTTTCCTATTTTTAGCAGTCACATTAACTTTATAAGAGCCTTCATCTTGCCAACTGTGGCTTGAGAAATAGTCGCCTGTTTCCTTTTTAGTCTCATCGCCGAAATCAACAATGAAAATTGTATCTTCATCAGTGGCGGTATGGAAGTCAAAGGTGACAGTCTCACCAGGCCGAATGTAATCATGTTCAGTTGGTTTAGTGTGCGTGACATTCAAATTGATCCCATAATCTTTCATGGTCACGATAAAGGTTGGGATGACTGCCCACACTCCAGCACTGGCGCAGGACACTACATTTGGTGAGAAATCTGATATACACGCACATTGAGTGTCCAACAAAAGGCTCATTTCAAAATGTAACCCTATGCAACGGTCCAAACAAGCTTGCGGGTATGGTGACTGAGAGAGTTCAATGATGTCAAGGTCAGATCTGGAGCTTTCATATATCTTTGCACATTGAAGTTGCACTGACGCTAAAATAGTAAAAATGACTGTGAGTTTTAGGATTCGCATACGTTATTGCTTTATGACGGGGCCTACCCCATCTCCCTCCCCCCGCCCTCCCAAACATGCAATTGAAATGTCGTCATGGAAACAACCTTTGTTTTTTAAAAGCTGGAAAAATAAAAATTCGAATCAACTCTAATATATGGGAATCGGGGATGATGGTTTTCCATTTTCCCTTCACTAGTTAGTGCTAGCATATTGTAGATAACATGTCGTTTTACGTTGTCATTTTATTCTACCAAACAAAATTACATGTACACAGTCTGGACCAAAAAGAGCTGCTATGGCTTATGTTTTTATAGGACCAAAGTTATAGCGGTTTTGTGTATTTCAAAGTATTTCCTTTAAGCTTGCTGACGTTTTAGAAGTAAAGTTCACATTAAATATTGATGATGATTTGGATTACCATGCTAAGGAATGTCAAAGAAGTATTTTTGTAAACCCAGGGGTTTTAAATCAACATGCAACCAGTGAGTTACTGTATAGTTGCCAAGGAAACCTGGCATGATGAAGAAAATATTCATGATTCAATCGCATTTAATAGCAAATAATTAACTTGTTTTTCCAGAAATGTCATAAATTATTCACATTAGTCTTGGAATTCAGGTTATTCGTTACTTCTTTATATTTAAGGTATTTGAATAATTGTGAAGCATATTAGATTTAACTGATAGAAGTTATTAGACATATTTTGTAAGATGTTTTACGGTTTAATGTCGATAAATAGTACTATAAAACCCTCTAAATATTCCTGAACGATTTTCTTGGATATCTAGCGTTAATTTTCATTATTACCACCTTGCAGGGCCTGTTCTAGGGGTTTTAGTACTAGATGAGAAGGCATTTAAATTGCTATATTGACGTGAGCAATATTGTGTCGGACGTTAATGACTTTAGTCGGGCAATAATGACATTATCCGCCCGGCTATGTTTCCCGGGAAAGGTGATATCGTTCAGTGCGTAAGATTTTCTATTTCAAATTTGCTATTTCAGCCCTGGGCATTAACGGTGGTAATAATAGTAAAAACGTCATTTCTGCGGGCAAAATAGTGAAATAGTGGACCTTGGGTCTGCGGCCCTTGGTCCAATATTTCACTATATTGCCCTTTGAAATGACGTTATTGTACTATTAAAATAATGTTGAACTTGTAAGTGCATTTCACTGTCCTTTATAGGTACTACAGTATGTTAGCGGGGTGCACATGGTCTCGTCGGTGCATCTCAATTATCATTTGCGAAATAGAATTGCAATAGCGATATTAAGAAAAACATCTTTGGTCAGAATCAAGCGAGAATAAATGTCTTGAATAAGACTAAGCTAAGTTACCTGCCACGTTAAGTATTTCTTCATGGCTGAGAACGCTTTCCCAGTGAGTCAAGTTGGTAAGCTGTGTGTCAAGGGTAACATCTTGTCTAGGGTCTGAATTGGATTTACCCACAACAAGCCGGGGAAACGGATCGATGTCACCATAAGGGACATAAAATCGCTCAGTACCAGTTTTGTCCTAAAAGTCAAGATTTATTCCATAAAAATAATATAAATGAGATCGGTAAAGTCATTTATGAAATATTTAGTCAATTATATTTGCGGTGCATTAATTTTCATTTCAATGAAGTCAATCAAATGTCAGGGCCTAAGGTAACATTAATGTCACCTCAATGTGAAAGTTATCAAGATATGAGAAATGTAGATCGGCGTTCATTTCAAATGAACTTTTAAAAGATCAGATTAATGATAATTATGTAAAAAAGTTTCAAATGTCTTCTGAAAGTCTTTGCAATTTTCTGAGATTAAACTATTTTAAGGTTTGGCAGTCCCATCATTTTTGGACAAAGTCGCATTTGTAAACATAAGAAGTCCCCATCTTAGATGCACATGTGTCTGGGACTCGGTTCACAATATTCCGGGCTATTTATACTTACACTGAGTGTTCTAAGACCATTGATGTATACAATAAGCCCGTTTGTTTCATTCCAAGTCCAAGTGATTTGATGCCATTGTGCCCCCTGGAATGTAAACTCTACAAGCCACTCCTTGCTGGCCTTGGTTACTCCAATCTGAAATATAGTGGGCTAATGCAATATTATAAAATGCGATGCGATATAATTATTTGATGCCATTGAGTTCCCTGGAATGTAAACTATCCTATACTAGCTTCACTGGCCTTTACTCCAATCTAATATACAGTAAAATAGAATATGATGCAATGCAAGGTAATGCAATACTATAAAATGCGATGCAGTGTAGTTATTTTATGCCATTGAGTTCCCTGGAATGTAAACAAGCCTATACTAGCTTCACTGGCCTTTACTCCGATCTAATATACAGTAAAATAGAATATGATGCAATGCAAGGTAATGCAATATTATAAAATGCGATGCGATATAATTATTTGATGCCATTGAGTTCACTGGAATGTAAACAAGCCTATACTAGCTTCACTGGCCCTTGCTCCGATCTAATATACAGTAAAATAGAATATGATGCAATGCAAGGTAATGGCATGCAATACTATAAAAATGCGATGCAATGTAGTTATTTTATGCCATTGAGTTCCCTGGAATGTAAACAAGACTACGATACGAGATACGCTTTGCTGGCCTTTACTCCAATCAAATACAGTAAAATAGAATATGATGCGATGTAAGGCTATAATGCAATACTACAAAATGTGATGCAATGTAGAACAATACGAGAATAAACAAATAAAAGCAAATTAAAATGAAACCAATATTCTATTGCAAAATGTGTGAGCTTTTGGGGATACATTTTTTCGGTCGAGGAATTTTGGTGATAAATTGATTGTTGCGTGACATTACTTTTAATTCAACAAAACATCAAATTGTGACCTGTAAATAAATGCATCACCTGATATTCTTTCCCATGTATCTGACGGAAATAAAACCCCTCTGATAGCACTGACTGCCCGCCATTTGACACAATATAGCGGTCTTCAAGTTCGCCATCTTCTGGGGCTTTATAGTTTAACGATACTGTAAATCCATTGTCGCATTTGTTGATGTTTCCCAAGCAGACATGAGGATACGATCCAAGGTCAATATAATGCGTGATTTCATCATTTGTTTCGGAGCCATCTTGTATCGGCCATGAGACTTTTTCATTTCCAGCTTTTATATCTGGAAGTAAAGAGGATTGTTCCATTGGCTTTCTAGCGAGAGTTCAAACCGTGGAAATATTTAGATTATTTTAAATTTCACCATTTATAAAAGTCCAAAGGGAAGTGGTCTTTATAAATAAAAAAACGAGTTAAAACTGAACAAGATACAAAGTTAGAGCAAACATAAAAACACATAAAAAGCAATGGATCATACCCAACTGGTGATATATTTGTTCTTGCTAAAGCTAGAATTGTCATCAGACATTGACCAAGAGTATGACATCACAGATGATAATAATACACAAAATTGTTATATAATTTTATAACAGATCAACTTTATGTTTGTGAATTTTTATAAATTGTTCTTTTCTCTGTTGAAGTAATGGTATCTGCAAAAAAATTAATAAAAAAACTCCAAGTAGCCTAGTCCTTTTACTCAAATGAACATAAAATACTAATATCTTTGTTTACTTATTTAAATCAAAATAATAATATTGATTACCTGTGCATTTAGTGTAATTAAGAACAGCAACAACATACAGGTACAGTATTATGTACCTATTCATTGTTGAGTTCCGATCCTTCTGTCTTCTTATTTATTACTGATTAAAGTATATATACAGTAGGAGAATCTTGAAAAATGGGGGGGGGAGTTCTCAAAAGCGATAAACCGAAACCGATAAATTACGCCTCTCGCCTGGGGCCAGGTTCGTGCCTGATTTGTATTTCCAATAAAGAAGTTTTTAAGCGATGTTACTTAGTGATCGAACATCAAATCAAGCGAATCATAACAATATTGAATTCTGACGAAATTCAAAAAGAAGACCTTCAAATAATTATTGACACTGTCCCCATTTTGAACAACTAACCTTGAATAATGCCCATATAATATCATAACGTATTAGTATCTTATGAAGGTTTAGGAGATATTGGTTATTCTTGCAAACAATTGCAGATTTCTGGCTAATTGCATTAGAAATCTTTATTAATTATTTATCTTCAATTTCGTGTCTTTTAATCATAATACAATGTTGTATTTCTATACTTTTATACTGACATTGATGTTTTATGACCATTAAAGTTCAGGTCAGAAAATCACTATTGCGATCTGAGGATCGGATCAATCAACACGAGGCAAAATGTAATTGTTTTAGTTTTGGGATGGGGGTAAAATCTCATTTCGTTTTGTGCAAAAATGATGTAGACGAAATTGCAAATTTTTCCACATCATGTGTATTAATCTCACTTACAATCAATGTTTTATTTGTCTAAATATTTTAATCTACAGTACAACTTCAAAAAGCGATTCAGCCTGAACACTCATCAAATCTTTTTATCACAGTTGGAGGTGAGAAATTGAAAAGCCCGATAGAAACTGTAATAACACATATAAACTAGCATTGAGACAATGGAATCTATATATTTTCTTGAATTTTTTATTGATTGCTCTGAAATGCAACATTTTATGAAATATTTGAAACTACGTCATGAACCTGCAGTAAACCTGCAGAACATGATATCCATGTTGACGGGGATTCGAGCTCGCAAGCCATACATTGACCTTGACCGGGCACCTTGCCACTTCCGGTTTACGTTGTCAAGAAAAACAAATCGAAAAACTTTAAATTTGTTCTTACATTTTCTGGAAAATACACTTACTTCAACAATATGACGAAACTACAGATGGATCCTCAGCAATTTGAAAGATTGTTGGCACAGATAAATCAGGTATGAGCGGCATTGGAGCTTCGATTTACGTAGAATTAGTAGTTAGAGAAGCATTGTTATTCAATGCATTGAATTATATCTGATATTATATTCAATCGTCATAATTCAGTGTAGTTTTGTTATTGGTTATAGCCTACTTGTATTGAAAAGTTTCGGATGAAAATAAGCTGGATTGATGGACATTTTGATATAGAAAAATCAACCCCACAGATGGGAGTACAGTGCTCACCATAAATAAATGACACCTGTTTCCCAAAGTTAGGATTTCCCATGTTAAAAAGAAGAGAATTTTCAAGAGGCTATACATCAGTGGATGAAAGTATACAAAATGTAAAATACACAAAACTTAAGGGATGTGTATCTAGACATTATTGGAAAGTATGAAGTCTCAAATCGCCATGGTCTGGAAATGGTGATAGAAAATCCAGGTGTCATTTATTTATGGTGAGCACGTATTATTATCACACATGTAGTTGTAAGAGTATGATGAACCTGACATACATTTGCAAATTTGTGTCCTTTGTCATCACACCCTTTATATGGGAGTATACCCTAAAGTTGAATGCTGTTTAATATTTACTATTTCAGCAAACAGATTCCTGTGAAGGAAAACTTGGTATACTGTTCACCTCAAAGGGTTACTTCAGCGCTGAACAAGCCAGTCGTATTATCTTCGCCATTCCTTACCCAGCAGATAAAGTTCGGGCAATACAGATGTTAGAACCAGTAAGTAGTATTCATAATGTACATTAATATACCTAGTCTTGCAAAAGGACCATGTACCCCTCCCCCCCCCCCTATTTCCTCCTCAACCATGTTAAGACATGTTCCTGTAAGAGAGAAACAAGAGAGGGAATATTATACCATATTCTCTCTCATGAGCACATAGTTCCAATGAGCACATATGTCCACTTTATTTAAACATTGATAAACTTGTACCAAATATGGTCTGATTTAAAAAAAAATTGAATTTAGACCTGGGTTGAATCTACAAATGACAGAAGTAATTCACCTCAATTAAATGTTAAAGTGCCAAATTCAAGTTACTGGTTACTGTTCGGTTATGACTGTCTGAGTCTGAATAAATGTAATACATGATGTATTTAAAAGAAAATTGTCTGATTCAAAACATCATCCTGTTATCACATTTCCTTGCATTTCCATAAAATGAATTACATGTTCACTATAGATATAATTTTGTAACAGCATTCACTTCGCCCTGGTGTAGCTATGTTTTGATCTAAATATTGTGTTTTTCAGAGGTTGATTCGTATGACCTGTCATGAAGCTAGAGATATAATTAGTGCAGTAAGCGTCCATAATGACAAACTAATAGCCTTAGATTGTATTAAAAGGTATGATATTTCAAAAACATATAACATCCATATTATACAGTTGTTTCCTTCATTGATATATTTTAATAATAAAAAGATTTTCTAAATAAACAGCACTAGAAAGATGTTAATATTGTTTAAATTGATTGAAAGATGGCAGCACAATCAAGTGTATATTTTTTCTGGACAAACAGCATTGTCATTTTTCTATCCATACAATAATTCAAACCTTCTTTGAACATTAGTACATGTAGCACACAGGAAATTGGGTGCAGACTATGATCTCTGATTAAATATTAAAGTGCAAAACTAGTTTTTGTTGGAACTAGTTAAAATAAAATTTCTACTGATCTGTCAGTTGTACAGTCATATTTATTTGTTCCGATTTTCATTTTTCATCTTGTTTGGTATATTTATTTTCAAATTCAATTTACTTGCAGAGTGTTGATGGATTGTGACTCCAGAGATGGGAGAGAATATCTACTTTCAGCATTCCCATTTGAAGGCGACAAGCTGAGGGCATTAAGTATAATACATACAGTAAGTGTAGGGCATTAAAGTGCCCGATAAACTATAAAATGCGCATGCGTCCAGGTGTTGATAAACTATAAATAGCGAAAACCCAGGGTTTGTCACCACAAGGTAAGCCAGGACGTGTTGAGAGAACAGCTAGTGTTGATATTGAATTTACATGTAGCCAGATAAGTTTCCTTATTGAAATTACATATGGTTATTAGCAATACTTTGTAGGTGCTAAATAATAAAATATTTAGAGTATATATGAGAGAAATTGGTCATTTCGAACCTGTTGAAAAGTTTGTGACTCTCGGCTACACCGGGGAATTTACTTCCATGAGTACACACATAAATGTGGGGTCCCCCAAGAAGTACGCGACAAGGTGACCTGGCATCAAATGTGCGACTAAATGCTACTATCGAGAAGATAAAATAACGAATACGACAATAAGTTATTGCATGTGACAATTCCGAGCCTTCATCTCACTGAAGTATTTTGAAGTAAAAATAGGATTTTTGTTTTGATACATGGATTCAGATGAACGTAACTTTATTCTGACAACTAATCAAAACTGAACAAAATTGATTGTACGTAACAGACAATTTATTGTTTTACAATGTTTTGATTGGCTAAACAAATGAAACCAACATATTATGACATGTAATATGACAATTTTGAAATGTAAAATTTAAAAGTGACAAACACAACCTCCCTATCCACTCTTTGGGAGCCCTAGTAAATTAGTAATATGTACATGCAGCAGTGGTAGTGTACAGCTTATTATCACACTACGCTTTGTATTCTAAAGCATGTTGTTTGTAATAACACTGTTCACTCAACGTATGTTTTGTGTGTGGGCAGTCAACGATAATCATTGTTTTATCCCGGTTATATGACCTCGGCAATTATAACAGAACCGTACTAAACGAAAAAACGCAAATAAGAGAAAGCTTTCACACACATATAAAAAATGAACTAGTCTAATCCGCCAGTATAAACTCTGTGCTATACGTAGCCGGGTCAGGCGGACACTTTAAGCACTAGGGGCATTAATAATACATACAGTAAGTGTAGGGCATTAAGCACTGGGGGCATTATGCATAATACATACAGTATGTGTAGGGCATAAAATACAATACATGTACATACAGAAAGTGTAGGGAATTGAGCATTAGGGACATTAAGCATAATACATACATAACAACAGGTTAAGGACATTGAGCATAATACACAGTAAATGAAGGTCATTAAGCATTTTGAAAGTAATGCAAGTATTGCAGATATTGCATATTAATTATAATTTCTTTGTTACATCAAATGCTGCAAATGGTTATTTCCATGTATATTCATTTGTTGCAATTTTTTTCCAGGTTAGATCAGATGTTGCAGATAAAGTTCCAGCTGGTGGTCACCAAGGTTACGCTGCCCTTGGAGGTCTGTATACACAATGTAACCCCCTTGTACCACATCTCTATGGCGACCTTGACCACCAGGCAAGAATGAAAGCTGTAAGTTGATTTCATTATAATATGAGTCATTTTCTTTAAAAAGCCAATTGTACAAGCACTGTCTTATCTGTGACAGTATCGTATTTATCTATTTTCTTTTTCCACATTTTTAGATATAGCCTTAATTTCTAATGCTTATGTGATAGATAGATCCAGATCCAAGTAGATATGTTCATTAATCATTTATCATTACAATATATCTGGGAGTGGAGGTTCAATATAGTGATGAATATAGGAAATTGAAATTTAATTTCAGGGTGGAGGTAAAATTGACATACCTGTTGGGGCAACTCCAGGAGTCATCCCTTCAATGTACACAGGACATCCCTCATATGCTTACCCTCAAGGAAGAACATTCTCAGAAGATAGACAATACCCTGGTAGCCCTACATTCCCTCCCTCTGCTGCAGGCATAACTGGGGCACCAACAGGAGCGCCACCTAGTGGATATTATAGTGGTGCCCCTGCACCGACTGGATTCCCTAACCTGGATAATGTCCATTGAAGTGTGAAATTTATCATTAAGTTGTACATACATGTGTAGGATATGTGTACATATTATATTGAAAATGTGAACGATACTTAAAAAGTACTGAAGTAATGGAGTGAAAATGAGTGAGGATTGATTATAAGGAGATTTGTATTTATATTTTACAAGCAGTCTAAGGATCATGCTTCAAATTCTGAAATAATTGTAGCCTTTTGACTGCATTGTTTTAAAGTGTACATGTAATTTCTGCCATATAGAATGTGCCAAGATGAGTGAGACTGAAGATACAGTGAAAATCTCACTAAAAAATGCAAAGGCCATATAATATACAATAATAATTTATCACCTAATGACCGATTAAATAAAAAATATGAGATTTAAATCAGAAATGCAGTGTCCTCTCAACCAACATACTATAACAGTCCTTGTTAATTGGATTTAAAGACTTCTATCAAATAATTGACTATAGATTTTCCACAGTTAATGCTGGGCATTAATGAGAATGATGTGATATATTTTTATCCACAGTATTTTATGTGTTTCATACAAGTACAGAGTATAGGTTCATACTCTTTAAACAGTTAGTATGGCCAGCTGTTTTATTTACAATAAAAGAATATATGCCAATAAACATATTTAAAAATTAATATGTCATGTTATGTTCATTGATAATAATATTGTTATATCATGGTTTGAGTGACATGTGAGCTTGGTTCTAGATTTATTCGTTTTCGTCTTTGATATGATTGCAATATTAGAAGCAGATTAATATGTTCGGATTTTAAACAGTTTCCTAATACACGTTTTCAGGTTTTGGACTTGCCTACAGAAAATGGAAAAAAATCCTCATGAAAATGGGAATCTAGGAAACATGGGAAACTAGTCAGATACAAGCGTAACTTCAAAAAATGGAAACACATTAACTTTTGATCAGATGTACAGAAATAACTTTATTCAGTAACTTATTATTTATTTTACATTGCATAACTGATGCCAGATGCTTCCAGACAACCAACCCACATTTCCCTCCTGTCGCAAAAATGGTGGAATTCAGACTTTCTGATTTATATAAAATTACCTGGTCCATTTCAGTAAATTTTGTAACTTGCCTGCAGCGGGAAATGTGGGCCTGGAAGTGTCTTGCCCACAAATGACTATGCATCACATATTTATTTACTACATAATTTAATCTGACATACAATGATTACATAATATTTTCTCTCACACAATACACAAAGTACACCGTACATTGTTTTAAAGATTCATAAGGGATGGTGTAGAAATGTCAAAGATGTGGGATGATGCAATTTATTTTGTAACATAAGGTGGATGGCACACATAATCTTGCTATATCATAAAAAGCCTTGAAAACTATAGAAATTGTAAAAAAACATTTCAATAAATGGGAGGGATTTAGACTATATAAGTAAACTTAATTCTGTTGACATTTGTACACCACCCCTTATACACTGTATACAGTCAATCATTATAGCTTTTAGCTGCCAATTTATGTGCATTTGTTTGTGCATTTCAACATGCATGTTTTCAAAGTAGAAAGAACAGTCCAAAGTAGAATGTCTTTCCCCTACAACTCGCTAGCTTTGATCTTTCGTGATAAGAATATGATGTCGTAATATAGATGTCATGGTATTGTTCAGTTCTCTGCCTCAGGGGCCTCTTCATATTGGACCAGTTGTACGCCTTTTCCTACAGTTTCCCCAACGTTAAACATCACACGCTTTATCACTCCATCTTTTGGTGCCCTGATGACATACTGCAAAACAAGAAATAGGTGAACTAGTGAAATAGGCTATCATCTCACATTTACAATGACTGATTTGATATGCTACATGTATTTGTATTTTGAAATGATTAATTTTAATGAATAAAACTGAATAAAAAAAAATTGATATGGACATTATATAACTGATCACCCGGACTAATGATAATACATATTCCTCTTATTATATGTAATTCACTCAAACAAACATTGAGCCACTGTTCACTTACCTCAACTTTCATGGCTAACATCACCACAAGGGGGTCCCCAGTAGAGACGGTATCTCCCTCTTCTTATTATATGTAATTCACTAAAACATTGAGCCATCGTTCACTTACCTCAACTTTCATGGCTAACATCACCACAAGTGGGTCCCCAGTAGAGACAGTGTCACCCTCTTGAACAGATACCTTCTCTATGGTGCCTGGCATTGGGGCTTGAAGACCCTTGTCAACTGACCCTGGACCACTGGATGATAGGAACTTGGGGGAAGGCTGTATAAATTCATGATGCCCATCCTGTCAAAAAAGACACAAATAGTACAGAAACAAACCCAAAGTTCTAAACTGCTAAAAGCTGTAGAATTTTTCTCTATCTTCTCAACTTCAATGGACTGTAGAAAATTGCCTCGTCTTTAAACCTACATGATTGTTTTATTCATAGTTTTTTCATTTATTGTCAAAATATAGATTTATTCTGTTTTCATTGCTTTTCTGTAACAAATTAGGCTATATTTAAACCAATTAATTCTATTCACTGTTATGCTATAAATATAATGTAAAATGGGTTTGTAACAGCCTTTTGAAGATTAATCAGTTTTATTATCTAGTGGCTGGAATTTTGATATTTTTTAATACAAGAATGGCCAAGAATGGTTCATTATTTAGACCATGGTGCATTTGAAACTCTGAAATAAAATACATTGCTCACCACTGTAAAGATGTGAATGGACTCTCCCTTGACCACTACATTACATTTTGTCATGACCCCATCAATGGTTGATGATAAAACCGTTTTATTGCCTATAGTCCCGACATTTCCAGATACTGAATATGTGCTGCCATCTATTGTCATGGCATAACTCCCATCTTCTTGGTTAGTCACAGCAATGGAGACATCTGCAGAGAAATGGGATATGGTGTTAAAGAAGATAATACAAGTTTGACTCTGTAGTAATTTTAGTTTGGTATCTGTAACTGTTGAATGGCTGATAGGCAAGCATCAAGATGTAGCATCTACTCTGCCAATCTCGAACAGCATCAAATAGCGCTGTTTATGAAACAGTGCTGGACAGTGCTTTAAAAACAGTACTGCACATTGCTGTTTTCCAAAACAGTGCTGTGCAGCGCTGTAAAAAGAGTTCTGTACTACGCTGTTCAAAACAGGCGATGTTTGAAGAGCATTGTACTTCGCTGCAGTGCAGTGCTCGAACTGCAATGTTCAGTCCTGTTTACAGCACTGTACAGCGCTGCAAGATGATATTGCGGATTGGAGGTGTAGTACCCCATTGTCTCATAAAGGAGGTATAAATACTGGTTAAGTGTTCAATCCTCTGAGGAAAATTGTTAACATTTAAGTTTTATGTTCACATTTTGATTATTGAGAATGAGAAATATGGACACTTTTGTATTTTGTTTTGAAAACATTTTTGTTTTATAAACATTGGATAGGTTTTACTATACTTTATTTTGTAACTGCATTCATTTTCAATTGGGTTTTGAGTACTTTAATTCCTTTCAGCTTTCTTAATATTGTTTCTGCATAGTTACGTGGAAAGTGATTTTAGATTCATTCTTTTCATCAAATAGCAAATAGAATACCCCGTTATACCTGAGTAAATGAAATACTCCAAAATGGCTTTCTTTGTTTATACTTCCAGAACATTTGCAATTACTTAAATCAGCTAAATGTATTTATTTTGAGAACCTTGCTCGCACATGAGATTCTGTTCATGCTAGAGTCAATGGGATATCTTGGTCAAGAAGTGTTCACTTTTTGAGATGTCAGGTATTCATTTAAATATCCAGGTTTTACAACATACATGCACATGCAGTGATGCCCTTAATCTTCATGTTTTGATATTGATGATTGAATAATACTTAAGACTAATCTTTAGTAAATCAAATGTTTATTACATATTACTATACCACATATTAATGAAGTAAAACTAGTGGTGATTCAACTATACTAGAGTGATTCAAAGTAGTGAATCAACTGTTAATGATTAACTGATATTGCACTGTCAAAACTCCACCAAGTCAGTACATGTAGTTCAAACAAATATTCAAAACACTTCTACTTTATTTCATAAATCGGGTGATGTCTGAAAAAGGGGATTTTACAAGTAAGAAATGATGAAACACAATAAAATGGGGATTTTTCAGAAAAGGAGTATAATAACGGATGAAAACATTCATTTTAGCAGTTTTCCATTGACAGAATATGACATCTTTAACATTAGTATTAACTTGTACAGGCCTGGGGCTGGCAATTTTGCCTTCGATACAAACAACACTTGAAACATCAAAATGGATCTTTAAATGTGGCCCATCGGAAACAGAATGCAACAGGAGGACTCACTACTGTGAATCCAAAATGGACAAGTGCACTTCATGCTGGGACTATTGTTCAGAGAAGAGGATTAAAGGACACCCATACTATAGGATACAATGTCATAAATACTGTCCAGGTATGTTTCTCAGTCTGTTATTCATTTGGCGAATTTCAGATTTTTTATAAGGCAGAATTGGGCAAAATTTGATTTCTAGTTGTTTAGAATCAAACCTGAATTTAATACAGAATACATGATCGTACATGTACTTCTATTTTTATATGGTAGCAATCCCCATACCACACATCTTCTGTTATTGATTTAAAAATGTGATTATTTGAAATAAATTAACCTTAAAAAAATTCACATTGTCACTACCAGATATGTAAGTAATCTTTTAATTTCTTATTCTTTCTTATTCTTAAGTATGGATGCGGAACCAGGAGATGAAGAAATTGATGGCTGAGTCAACCAAGGAACCTATTCTCAAGGAGACTCCAACTCTCACAAATACAGTTGTCCCAGCCAAAGAACAAGGTGATCACACAAGTGCTACTGACCCCATTGTAATAAAAGTTACAGGACAATGGACTTCTATTAAAACACTGACAGCAGCAGGTGTCTGTCTGGCATTTATTGTATTGGGATTCTTGGCAGTGTTTATTGTTAAGAATCGCACAGTAAACAACCCTGGGCATGAAGAAGATTTGGAGAAAAGATCGTTGAACGATAGCACAGACACCAATGACACTACTGTTCAAATGGACACAAATACAAAAGGAAACAGACAGAAAGGCAATGCCGATGACAATATCAATATTGCTAATACAATTCAATTGCCGATTTCAGACAAAGGGGCAGATGTCCGTGTCGCATGTTCAGTTATTCAGTCAGCCCCAGAATGTGAAGATGTCCAATCTAACATTTGTGAACCTCAGTCAAAAATTCAAGATTTGCTACAATCAACATATGTTTAAAGGCCCTATGTAAAGTAAAAGCTTAAATCACTTAGGCTTCTATTGTTAGACTCATCCTGTTATAAGCTGACATCTTAACTTACTGGCAAAGTAAATGCATGTGCATAATAATTTTAGATAAGTGCTTTAAAAAATCAAAAGAATACCGATTAACATTTATAAGTTTTTTACTTCCTTTGAAGGGAAAATCAAAAGAATACCGATTAACATTTATAAGTTTTTTACTTCGTTCGATGCGAAAATCAAAAGAATACCAATTAACATTTATAAGTTTTATGTGAAGACCTTTGTGAACTCTTGTCAATGTGAACACTTTCAGGTGGTCCCAGCTAAATAAGTAATATGTTCAAATTCCAAAATATCATAGTTTTGCACATACCTTTATCTCCATCCTTGATTGATATGATTTTCTTGGGTGGGTTGTTCAATCTTAGACCACTGAGCATACCAAATGGGGAATATGGATCTGCAAAAAGAATCACAATTACTGTACTGGGTAAGTTATAGCTAAAACTAGAAAGCAGCAATTCTGTGGTGTAGCAAATCCCACCAAATAAAACATATTTTATTAAACCCCCAGTCCTATCTAACATCATACATTCATGATAGTAATAACCCGAAAGTAGTAGAGAAGCGTTGGCAAAATCTACACCAAATATGTGGCCTGCCAACAATTTGTATTGGACTCCACACAAATTTTGAATTTAAGTTCCAAAGATGGCCTATTCACCAACATTCATGCAGTTTTTCACCATTCTGAAAAATTTTGGCATGATTTTTAGCCAAAATTGTGAAAAAGCTCCCACCCTGGAAAAAAGCTCCCCCTCCTGGTAAAAGATGGCTACGGCAAGTCCTGTATAATTTAATGCACACTTAAAATGGAGAGAATAAATTGACAAATATGTACATTTCTGCTGACTAAATGGGCATGAAGTACTTAATCAATGATACCATTTCAAATAATGAGCCTGGAAACCTATTTTTAAAGCCAATAATATATTACAGGAAATCTCGGAAACAAAATGTGATTATTACCATATTTTGATTAATAAGGTTTCTGTTTTCCAACCTCACTTTGTGATTTAAGATAGATGCCAATTCAAAAAGGAAAAATACTCAATACTATTTACAACACAAATAAAGGGTGCCCATAAAGTGTACACTTTACTCAGACTTTGTTTATAATTGTAAAATGGCTTCGTGGACACCCAGTATATTATGTTCTCATCATATTAAAATATGTGATTATGTAAGTAAACATTAGTTAAAGAGAGGGTCCTTACTACAGAAACCCCATTAAGAGCTATAAAAGTGTGACTGCTAGTTGGTTTTGAGAACTCTTTAAACACACTACATGTACATTGTTAATGGGTTTCCCACATTCTAGTTTACCAGACCCCTTTTTATATTATATATGTCCCTATAAGTAGAACACTATATCAAGAATTAATCAATCAGAGCCATTAAGGCTGCTAAAGTATATGCAAATAAATTTAAAGGGACATATTTTCTATAATGTCACTTAAACCAGAAATACAGTGCAGCAAAACCTGTCTCATTTGAAAAGTGGGACCGGTTAAAAATATTTTGATTAGCATTTCAAGGTTTTATAAACATGTGAAACCCCAAATAGGTAGCAACACAAGTCAATAGAATGGTAGTTTATTTTAAAAAAATAAACATTTGTAACAAATAAGAGTGCATTCTGCACTAATTAAAGCCACACATTTCTCAAAACACTTACCTCATTGTCAATTCAAAAGAAATAAAATTTTCTTAAAATTGGAAAGGCCCATTTACCTTTCATAAGAGTAAGTGTGGGGTTTGAGTTAAATAAACCATTTGTACTGGGTCTTAGGAGAACTAATAGCCTCAGGCCAAGGCCCTTAGCTTTTATTTCTCATAAAACCCAGTACTCGTAGTTTATCTATAACTTAAATGATAGGCATTTATTCTTATATCACAAAGTGAGATTTATGAACATGCAAGTCAATGGAAGATAACAATTTTACTTCTGCCAACAAAGTTTGATTGTGATAAAGTGAAGACCCTTTGAACACAGTTGGCAAAATTCAGTTTCTTTTGTATAGTGATGAAAATTTAGATAACTCATTAAATGTAAAATTAATAGAACTGCATGTAGTGAGTCATTTTGTGAATCAAAGTTTGAACCAAATTGATCATTTTGTCTAATTTCTATGTGCATGTTAACTCATCCCTGGCCCCTGGGATTAAAGTTTCTTATATGAGTTATACCACTACATTGATAGCTTTTCAATTTATATGTTTTCCTATTCTGAATGACTAAAATTACCGCTAATGCTTTTATAAAACTTTGGCAATTAATTCCTTGTATATAACTGTTAACTAAAGGAATAAACTTTACGTAAAAAAGTGACGACTTCCATCCATCTCTCAGTCCATCTGTCAATCTAATACAAAGCATAACTCAAATTAAATACTAGTGGACTAGTAGTTGCTCCCAAGAAAATAAAATGACATCAAATAATTGCGAAAAATCTCATTTGAAATTTTCAAGTATGAGTTTAATTGCATTATTTTTTGACAGCATACATTTAATACAATAGTACTGTAATATAGAAGTGTTCATGTTAAGAGGTGTTTGGATATACATGTTTTACTTTTATTTGGTATATCAAATACTCAGGCTAATAATAAAAAAAAGTAGACAAATCAATACACATTTTTTACCATAGTCACCTATATCTTGTAAATTTTATTTCATTTCATATGTCATAGCTCTAATCTTTAGGGAGAATGTCAAAAATTAATGTCGCTAAATAAGCTATATATTATCAGCTAGGGGTTTGGGTCTCTGAAACCAAGAAAATAAGCTTCCCCAACATCGATCCCCAGGGAACTGCATGACCCATTTTTCATCCAGTTTTTCAAATTTTAAAGTTCTTTTTCGCTGTTATGGCACAGCCAATATATAAAACTCCATCTAATGAATATGAAAGCTGCATCAACGAGATGCGTAATTATAGTTTTGGGATAAGCAAAACTGAACTAAAAACAATTGTGAAATAACAATCATGAAATAAATCTATATGTTCAAAATTGTGCGTGTCAACATTTTCCATATACATGTATAGTAAACAGGGGAGGTATCTGTGACTTGACTGATAATACATGTATATAGGTTTTTGTGCTACATTAGTCTTTTGACATGCTCCCTTAGTGCAAGTATATAAGGAGTAGGTTATTGAATTTTCAATTCATTCAGTTCTTCCAGATTCTATGGAATGTATTCATACGAGGTTAATGTTTCAGAATAAAATCCAAAAACAAGTTTAGGAATGGTCTTCTGGCCTTCCTTATGATGATAAGTTGAATGAAACTTTGGACTTCATTAATTTTTGACTTACATGGAATAGACTTGATTAATTTGTGACTTACATATGGAAAATAGAATTGATTAATTAGTTTGTAACTTAAATATGGAATAGACTTGATTAACTTTGATAATACAAACAATATTAAAATGCATAAATATGTAAATATGTGAAAATGGAAACCACAAAACTATACCAGTATAAAAGATTAATGCAGTCAGTAAATCTAAACAGGCAACTCTGTGTGTGATATATGATATAAAACAATGAAGCAAATAGTAAGTGAATTCGTAAGCAACACCTCTGGGCATGGATGGGGAATGGTTAGTCGAACCAGTAGCAAATTTGGCAAGGCATTATGGATAGTAATAACACTTCTATCAACCATAGCTGCTATCATTTGGGTATCGACTATAATAGTTCGCTACGTCAAATATGAAACAATTGACAGAGTAGATGCAAAAGTGGATGAAGACATTATATTTCCATCTGTAACTGTGTGCCCACTCTATGGTTTTTCTCAAACAAAAATAACGGGAGCCTTTTCTGACCCCAATAGTGAAATGCACTCTCTTACCAGCTTTCTGGATTCATCCTTTGCTAACATAGATGGATTTGTGCAGATGACCAATGAAACATACGAGTCTATTCTGTCAAATATAATTCACGAGGCAAGATCCAACAGAGGGTTTTATGAGCATGTGGGCATAGATGGAGTTTCGACTTTTGGACATGAGCTCCGCAATTTTATCCCTTTCTGTTTATATCAAGAAAAGGAATGCTCAGCAGCTGACTTTCAGAAGATAGTTCATCATGAATACAAAAATTGTTACACATTCAATGGTGGGGATATCAACTTAACGAAACCAATAATTGCCAGTACAGGAGCTCAAAAAGGACTTTCCCTTACACTTTACTTGGAAAATTCAGAATTTGCTTATGTGACTTATGACTCAAATCGTGTAATGACTGCTGCATCAGGGGCAAGGGTGATTATACATGAAAAGGGAACTTTACCTGATCCTGATAATGAGGGATTTGATGTAGAACCTGGACATCTGATTAGCGTTGCTCTCTCTGTGGACAGACGGCAGCTTCTAAAACAGCCTTGGGGTGAATGTGCCGAGCATAATACGCTTCACTCAACCGATTTCAAATATTCCCGAAACACATGTAAAATCAAATGTATGGAGAAAGTGATCGAGCGACAATGTGGATGTAGACATGATTTGCTCCCAGTTGCATTAAATGCAACAACAGAATCCGACATACAACCTTGTGGTAAAATCAACAGAGAAGAGTGGCTGAAGGCATCTGAAGCAAATAGTACTGTTCTAAAAGAGGACCTTGCAAGGGTTAAATGCTCAAAGGAGGAGCATCAATGGACTATACTCTCTAAGGATATCCCAGGTTGTGAATGTGAATACAACTGTACATATGTTGATTACCAAATCGAGACATCTCAGTCTGTGTGGCCAACCAGGGGCTCTGAGCTCGATTTCTATTGTCAGCTGAGTTATACTCATGCATCAGCTTTCATAGAAAGGTTTAATACCAGCATCCGTGTTCACTGCGCTGATCTTATGGAATATATAAATGTTGCGCAAAACTATGGTGATGAATTGAGAAGGAATGTTCTCCGTGTAAATGTATATTTCAAAACTCTTGAGATGAAGTACACAATCCAGGAGGAAGGCTTCTCATTGGTTTCAATGATATCAGAAATTGGGGGAGTTCTTGGCATATTCGTTGGCATATCAATCATCACTATACTCGAGATTTTTGTCCTATGCAGTGGCATTGTACATGCAATAATAAATGGCAAAAAAATCTCCAGTGAACAAAATGTGAAAGATAATATGTCAACACCAAAAAACAAACTTGAGGAATTATCGTATCACAAAACTAATGACATTGTATAAATAGTTTGAAAAATATTAGTCTCTACAGCTACATTTCTATTACAAATACCAAAAATTCGAGTAAATTGAACGATACATGTTTTTCTGTTTTCTAAAAGAAATCATGAAATGATGTTCTTATTCATAACAAATACACAATATTCCTCTGATGGATTTGGTAAGATTACACAGAATATTGAAAATGTTATGGATGATAATTAGAGGATATCCTATGATTTTGAGGAATATCATTTTTTTTATCTACGAGGTGATATTGATATCTGCCCGAGAGAGCAAAGCGAACGAGTGCATATATCAATATCACCGAGTAGATCAAAATGATATTCTGAAAAAAATCATAGGATGTTCTTATTATCCTACACTTACAAGGAGTGTACTAAATGTATAATATCATTGCAAAATGAATTTCATGCCAAATAGAGCCAATTTGGCGGGAAATCAACAAGCGGAGTATATCGTCATAATATCCTCCGCATATTGGGTTTTCGGGAGTATATCGTCACGATATCCTCCGCCCGGAGTATATTGTTACGATATCCTCTGGATACTCACTTTGCCAATAAATATCAATTTATTTTTTATTGTTATTATACGTTTTTAGTGATTAAGTGTAGGATAAAGAACCATACACCTTTATATGTACAGAGGATTTCATATTAATAAGGAAAGTGTAAAATAAATGAATATGTACATGTATATTTATACTGTAAATATCTTGAGTGATGTTATATACCTATATAAATCCATTTATTTATTCATGTATTTTTAAATGTAACATAAAGAACTGAAAATTTGGGAAAAATAAATATCTCTGAAAAAACATTAAACATTAAACCTTTTGAAAACCTGAAAAATATCTTAAACCAACATTTGACAAAAAAAATGCAGAAATCAAATAATTTTTGTTTCTCGTATTTATGCTAGAAATGCTCTAAAAGTTATCAGATATATTATGTTATTTTATGTGCTTTTGAGACAACTGTATAAAGCACTTAGGGTGGGATCAATTCACATTATAATGCACCTTTTAAGATTTTATGAAACCATTAACACAAATCAATACACATCAGCTAATAGGCCTTTAACAAATAGAGAAACTGTATTATGTAAAGGTGTACAATATAATTAGACCAGACTAGTATACCATGGAGTTACTGATAAAAGTTACATATTCCCTAATCTAGTTCCCCTCAGATCAATGAAACACTTAACTGGCTTATAAATAGCATGATATATCATCGTTTACAGAATAAATCAATTTTAAACATTTTTAACATTGTTTTAGAAAACTAAATAGCATGGAAAATTGAATTCGAGAAATATATCAAACTATCCTAAATGGTGGGCAGCATTTGAAGCAATTGCTTTTTATAATCATTTCAATTACATAATGTCTTAAAGACGGCACAACATAATCTGAATGCAAGACCCAACACAAGAAGCCCTATCAGCACCAATTCACCTATTAGAATTTAGTTGTACTACAGGGTGTTCCAAAAATAACAGGACTGGCTCTGGCATTTTGTTAATTTATTGCACAGAGTGATACCATATACTCTTACAGTTTATATATTAGTCAAGATAAATCTGATTCTGCCATTCCATGTCACCCAATATTCTACATTCATTGTTTATTTAACCATAAAATCTGTAAAGAATAAACAATGAAAGACTACAAATATAAATCTTACCATTTGAATTAATGCTTCGTGAAACTGTTTCCTCATCTTCATATATGAGTAACGCTTGGGCAGCCTGGCACATGGCCCTGTGTGACACCGTCCTTACAGGGAACAATTCTGAATAGTACTGGTCTATGAACCCTGTGTGTACATTACCAGCAACAAATTGTGGATGGGACGCTAAGTCATCTAGAAATTTTATATTTGTGTTTAATCCCACAATCTGAAATAAACAAATGGAAAAAAGATATAATCAATTTTCATGTTGGCAAATTCACAAGTTGCTGTTCTCACTTTTCAGACGATTTAAGCATCTCAGTATTTTGAAATCTCTTATTATAATCCAAATTAAATATTACTCCAATTTGTATGAAGTAAAATTACCATATCCATTTAATGATGGTCCTTATACCATTGGCCTATGATATGTTTTGATGGGCCATTTTCAATATTTGCAAGATACGGTAAAACGTGTAAAGTGAAACACCTCTGTAATGCCGTGGTCACATTTGCTCCGATTTTTACATGGCCCCCGGCCAATTGAGTATTTTGTTCAAAATTGAATACAATATTGAAAAACACTCAATCGGCCAGGCGCCGGCCGATGAATAGGAGCAAATGTGACCACGGCATCAGTGGAACACCTTCAAAATTAAGCCTCTCTAAGTGCAACATTATTTTGGAATACAAGAGGTGTTCCGCCTACACACGTTTTACTGAACTTACATTGTAGTCTTTGAGAGCTGATGTTGTTCTTTGAAGAGCTGCCTGTCTATCTTCAGCCCACACGACCAGTTTGGCAATCATAGGATCATAATGTACAGACACCTGGTCTCCTGAACAATATGAATAAAAATAATAATAAAAATTTGGGAATTTTCTTTTGATATTGATTTTATCAACTGTTAGTCTTTACAGATTATTAAGTAACTGTTTTTAAATGGTAACAAAGAATATAAAATGATAAATATTAAATTCTTATGGACACTCAAAACCCTGAAAAGCTTTCAATACAAATCATGGGTTAAAGTTACTATCAAAAACTTGTGTGGGGCAACTACATAGTCAAGAGTGCTAAAATACAAAACAACATACACTACTCAGTACCTTCTCTCACGCCTGTCTCTATTCGTGTGTTTATATTAGCCTCAGGAGTTGATAGATGCTCTAGGGGTCCTGCCCCTGGCATAAAATCATTGTCTGGATCTTCAGCATAAATACGAGCCTCAAAGGCATGGCCAATCAGCTTCAAATCTTTCTGCATCATGGGTAATTTCTCTCCAGCTGCAACCTGTTAATATATTGAAAACGGCCATTCAAACTGCAGAACTATAAATTGGAAGATGAGATATGTGGAGTATGTTTAAGCATTAGCTAAACATGTCCTTATTATATATCATATATTTATTTAGCATGTTTTTAGGGATTTCAATTGACTTGTTATCAAGGCTCTGTGCTTTATGACAATTTTAAAAAAAAATTAAGACATCAAAAGATGAGTCTCTTTTCACACGTCCCCTTTTCATTAATTTTTACATGTAAGTGCCGAATACCAATTTCTTCATGAAACTATCCAGTATATACTCAATAATAACACATACCTTTAATTGCCATTCCACTAAATCTGTGTTGGTGATCATTTCAGTGACTGGATGTTCAACCTGAAGTCTGGTGTTCATTTCCATAAAAAAGAAGTTTTCATGTTTGTCCATGATGAACTCGACAGTGCCTGCACCCACATAGTTGACAGCTTCAGCAGCCCTTACTGCAGCTTCTCCAATTTTCTTCCTCGTTTCCTCAGATATTCCAGGCTGAATGAATGAAACTTCAATTAGTACAAGGCATTAACATGCAAAAAGTCACCACCTGCCATTTGTTACAGATGCCTGTTACGACACTGAAAGATGAACACCAACCGCCATCCACAAAATTGGAGACTATAGCAACATGTTACACAGAGATGGTTACATAATAATGCTGCATTGCATATGGACTTGGAAGAGCGCTTAGATGTGAGCTTATAAGGCAGCTCTGCCACCTCCATGGCAAGACCTTAACAGTCTTTCTGGATCTGGAGACTGAATAAAACTTAAGTAGGTGCAGACTTCTCTTGGTGGTTTTTAAACACAAAGAAAGGACTTTCCCCTTTGTGTTTTTGATCTGTCATCCCTGCGCTTTTTTTGAATTTCAATGGTGTTCAAGAAATAATGTGAAAATATTGATATCTAATACTTACTGCAGGGGCCTCTTCTATTATCTTCTGGTGCCTTCTCTGTACACTACAGTCTCTCTCAAATAGGTACACATAGTTACCATGTTGGTCTCCAAACACTTGAACTTCAACATGTCTGAAATAGTTTAATAATAAACATGGACACAAAGTAAAGGTGGAGTGTTTGAACCTGAACATTAACAGTTTACACTACAAGGTGTGTTAAAGCATGTGCTACAACTCTTCAAAAATTGCTTTTAAACCTGAAATAGTAATTTCTGTGTATATTATACGTATCAAAATACTTTTCACAGTATTCTTAATATAAACCTGATATACATTGTTTAATACTATATCATACTGGCTCATTTTAAATTGACTCGTCTGAAGTAAGCTCTTTGGTCAAAGTAAACATATTTCTCATACTCTTTGAGTTGACCATTCTTTGTCATCCCAGAGGTATTCCACTTATATAGGTTTAACTCTGTACCTTGGTGTTTCAACAAATTTCTCAATGAGAACAATGTCATCTCCAAATGACTTCATAGCTTCTCTCTTGGCACTTTCCAGCTGACTGTCAAACTCTTCTTTTGTCATGCAGATTCTCATCCCCTAGGCAAAACAAAGTCAACAAATGCAGATAAGGGGATTGGCAGAAATTGGAGAGAAGCAAACTGTCGATCATACAAAATTAGTGATTGTATCCAAATATGCGCAGTTGTGTATTGACCCCCCCCCCCCCCCCCTCTCCCCCTTTCCCTAATCTAACAAAATTTTAAAATGTTGATTCATCGTTCACTTTAATATTTAAGAAAATCAACACTATCCACTTAAAATGAACCCCCTCCCCTAACAAAATTAACTTTTTTATTCCACAGCTGTTGATAATTAGATACCATTTATTATAGCTGCTTGAATGCTAAGAGGCAACATTGCCCATTTGTATTGCACATATTCATAAGAAAATCAGTTCCTTGAAAGATCTGTAAAAATTCAATTTTCATCAATTTCATTTTCTGTGTATGTGCAGTACTTACCTTTCCACCTCCCCCTCTGACTGCCTTTATCATGACAGGGTACCCTATTTTCTCCGCCTCTTTTCTCAATGTTTCTTCTGATTGGTCTTCACCATGGTAACCCTCTATGATTGGCACTTTAGCTGCAGACATAATGAATTTAGATGTGCTGTAAGAGAAAGAACAGACACATGTATGTGTGTGAACACCTCTCAAAGCAAATAAAAAATTGTGAGAATCTTTCTGTCCCATTTTAGTGGTACATGTATTTCATTAACTTTATGTTTATACTTCAAACAACTTGCAATAATGAATCACTTTCAAGTAATGGCTTTAGCTCGACTGATAACTTTGGATGGAACTTTCTGTTATGTAATAGTTTTATTTCTAAACATTAAAAGAGAATGTCTAATGGAGAAACCTTTATATATAAGTCTGGTGAATAGCTGCTATTTGAGCAAAGGCATTTAGTTAAAAAAATGGTCTCATAGAAAAATCAATAATTTTTGAAATAAACCGTATGATCTTCAGCAATTTTTCAACAATTTAGTGTTTCATTTTATAAACTGCTGATTTCGCTCTTTTCCGCTCAAACATGAATTTACCTTTTTATAGAGGTGTCAAGTATTAACCGGTTAACCGGTTAACCGCCGATAATGCCTTGACCGGTCTGTGTTTTTATGGGTGGTTAGTTGACCGTGTATAATTCTGTTATTTCCCGCGCTAATATTGCATGCTCATCTGTTTGGTTTTAAAGTGTCAGTTTCACGTAAGCTACTCATACATGTCATAAGTCCGATAACTCCTTACAAACATCCAATCAGCAACTTTAATCCCTGACACATTGCTTTCCCGAGCTTACTTTGCATGTTAATCTGTTTGTTTTTCAAGTGTCAGTTTCATGTGAGCTACTCATACATGTGATAGTTCCGATCACTCCTTACAAACATCCAATCAGCACCTTTAATCCCTGCCACATTGCTTTCCCGCGCTTACTTTGCATGTTAACCTGTTTGTTTTTCAAGTGTCAGCCATGTGTAATCAACTCATATTGCAAAACTATTTCATAAATAAATTATATGCATTTTTTAATTCTTCCTTTTTGTTATTATTGTTGTCTATCAACGTCGCCAAAATGTCAAAGGTCAAAGCCTCGCTTTGGTAGTAAGAAAAATAAAATCAAAATAAACACTAATCAGCTGCAATTCTCGTAGTTATGGAGCGTTCGTGGAGATTCCAAGGGTAAACCAGTGTGGTAATTTAGAGGTACCGGTAGTCAGGTAGTGTATGAATAGAACAGAGTAAAGCTTGACGAACGTAAAAAATAAACGATGAAATATCATTTTTCCAATTTTTTTCAACTTTCAAGATCGAAGATGAAGATTTCATTTGAAATTATCAGTTCAAATTTCCCGCCGGTTAACCGACTTTAACCGGTAAAAACATCCGGTTAACCGGTTAATACTCAAGCAGTTAATTGACACCACTACCTTTTTATCCCCATGTCTCTGATAGCACTTGCTGGTGGTCCAATAAATATTAATCCCTGGTCCCCACATAGTTCAGCAAATTCTGTGTTCTCAGAGAGGAACCCATAGCCTGGGTGAATAGCCTATAAAAAGAGGAAACTTTAAATAAATAGAGGTCACTATCATCAGCAAAACTGAAATGTTACAAATGAGCAATACATGTGTCTATAATATTGTATTACAAAAGTACTACAGTAGCATTATACATGCAAATCTCACTGTTGCAATCATGCCGCATAATACATGAGTCATGCTGCATAATACATGAGTGAGTCTAGTTTAATGGTATTACATACGCATATATGTACCATTATCCATGTGAGTCTACTTTTTTGTTTTACATTGAATTACAAATGAAATTACAATAATGGGTATTTACCTGTGCTCCTGCTGATTTGGCAACCTGAATAATCCTATCTTGTTGGAGGTAGCTCTGTTGGGAGGGGGCGGGGCCTATATGGTACGCCTCATCTGCCTTTTAAAGGAGGATTGGATTTTAGTAAAAAAATCAATGAATCAATACTGTAAAACATAAAATTGTAAGATTGATTAAAGAAGTCTAGTGGTCACCATTCCCTTTCTATGGTAATTATAATAGGAATTTTAATGTCAGTTGACTCATTGAATACCCTGAGCACAGAGTCTAGTTATAAACTAGAAGACGAAGCTCTCTTTTAAGAAGTGGAACAAATGCAAAGGGTATTTTTGAATTTATTGGCTATAGTTTTCTATTTGAAGACAAATGGGACTTTTGAAGGGTATTTCTCCACGTGACTCACCATTGCAACATGCATACTCTGAGCATCAGCATCACTGTACACTGCTACTGTTTGGATCCCAAGTTTTCTGGCAGTCTTCATTACCCTGCATGCTATCTCCCCTCTGTTTGCAATCAGCACCTTGGTGATAGGCCTCACACCTAAATGTAGCCAAGCATGCACAATAATTGCATAATTAACAGGCAAATGTCACCACCTGACATTTGTTACAGACTCTGGACTCCGAAGATCAAACTCTGAATGCTGAACAATGCACCAACCACTTCACAAGAAAGTTGGGAGTACATGTACATATAGGATCTTAGCTATTCAACCCCTTTCATTACTGAATAGAACTTTACATGTAACTATAATTAAAAGTTACATGTTGGAAGCTAAACCTTTTATCCTTTATTCCATCAAAAAGCATTCCTACTCTCTTAGTTCTAAAACGATTTTACAGTAGTAATGCTAAGCAGATCATAACAATCTCAAATGAACATGAACCTTCAATGGTCAAAGGGTCTTTTTTGCTTATGGGAAGAAAGGGGGGGGGGGCTTTATGAAGAAAACAACACTACCCTCCAAGTTCTAAAATTATTTTACAGTAGTAATGTAGATCTTTATTGCTTATTAGGCAGAAAAGAGGGTTTTATGAAGTATATTAATTTCTCAGTCTAATACCTGTATTTAGCATCCTGCTTGAAAGGGCCATTCCAGCATGACACCTACAATATAAAAATAAACAATGTTCAATAAACATGAAGATATGCTGAAGTGGACAGGAAGGCATGGGTGTAGTCCATGTTGGTAAGTCTCAGACACTCAGTGTAGCCCTTCCTTTGTCGGACAATTACAGGTACACAGTACATATGGACACGCATGGAAGACATTGCAATCCCTGTCCTCTAGTTCCAATGAGTATTTGAAGGCCTCTCAAAGTATGATTGTTGTTGTACATGTAGATGCCAATATTAAACGGATGTGCGGTCACCAGTAGGTGATTTTACTGGGACTTCATAACAATTGGGGCCATCCAGTAAAAAATTGTGGGAATTAACGACAACTCTGAATGGTCAATGTACAGTGAAAAGATTTGCAATTTGATTGGTGATTGGTGCTTTTTAGATGATGCCTGAATAATGAGTTGTAACCTTTTAATAACGGATTCAATCTTTTTAATTTATCGCTCATTACAGAGAATGTGTAACACCATGTATACAGAAGCATCTATCGAGCTAGACATTTTATAGATAAAGGCATGGGCTTTCAATCTATTGAATGTCCATGATAAAGGTAAGTAAAAGTAAACATACTAAAAGGAGAAGATATTGTATTTTTCAAGATCTGTTTGTTTTTGAAGAGAGTACATGAAGCAAAGGACCATGTATCAATAGTCAAGTGAATTCAACTTAACGTTGTTATTTCACGTTTCTTTTTGATGATTTGGATATTTGTTATTTTAATTGTTATTTTGATTTTTTCAACATTTACAACCATTGTATGCAAGAAAATAATAAAAATAAATATCCAAATGATAAAAATATGGGCAAATAACAGCATACGAAGGTCGGATTTATATGACTAGTCTACTGTACAGTCTGTTACACTGCTTCAAAGGCAAGCAGTTAAACCTGAAATATAAGAAATCTAAATAATATTGTGCAATAATATATAGAAAAATATATTCATATTGCACACGAATGTCATTTGCATACATGTATGTTGGATTGCTTGTAAATTGGCTCATAAAGTCTGTAACCTCTTACATTTTGATGCTTCTCTACCATGTTAATTCTCAAAAAAATAACATGGCAGACAGACCTCAAATTACAAGAGGGCACAGGCTTATTGCACTAAACACTAAATAATCTGAAATAAACAAATGTCATTCGTGTGCAATATGAATATATTTTTCTAAATATTATGGCACAATGGTCTATAGATTTCTTATTTTTCAGGTTCAACCCCAGGGTTCAAAGATGACGCTTATAATGTAAATCTTCATTGAGATGACATCGTCGCTGATTGGTTTAGTGAGTCGATCGTTGATGTGTTTAAAACTAGGTCAATTTGAAAACAAAGATGGAGGGTACATTTTCGACAAAAGGAGGTGCGCGAAGGAGGAAATCGGATGTCATCAATTGAATCATGGGGTTTTCCCTCCTCTTGCTTGCCTTTGAAGCAGTGTAACAGACTGTACATGTACATGTATCGACAGTGATGACATCTATATTTAGTGTCCATTGACTCATGAGGGACTAGAGTATAGGGAGGCAATGGCATCCAAATTAATGTAATTGTCGGACACTCAGTGTATGCAGTCATTTGTCCGACATGTTCCTTTGGAATGTATGCAGCTAAGATTTTAGGATTTTTCCAAAAAATAAAAATCAAATCATTTGCAAAATTTATGCAGTTGTGATCTCAAGAAAGCATTATCAATAAATCATTTCATAATGTTTTGATACACTAACTCATCATGTATCGAGTCAAGTGTATTTAAATCGTGTTTCGCTTACCTAAAGTGCAGAAACTGTTGAAAGTTATTTTTTAGAGCAGCAGCCATATTTCAATCTGACGTCATTTGGGGAAAGCCTCGAAGAGAGAATGGAATTCCGAAGATCAAATCATGATTTCGTGATGATTTCACAATATGGGCATTCGAAATGAATCAATAATTCTCGAGAATATATACATTGTTTAGATCTAATGGGGTTATTTAGCCTGAAAAGTATCACAGCTAAAAATTGGTCATTCCCGGGAGATCAAATTTCAAAGTACAATAAACGAAACAGCATTTTCATAAAATTTATTTGTGGTGTTTCTTCTATTTCGCTTTTACTCAGCCAATGAAATTTCAGAACGGTATTCATTGGATGTAGCCTTTGTCGAAATAACTAAAATTGTTGTATTTTTAAGGTGAGTTATAGTAGTTATATAGTCAATGGTATGTGATTATACTCTGCATTTTTTGATTTGTTATGTCGGTCTATCATTTGGCACTTGAAATTTCCAAATCGATCCAAAAAATGCTTCACTTTTATTGATCAAAAAATTTGTAAAATATTTGTGGTTGAAATTGAAGAGAACCATTGATTAGGCTATTAAGATCGTACTATTATCTAGTGAGCTTAGTCCTAGTCTAGGTATTAGGCCTTGTCTAAACAAGTAGGGAAAAAGTCCAAAGAAAGTTGAAAATATTTGCATAAACTTTTTTGTTCATGCTACAGGATTTGGTTTGATCATTTCGATATCCAAAGGTGAATGCATTGCATACGGAAAGAACTTGTTACTGCAACAAGTTACACATGCCTGGGGCAAAGTGATCTAATCGATGTGGGGTAATGTTGACATGAGGAATCTTCGACACTTTCTTCTTAGAATTTCCATTTTCCGACATGTTTATTTTTAAAAATATAGAAATAGATTTTGTGAAAACAACTGGTGAAAATTGCCTGTTGCCTGCTGCTAATGAAACCCCTGCTAAGTGACCCCATACAGTTTCAGAAATTTATCCCACATTGAAATAAAATGGCATCAACATTATACTCCTTCACCTTACCATGGGCTTTCAACACATAAATATGTCCATTAAAGTACCTCATCACCTTGAAATCACCCCTGCCTCATGGTTTAAGTTTCCTACTTTTCCAGCTCATACTTAGAAAGAAAGAATGACTTTGCATATCTCAATTGGGAAAATGATAAGTGGTAGGCCTAGCATTTCCTTCTGACAATCACTTTGCAACTGCAAGAGTATGTTATGAAGTGAATGTCATACATTATTTGAATGTTGAGGATTCCTTTTTAAGGTCATAGCAATTACTATACAAGTACCTCATCCATCAGATTAACAATACACATTTTAGGGGTAACCTAGACTAGAGACAATAGTTCTGCAACTCTCTTAATTAAATACATGTACAATCATGTGTTTGTCAACATCTCAGAATGCAGTTAAGGGCAAAATAATATAAACTTCAGATACCTCGAACATAATAATATTTATTAATACTGTGGTAAATAAGAAAACTTGCTTAATGTAGTACTATAGAGAATATCAAAATAATTGTAAACCCAGAGTGTGGAGTTTATTTGTAAACTAGTCTCTGAGCAGGTTAGACAATTTTACTGTAGATACACTTAATTTGGCTCCCTTTCTAATTTGACGGATTCAGAAACTCAACCTTGGAATTTTTGTCCTGCCAAATATCATCAATTCTACATTATTCCAAAAGAACTACAGAAAATATCTTAGTAAACATCTCTCCTAATGACATATAAACATCTACAAAACTTAACTTCAGTCCTGAATCCGCAAAATTAAATAGCGTCAAAATAAGTGTATCTACAGTAACTACACCCATCACTAAAGCTAGTCGCTGTCACAGTCCTGGTCATAAATCAATTCAAAGTCACTGCACTGTCATTTTCTCAACCAATCAGTGAACCCAGCTGAGTGAGCAAAAAGAAAACTTGGCCTCCTTTTACATCAGATGTGATTGCATGGGTCTGTAAAATTTTTGCAAAAACTTTGACTTCATTATGCCAAAAATTTATTACTGTATATCACTCATCCAATGATTTCATGTAATAATTGAATTGCTCTTTTTCACTAATTCAATTTTTTGACTTATCTTTGCATCTTGAACTATTTAAAAAAAAATTGATCTGGGCTATTTGATCCCACTTAATTGTGTCATTATTTAAACTTATATTTCTTTCTATATTTCAGTACAACTCTACATCTCTCTCAACAAAGTTGTAAGCTAAAGTTTAAGAAAGCCCAGATGCTGACGTAAAAGTAAAAGTAAGTTGGAAATCTATTTGTGAAATTACCTGGGACTCCATTGGGTTTCATGTTTTGTAAAATGTTTCCAGTGTCATTAGGCGATAACATGGGATACTAAGCAACAATGTCAGTTGCAGTGGATCAAATAAACCTCACAGACCTCATCAAATAAATCTCATAGAGGTTAAGGTGCAGCGTGTTGTTGATGTTACATTATTTACAGAGATGAGGATTCAGAGAATAATGGGATTTTTACCTGTGAAATCTGTGAAATTTGAGAGTCACGAAGTTGTGTTTTCTCAAAATTCGCAAAATTAAAACTCTAGAAATTAACTGGGAGTATGGTATGTTGGTTTTTTTAACGGAGAGTGTTGACTTTTTTAATATTCAAGAAAAAGGCAAATTACCCTTTTTAATTTCATTACACTATGGGAGGGTCAAACCATATAGACAAGATTAACTTCATTCTTCCAAAACCATTGATAATTGACCTTTTGCAATCAGAATTTAGGAATTTTGTTTATGGATACTGTTGTCACATATTTCGCCTTATTGGTGTGACGTCATAGAAAAATGATATTAGACATGATGGAATCACGAAATGGCAGACACGTGTCAGTTTTGAGCTAAAAATATTGTCGTTTCTTTTATGAAAACCATGGGTCGGATATTTACCAGGTATGCTGATTTGACTAGATCATGAGTATATCTATATATGTGCGAAGTTTGGGTGAAATTCATACTAAACATTGATGCCTATAAGCGCCCCCCGTTTTTGTCAAAATCGGGGGGCGCTTAACCACTATCCAAATCATGTCAGTAAGATCTTAGACTTAGTATGTGCTTAGCATGAATGTTGATCTAGTCAAATCGAACGCTTTCGTGAAAAATAAATCAATAAAGCACGAAATATAGAAGATAATCTCTCAAAATCAAGCATCTAAAGCTGGGTGGCCTAATTGTGGCGTCACTAAAAGATAGAATCCATTCGGTGATCGCAAATCATCGATTGGATACCATCCCGCAGATATATGGTCAGATCATTTGATTCTCGTAACTTGCATCATTTATTTATTGTATTTGGAATAACACCTGACAGATGTTGCTATCACCAGAAGGTCAAAGTCACCTATGGCTTTTAAATAAAATAACCAAAGGGTGAACTCATACCTCTAATATATTTTTCTGATTTTTTAATTTCAGATATTCAACACCAGCAACCCCGTGGGTTCAAAGGTAAGTAAATGTTGTTGTAAATTTATTTGTGAAAGTATGAACAGTAGGATAAGTTTATTTTTGAACAAGAAAAAAACTGTCCAAGGGAGTAAGTTTGACATTCAGGCATTTGGCAACTTCCTTGCCAAGAAATTCAGAAAAACCACACACAAACATTGGCGTAGCCTAAGACATGAAGCAAAAATCATCAAGGATAAAATTTTACTTTTTGAAAGAAAACATAAAAATAAATCTAATGATGTTGATTTCCTCTTGATGATATGAAAATAATGTAAACACAATAAAGCCAATATTAATGATGCAATATTTATGTAAACGCTTGAAAATGAAATAAAACAACAATATATTCTAATTTCTGTTTAAATTCTATTTAATACATTGCATATTAACCAAAGAATTATGCTATTGAAGCAAATACAGGATGTTTCAAACAAATACAAGTAATCAATAAAGAAGTTGGTACGTGCATACAGGATGTTTCAAACAAATACAAGTAATCAATAAAGAAGTTGGTACGTGCATATACATTTGTCCAACTCTGCACGGCTTTGTTCTTGTATGATGTTAACCTTCTATTTTGGGGGGGGGGGATTTTGCAAATATTTAATGCACTTTAATTCGATGTACATGTATAATACACATCTTAGATATATAAGAACTGATACTCATTATATAAGCATGAAAGTTGTTAGTAAATTAAATATGAAATTCAGGCAAAGAATAGACGGACGAGGGTTAATTACTATTTTGATATGTTCATTTCATAGGATGAAATAGGCAGAATTCTGGTTTTATAAAAATTGGTAGATATGTTTTATTATAAATCTTTCATTATACTTTGTAAGTTAGCCTTAGGTAAATGATGGACTTTTGACATGAATATATCCACAACTGTTTATTATGATGTATTTATTGTATGGTACTTTCATTACAGATCAAAACAACATGTATATGGGTGCACCTCTAAGCAGTGACCCGCGTATGGCAATTCAGCCAGGGATCCAGCCAATGGGGACTGCAGGTTATCCGAGTGTAAACCCATATGGCTCCAGCGGTATGCCCGGTATGCCTCCCGCCCCAAGCGGCCTACCAGGAAGTCTAGGCCCAATGGCGCCACCTGGTGGCCTTTCCGGTTCCTCTGCACCACCCGGAAGTAGCTTATCTTTAGGACAAACTCATCCAGGGGGTTTACCTCTTGGACATTCACCATTAGGACATTCGAGTCTAGGACCATCTGGTTTAGGACCTTCTGGCCTAGGCCCATCAAGCCTAGGACCTTCTGGACCTAGTCTATATGGCACACCACAGGGGAGGACTTTGGCTCTAGGACCAACACCTCAAGGACTCACATCTATAGGACAGATGCATGGGCATGCATTGAAACCAACCCCAACACCCCCCAGTAGCTTATATGGACCAGGCCAATCATTCTCTGCATTACATGCAGCTAATGGTCAGCCTGTTTATAGAGGGATGCCGGGTCAATCAGCATCTGGTATAAGTCCCTACCCAGGCGCACCATCTCCTGTGACATCACAGGCAGGATATCCAGTAGGAATGCTTCATCAGCAAGCCATACCTCACCCCTCAGGTGGCTTGTCTAATGGGAGCCTTCAACCAGGTGGTCTCCTAGGGAGCCAGTCTAACGGAGTTAGTACGTTACATCCTATCCCAAACCCTAGTTCAGCTGCAAGGAATGGAGGTCCTGGTCAAGCCAGTCTGTTAGGTCAACCTATGCGTCATGTCTCCTCTTCTCCCCATGCCCCTAGTACAGGTCCAAGCTCTTTCTACCCTCCCCCAAGTAATCATGCTTACGCAAGTGCACCGATTAGTTCATACAATCCATATTCCCCTTACGCTACCCCATCTGCAACATCTCCCTTGTACCACACAGGGCCCAGCTTGAATGGGGCCATGAGTCCATTAGGGTACCCTTCCTCTACCCTCTCGCAAGCAAGCTATGGGGCATCACTCTCCATGCAAGGGCCAGCAGGCTCTGTCCCCCAAGGGCCCCAGGGAATCCCAGGGTACCCGAGTACAATGTCGCATATGCCTTACCCGTAACAAATCTGCTGAGTGATGACCCCCTCCTTCTCCTGGACTAGGGAGGATAGGATGAAATGACTAATCTCAAATGGACAACAATAATGGAAAAGCTCATTATAATACACAGTATATACTCAATGGTTTTACATTGCGATTTTAGATTGAAATTTATGAAACTTAATGGTGGTATCTTACATATTATTGATTAGATAAATAAGTCATATCAAGTATCCAAAGTCATCGAGGAAATTTGTCAATTTCTGTTTGCTGATATTTCGTTGAATATGAAAGATAATATCATTTAAAGGGGTACAAGAATCATGAGAGTTTTAACATCACTAGGTTTTATTTTCAAAATAAAAGTTCGATTGGAATTATAATTGACATTTTTTTCATTATGTTGACAGTAATCATGTGTAAATACAAATAATGGTGTATCATTGACTGAACTTACATTGACTTAGTGCTGACAAATCATGTTTGTAGTAATCAATGATATTAAATGTCATGTGGATACATTGAAGTGTGACATTAAAAGAAACCTGCCAATTGTCCTTGACATTGCTTGATGAAGTCATTTACAAATCAGACAACTCTGATTTAACACTACATAGTGCAAGGCAATTGGATTGTATGTCAAACAAGCATAAAAACAATCACACAGACCATAGTGCAATATTACATGAAAAAAATGTATTCATATTTTAGTCTTATATGTTTGGTTTTGGTTTGGTTAATTAATGTGGCCTCTTGTAGTTCGATCCTTCTCTGACATGTGATTTGAAAAAATATCATGGCAGAAATTCCTTATATTACAAGATGTCTTAGACTTACAGCACTCAAAACTAATTAATCTTAATTATACAAAGATTTGTATATAAAATATGAATGTATTGTTTCATATAATATTGTACTGTGGTCATTCGATGGCTTATTTTTTTAGGTTTGATTAAAGCATAATCCAATTGCCTGACACTGTAGATTGAATAGTCAAAGGCCCCATATAGATTTTGAAAATATGTTTTTATCAGTCATTTACTATTTTTCAACCTTTATATGGGGCCTTTAAGGTATGAGTAATTCTTTACAAATGTAATGACTGATGATGTGATATGTTTTAATGTTATGCTCCTTTAAAACTTGTCAGAGACAAAATGAGAATAATGGAGGGGCAATTCAAGATGAAAAGAAACTTTGCAATGTTCCCTCGTTTTAAGTCTAGCTGACATTATTGACAACTGAAATAAACCAAAGTTTATTTGTAAACTAAGTACATTGACTATAAAGATATTATTTTTCTTGTCATGAGATTTGTAATATCAGCAGGGTAAATTGGCCAATTAAGGTAGTGCAAGTATGGCCATTAACCTTGATTTAGGTAGAACTGTTAACACATAAGCTGATATGAGTGGATTAATGTGAAAAATAATTCAGCTTGACCTACTTTTATTTTGATAAATGTGAAAATGAAACAACAATACTAAACAATATTGAAATTGAAAATGAAAATGCCAAAATATGAGTTGGAATTTTGGTAGACCTACCTCACTATCGATTTAAAGTGACAATTTAACTCATTTTTCTAAATCAGCCATGGTTTAAGGAAAGTCAAATTGTTAATACTGAAATATTCAGGATCTCAAAAAAAACTACAAACACAATTTTACTCACTATAATACTGAAAACTTTAGATCTGAAAATATTTTTTGAAATATTGTAGTTGAAATTAGGGAGGTTAAGTACATTTATTCTTTGAAACAATGTGGCTAAGATGATTTTATGGTATTCAGCCCGTTTAAGACACATGTAATATCAGAATATAAAAATATGGACGTTCAATTTAAAGTATTTTTGGAGACATACGTTAGAGTGTCAATTATTGCTGACGTAAAAGAAAAGTCGTAGTTTGAGCCGCAAGATACCATTCATATCTCTATTATATTTATATATTTTTCATAACATGGACATTCATTGAGAAGACTTCTTAGAGATATGAAGCCTGCCTTATGCACAGTAGAACCTGTCTAACCCAAACATTTCTGGGGCTGGACAAAAGTATTTCGATTGGCAGGTGTTCATATTTCGAGGTTTTAACATGATAATAGATGGCAGATTAAAAATATGGGACTGAAAAAGAATCCACTAATTGAGACGTGTCTAGTTTGAGAAAATGTTCAGTTAAACAGGTTATACTTTGGACTGAATATCTTTGTAAGTAGTATTTCAAAAGTGTACGATGGATATGTGAAATTCTAATAATGAAATACTACAAAAATCGCAAAATGAAAGCATAAAGATCACAAATTGCAATGTGTTTTGAACTGTACTAGGATATATATACCGATTAGGGTGGAATGCAATCTGAATTTGCATTGAATCGATTTAATTCGACAATGCAAAAATAATCTTGTAAAAAAGTGCACAAAAAGAAGTGTTAGCTAATACTTGAGAAAAGTTAGGTTAGGAAAGGAAGTTTCTCGAGATGTTATTTCACCTAAGAAAAAAATTTTCTTTTTGTCTAATGTTGACAGACATGTGGTAAAATGATATGCCAGCATACTTAGAATATCTTCGTTGAAATAGTTTAGTGTTTCAGTTCAGGGGAAAATTCTTATCAACTTGAATTTTTGGCAGAAACATTTTCTATCTAGCCATTTTTACAAAGCAAAAAATTTAGACGACTTTTATGATACAATATACTGAAACAATTTTAAAAAGATATAAAACACAACTTCTGTTTGTTGTTGAGGTAACTGTAATGGCTATCTATATTTGTATTGAATGCGGGATTGTAAATACAATATACAATACTAATAGGTTAGAATGAAATATCCACTTATTGGCTATTTTTACATGTGTACTCATTTGGATGAAAAAACTGTTAAAGGGACATTCCTTACTAACCTGTTGCTGTCTGATATATATGGTTGCTATAAGCAATTATTCAAAATTAATGTGAAAACAGTTTGGTTAGATCAGGTCAAATTTGAAAATTGTATTTTGTGTCAAGCCTTAAAGTGCTATTTAATTAAAAAGTAAGATCGAGTTTCTTAGTACATTTTTAGCGTCTCTCGTCCCCTTTAAAGTGGGGATCTTACATGTTTCGGCCCCAAAGGTGGCCATCTTTAATAATCACTGGACCGTTAAATCAGGGTACATACATACATAATACATACAATAATGATTGACTTTTTGGAAACATTTTATATGAGATTTTAAAGGAATTTACCAAGGTTGAGAGACATATTAAACAGTACCACCCATGACAGGATATTCACTTTGTTTTTGTGTATTTGTTACGTTATTGTGTAATGGAAAAGGGAAAATGCTATGCATTTTTGCTCAGTATAGGAGCTGTATATATGGTACACAAAGTAATTGTACAATTTTAGAATAACTGTACATATTTTACAAGGTCGCTTGTATTTTTACAGAGTATTCTTGACCACATTATTTGTAGATTTATTAGTATTTACTTTTCTAATGTTTTGATAGACCACTTTTTGTTAATTTTGATTTGCAATGTAACAATTACCTCTAGTGTAATTTATTAATAAAAAGTTGATATCTGATATAAAAGAATTTTGTGATTTATTAAAGGATGAATGGCTGTATTGTCAACAATAAACGCCCACTTTTGCAGTTTTGGTGGTATGTTTTATATATTCTTCCTGATTTACAAAACAGGTATTGTTTAAAAACAGCCTGTTCTCAATACTTTATATGATTGGTTAATTTGCCGAATGGCCAAAGAAACTTCCCCATTGGATAACATTATAAAGATAATATTTCTGACATTTAACTTCCCGGACCTGGCTAAAAAAACTAGGCAATAGGCAAATTAAATGATTAGGCAAAGTTATCACGTGTACAGGATTGCTATCATGATCGTTGATTTGTTATATTGGGAATTGGACATCCATATTTTATTTATACAAATGTTGCTAACCAGCAGGTTCCATTTGTGTCGACAAGAGCGTATGTCCTGGAGTCAAAAGTCTGATTTCACTTTTATCATACCCCATTCATTTGTTCACAATTTCATGGTAAATTAAATATAGACTTATCAAATGAATTTGTGAAAAGGTGGTACAAACATCTACATCCCTTATTGGTCAGATCCTTGTTTTGTGCGTTTTAGTCCTCTTAAGACATGTAGGAGAGATTTCAAAAAATAAAAAGATCAAATACGATATATTATCGCTGTGAATAAATATTTGTGATATATTTAAACGATTTAATAATTTCGACAGCATTGCTGCCTGTACAGGGTGACCCAAAAAGAACTTACCCTCTACTACTGGTATTATTCTTAGTTATGAGCCCTAGTGTTCAATGCATGTACATGCATAGCATCAATAACTCGTAGACTTTGAGATATCTTATTTCTCGTGTAGGCATGTATGAACACCACCCCACATTAAAATGTAACTGAGGAAATCTGCCTTTCTTATTTACCTAATAAGCAATTCATTATGCTTGACAAAATTATTTTAAGTGGGTAGATATGACATATTGTTGATGCGTACTTGTGTGAAAGCAATCCAGAAATGACTCGATGGCTAAGACAGAAATTCCCATTTAAGAAAAAATGTATCTTGAAGAATAGTAAAAAATTTACGCAAGAGTATGCGGCAGAGGTACACCCTGTTTGGAAGGTGACGTTAATTTTTGAATCACCCTGTACTTATTTTCTCTGTGACATTTAATTTCATATTTTTGGTGTCTTCACAGCTTTTCATAATTGTCACATGTGTACCCAGCTTTCCATCACATGTATAACAATTTATTTTATAGATTCACGTCCTACGCTGTAATCCCCCAATCACCAATGCCTGCAATGATACAACAACATGACTATTACGGTCCATTTCGATGTCTTATTTTCGTCAATAGAACCAAACATAAGAACCTAGGAATCAAAAAACCACAGAGCTACAACGTAATTTATGGGAAATTTTATAATATACAGTAAACGAATGACATTTGCATATTTCAGATAAATAATTTTATGTCATTCTTTTATGATTTGAATATATTGAAGTATATTACAGCACAAGTCTTAATCCCTAATAGTTTAGGTTTTATTGATGAAAATAAAACATTGATTTGAAATGGACTTTATGGATGTTACACCCCAGTCACATTTCCTACGGCGACCTTGCGGTCTATCATTTCTGCGGCCAGTAGCTTTTCTACGCTCGCCGCAGAATTTCTGCGCTCTCATACTTTTGCAGTCACATTTCCCACGGCAGCCGCACGGTGAATTTTAAATTTCAATTGATAGATAATAGTTTTTTCATTTTATTTACATCAGGACAATTTATAAATGTTATTCAAAGTGCTAGGATGTAATATCAAATGAAAAGTGATCGTGAAACATTGACAAATAATGATTTAATCTTGTTGAGCCAGTTGATTTCTACGGGGACCTCAGAAATGAACAAATATTATAACTCCGAGTTATAATTTCTACGCCTTCCCTGCGGCCTGTAAAAATCTGCAGGCCGCAGTGCTACACAATTAACACCCCAGTCACATTTGTCGCACGGAGGCCGCAAGGCGAGCGTAGTTTTTCTACGCTCGCCGCAGAAATTCACCGATTTAATTGTTCTGCGGTCGACTTGCGGCCGCCGTGCGACAAATGTGACTGGGGTGTTAATTGTGTAGCACTTTATAAATATCATTTAATTTCAGACAATTAAAATTGCTCTAGAGGTATAATTTAGAAAGCAAATCGTCTTTTGAATGTATGGTCGGAGTAGATCTACCGCTTACCGGTCAACTCGGCATAGTTGCAGGCCCGTAGCCAGGATTTACCGGGGGAGCGGTTGTACCAAGGAGGCAGCTTTTACCAAGAGTGGAGCATTTTGACATTTTTGGCAAAAAATCATGCGAAAAGTGCTCAGAATGGTTAAAAACTGCACGCATGATTTTAAAAAGAATTTCTGGTAGGGGGGGGCGGCCGCTCCCTCCGCCTCCCCCTCACCCACCCCCCCCCCCCCCACCCCCCCCCCCCCCCCCCCGGATACGGGCCTGCGTTGTGTTGATACAAAACTCACCACTTTCACAATATAAGCCGTTATACCCAGGTGGGCAATCACATGTAAGATTACCATTCCTTTCTTCAAAGCATTTCCCTCCATTCCAACATGGATTTGATTCACACACTTAAAAAATACAACTGATTAGGTAGAGTATAAACCAACGATTCTGATTCGTTTCTGCTGATCTGAAGCTTGAATAGTTTTTTGATCCATACCAAATGCAACATGGTGAATACATACATGTACTAACTTATTTTCACATAGAGTCTGTCACTTATATTCAACTATACATTCGACATTTTGTTAAGTGACAGATCATGGGCTCTATCAGTAGATAGTAGATGTGGTAGAGCCCATGGACACTGTTCAGTGGCGGATTCAGGGGGGTGCGCGCGGGACGCCATTATTTGCTACAATGTGCAAGAATATGTTAGCTGTTTAACCCTAATAGATCTCACTTGTTGAATACGCCATCTATAGAAAATGTCAAAAATTTTCATTCTGATTTTGACAGATGGAGGGATGTAAAAAAGGTCTTAATCATATCAAATCCCTCCAATAATTTAGACTACAAGAGAAGTTAATACAACAATACACGAGGTTGCTAACGGACCGGATTCTACTAATCAGGGTCGTGTGATTTTACTTTTTCAACTCAAACTTTTAAAAGCACAAACTCTCAGGAATGATGCTTGATTCAAAAAAGGTCAGCAACTATCTTCAGTAGCAATTATTGTTTCCCTCATTCAGTTGTTAATTTAAATTTTGATTTTATAAATATTATAGCTTTAAAATTCCACATCCTTATGCCACCTCACTGTGTATTATGCAAAATGTAACATTTTTTACCCTAATCTGTACAATTGCTTGTCTAACCTGTTTGCCCGCTACTGCAAGTATAACCGCTTATATCTGTAAATTAAAAATGTGAAATATTACTATTTCAATGGTTTTACTTTAGCACCATATATATTTGCGATATCATCTTAGGTCAGTGAAAGAATATGCTGCTAAGAGCAGTTTTCCATTCTAGAATTACCAGTACAATTACTCATTTCGAAGGGCAATATAGTGAAATATTGGACCGAGGGCCGAAGGCTCAAGGTCCAATATTTCACTATATTGCCCGCAGAGATGACGTTATATAAGTATTATTACCACAGTTAATCAGGAAATAAAATATGATGAATGAAATTACAAGAACTGAACGAAATCTAATTTCCAGGGGAATATTGCCGGGCGTTAATGCATTATTGGCCCGCCACTATGACATACTAAAATAAATGCCTTCTAAATTCTAGATTTTATTAAAGGTGCAATAATTAGTGCAGAGGGGTCATTCAACGATCATGGACCAGTGTCAAAATATATTTAAGTTTTGATATTTCATCAAGACTAACATCTATTTTTATTATCTACGAAGAAACCCCCTAGATAAACATTATTTTAGCTAGTATTCCTCTTGAAACATGGTGGATCTTAAAAATATAAAAGTGGAAGTCCCCTTTTTGAAGCTTTGAACTGAATTTACACTTCTTAATGCTGAAATTGATAATTTATCCATTACACGTCGCACGAAACTGGGGACAATTAGAGTAACAGTATGGCGTCAAAATACCAAAACAATACAATGGGCAGTATAGGGCGCAATCAGCATTATAACGTCAAAAACGACAAGCGTTACATTTTGTCAAGTTTAGTCAACATAAAAATAAGATGCTTTATTCTTATTCAATCCTAGTAAAATTAACAGAGTAACAAGATCTCGAGGACAATATTTCTAAAATGTTTTTGATTTTTGAAAAACGGTCAGGAAGTCCACTCGGGGCGTTAGTAAAAATTGATGTGTATGGGATTTGTGGTAAAAAATCGATGCGTTACATTTTTTCAAGTCTCTAAAAGCAACTCTTATTCTCTTATTATTTGAAAAATAAAGAAATCGGTTATTGTTTTGTAAATTTCGCCATGACAATATTGTGCAGTTAAATTTTTTTTGAAATCAGACCTAAATTAGAAGGTTAAATAAAGGTGAACTTATTGCTTGTCTCCTTCGCCTTCAAAACCTTACACAATTTTGAAAATCTTAAAAGCGTTCATATAATACGATTTGAACTGTAGCCGCTAGGCAATTGTGACGTCATAAAAGCACATGTTTCAATGAATAAAATGTGAAATTTTAGTAAAATTCTGATCAGTATTACTAAAGTTATACCGATTTCAACGAACCGTGCAAGCGTGAAATGTTACGTCTTACAGCGTATTTGACGATGTCGGAGTACATTTAACTTCAAAATTATGGTAGATCCTATCACACTTTCCATGGAAAAATAATTTCAGTGAAATGCGAATAAAAAATACTTCAAAATGATATATAATGCACATAGTTAGCTTTTTAAATAAGGCAGATATTTAGAGGTTATGTCACTATCGTGGCATATATGCCCGAGGGTCTCAGTGATATATGGCCCGACCTTGGGAGGGACTTTGATCTCTGAGAACCGAGGGCATATGTGCCACGATAGTGACATAAACGATTTATAACATACCTATGATGATGTAGACTTAGAATTATAGAATTGACAAACAAATGGTTTGAAAATGATTGAAATGAGTTTAGAAAAATTGCTCGCGCAGTTTTATCTTCGATTGATTGGTTATGACGTCAGCGCATTGACCAATCAGAAAGTTAGCGGGCGCGGGCTTTTCAAAACTTATATTGGCCCGCTGTCTTGTGTACACTTTGCACTATACATCATCATAGGTATGTTATAATAACGCTTAAAGCTGAGATTACCCTGTATTTCCCGAATTGTCCCCAGGTCCGTGCACGTCATACATACATTTTAAGAAAAATGGTATGTCAAAGAAGATTTTAAACCAAATGTTGCCTTGATAGCTTAGAAAAAATGAAAAAACTTTCCTATTTTCTCTACAGTCCTTATTGCCCCTTTAAAACATGTACTTCGTCCCATTATTTCTTATCTCGTTCTAAAACTATCTCTACGTAGAAGATAAATTATTTCCACATTGTTATATCTCACTTTTTACAGGTTTTACGAAAAATTTGACGAAGATCCAATGAACGGTTTAAAAAAGACGGGACGTCCCTTGTTAACACCCCATTCACATTTCCTACGGCGACCTTGCGGTCTATCATTTCTGCGGCCAGTAACATTTCTACGCTCGCCGTGGAATTTCTGCGCTCTCATACTTTTGCAGTCACATTTCCCACGGCAGCCGCACGGTGAATTTTAAATTTCTGTTGATAGATAATACCTTTTTCATTTTATTTACATCGGGACAATTTATAATTGTTATTCATAGTGCTAGGATGTAATATCAAATGAAAAGTAATCGTGGAACATTGACAAATAATGATTCAATCTTGTTGGGCCGGTTGATTTCTACGGGGACCTCAGAAATGAACAAATATTATAACTCCGAGTTATAATTTCTACGGCGACCCTGCGGCCTGTAAAAAACTGGATACGCCGTACGGAGGCCGCAAGGTGAGCGTAGTTTTCCTACGCTCGCCGCAGAAATACATTGATTTAATTGATCTGCGGTCGACGCACGGCCTCCGTACGACAAATGTGACTGGGGTGTCACGAAGAAAATAATGATCACTATAATGATAACCCTACAACAACATAACAACTGCATCCTACAGGTTGTTTGATAAAAACCTATTTGTAATTATTGTGAGGTCCATTAAAACAACAACATTTATTTTGAAAATCCCAATCCCCTATTTGATGCAAATAACGGATGAAGACATGGCTTGACACAAGTTTCTTAAAAAACTAATTTGTTTGAGATCTAGAATTTGTGCGTTTTATGAACTACATGTACAGTATCACAGCATCCTTGCGACTTGATGTCAGCCCTTGATGAAGAACATTTTCTACTTACTTATTAGAACTGCCAACAGTAACGCCACATTTCCGAAGGCCATGTCTGCTCCAATTGTATTACCTTTAACTACCTGAATATTGTGATTATGTGGTATCGCCTGAATACGAGCTTCTTTCAATGAGACAAAGTTAATGTTTATTCAATGCATGCAGTTCTTCTTTATATCATCTATCATTTGTCATGATTAACTGCACTACGTGTAACACTGGGACCTGGGCACTGGGAGGTATTTTGAAATAAAGACAGCGGGTCTTTGTAACAAGATGGACTGCCTTCCGGTGGTAGATTCTCGTACGATATTTTGTTTTCACCATTTAACCCCATTTCTTGACGAGTTTCTCAATAATCATATACGTGCCGCTAGCGCATAATCCGGGCCTAGTGTGGGAGAATCTTTTTAGTATCCATTTTGCATCAATGATAGGTGAGAAATTCACAGTTTTAGTTTCGTAGACCTTTCAGTTCTAGTATCATGAACCTTTGATTCCAATTGATAAAAAATGTCAACATCGAAGTCAAATATTTTCAACATTTTGCCAAGTGTCATAGGCATCTAACCATTGATGTACCAGTATGGATTATGTTTCTTAAGTATGTGGTATGGGCTAGGCCTGCATCTACTTGGATTTTAATCGACTAGCTATAGCCGATCCGTCAGCGATCAAAATTATTCTCAAGCTTACTTACTTTTCCGTATACACAATTTGGGAAATTATTGGCATACATGAAACCTATTTAAAACATCTTTTATATTATTCAAAAGTGTTGATTATCAATGGTTCTCAGTCCTCTAAAGTTAAAAAAAATGGAAATACCTGGGTGTTAATCCAAAGATAATCCTTGAAAAATGAGAAATATTTTTGGGGATTATATGGTACAATCTTATAATCAATATAATGTCTTAAAGTGTATTGATGTTTTTTGGATAAAAAAACATAAGCGAAATCCATGAAAAAACTCCCCCGATTCATTCGACAAATAACTCCCCCTTCTTTGATGGAGAAAAGTGACAAAATCAAGAAAACAAAATTTCTTATCAAATTCTTCTACCAGAGATTCGACCATGCTGAAACGAAGACATCGTGTCTACGTTTCCAGCTGTATCAAGAACAAGAATGAAATGCAAACATGTGTTCGTCGGGAGTACAGAATGCGGGATTGCACATTCATTGAAGCACACCTTGCAACAATATCATTATAAGAGTTATTTCTAATGTTAGAAAACTTTCGATAAAAGCTGTTTCGAAAACGTATACGTAAACTTGTACTTTAAAGGGTCTTGTCACATTAAAATCAATTTGAAATTGATTTTCATGGTGACATAAACAGTTTTCGAATTCTAAACCTCATTCATCAATCAGTGACCGCGAATTTAATATAAGTCGCTTCGTTGCAATCTGTACATTATACCATGGTCAGAGTAATATCAGGTATATATTTAGCAAGTGATAAATCACATATTTGGGACAGGGATGATATCAGGATTAGAGGGATGATATCAGGGATGATATTGATATCATCCTGGGTAAATTAAAAAATTACATTTTCAAAAAAACATTTATTCAAAGAAATTTCGTTTTTCGACCAAAGTATTGGTATCGATATGGTGAACTGAATTCAACAATGTTTTTTCTCTTGAACAGATTATTGAAAAAATTCTGTAAAAAACAGTCCTTTGTGTAATGTTGACTGATTGACAACAATTTAATGCGAACATTATTTATATTATACGAGGGTATATCATAAAGTTATCATAATATCTCTCTAATTTTTTTGTTTTTCAATATATTCTGATGAATTTTTCACAGAATATGTAGTGTAGAATGCTGTATTAATCTATCAAAAGATATTTGGTATAACATAAATATTATTAAAGAAATGGTTGCCATAGTAACCGGAAATCAAGGCACTCGGGGCAAATAAAAAATTGTGTAAAAATATCCCCAACTGACCATGTTTAATGCATAGGATATAGTTCTGAGTAATGACATTAGCGGTTATTAGTGATTTGGTTTTCTGAATAAAAAGTCATTTTCTCCTTCCCTACCCCATTGGAGCGCCATCTGGCGTTTTGGGAAGTGAATCGGGACTAAATATTTATAGGGTAGGTCCTAATTTATCTGAAAACATGTCAGAGTTCAGTGGGAAATCTCATTTTAAGCTGGCGGCGGAGTGATTTTGACCTTGGTGATTTTACCAGAATTCTCTGAGAAATCTGACGATAGAGGGGGTTAGTGTCTTCAAGTTTATTTATCGTTTCAAAAATTCGGTGGACAACCCATGGTAAGATTGTTATAGCAGGCTGGGCGAGTCTCTCCCGAACACTGTGGTATGTTGCACTAGGCTTGGATGTTGTAATGGCCACCTATGGGAAACTCTACTGTGGTCTTCAACCATAATAAGATATCAAATAAGCTATGAAACACATCAAATTGTTAAATACCATGTGTTCTTGACTGTTTTGAACAATCATAATGGTCATGCAAATTGTGTGATCTCATAATGGATGCTTGTGATGCTTCATTAGAAGTGATGTTAGACACTACAAGTGTTTTGTCAAATATTCCAAGGAAAGTCGATTTTCCCCCTTTAGTTTATCTTAATTCGTGGGAAATATGTTGAAAAGTAGGTCTTAATATATAAAGATGATGATAGAAGATGACACTCAGATTGAAAATAAAAATTCTCTCATATCATGGCTGGTGTTAAGTTGTGCACCTGCACCTAAGGTATTTGCCATATTCACGGTCTCCGATACTACCCAACGTAAATCGTTCCGGACTTGTTTTTCATAACCATTTGGACTTGATTTATGGAAAAAAGTAGAGGTAGGTTTGTAAATTTGGTTATGAACTTGCTTTCACTTGACTTTATATAAATTATAACACAATTAGATAACTTACCATACTATATACCCTATCTTCAGGCACACACAAACGCCTTTTTTGTACGAACCGTTTGCTATAGTCTTGTTATTTCGGAATGTGAGCGATTCTGCAAGTGTTTTCACCTATTTTGCCTGATAATCACCAGCCTGCCTTGTATCCAATGAATACACCGATTTATAATGAAAGTAGCCATATTGTGAAGGAAAATCATGATTTAAAATGGTTTAAATGAGTAGCAATTGTCAAAAGAATATTTTTTAGATTTAACCATTTGGACGTGACCTAAATATTCCAGTTAATGATGTTGACTTGTTATTGGAACGTTTCTGACTTGTGTTATTGGAACGTTTCTGACTTGTAGAACACAATGAACCATTTTTAAGTGTGGAACAGCTCAATAAACTTTATAGATTTCCAACAAAACAGTGGAAGAAGTTGTCTGAGTGATACTATCTAAATGATCATCATTAATTAAATGTATTAAGAGATACTTGTCAAGGTTGAATTAGGGAATCATTACAGATACATGTTCTTTACTTGATACTTTCAAGGGGCAAGAATGCATGTGGAGAGAAAAGTTGATTTTCTACTTTTTCTTATGTTTTGCCTCTTCGCTTTTTTAAAGACTTCACTCGTCGCTATTTTCAATTTGTCTTTGAAAAAATGTGAGCATAAGTTTGCCTCGAATAAGACTTTAAACCCATCTTATTGGCTTCAAACTGACTTCCATGCTTATATTAATGCTAAGCAAGAAGTTTAGTGAAAGTTGAGAAGAAATAATTAGTTTTAATCGTTATTTACTGTTAAAAATCTACTGGTTTGCCCCTAGATCATTAACAATTTGATTCATTATTATTTGTTATAATTTCATAATTTGCCTCACTGCATGCAGGTTTTTGCCTCGGATTCTTCTTTAGACTTTCCCCTTCACTTCCAATGCACTAAATACGTTCAAAAAGCTCAGCGTCGCCTCTTTTAAATGGCCTGGGTTTTGACTCTTTTTAATACGAGAGATGTGTCGCCTAAGACAGGATTTGCTGTAAACTTACAATAATAATATTAGCCCCAAATGTATTTTGAAAAGAATATATAGAAACATCATCGATCGCCGAAATACGATCTATGCCCGCACATACATGGATTCCATCATCTTTTTTATTTGACACATGGCCTTGAATTGCATGCGCTTTTGTAGAGGACTGGGTTCAACGTATTCTTCCTCCTATATCGAGGTGCCATCATCAAATGACAGCCTTGAGCCTAATTTATCACACATCCGGAATCCATAATCCAGTGTTTTGTAACGCCATATGCCTTTATCACGAAAAGGGACGTCAAGCCTGAATAAATCGGAGGGATGGTCCCTCTTGAAGTGTTCAAAGAATATATTTTTATCTGCACTTTTAAAAGTACATTCGTGGCACTTGTTTCTGGGAACTGAAATTACAAAATCTGTGAATATTTAGTACAAAAACTCCTCTAAAACATAATCATACTAAATCCAATTATTCCAGAAGCATAGACAATTCATCAAACAATGGGACGTATAAATACCATTACAAGACAATTCCTAATCGTTATTTTTTATCACGTTGTGTACAATTCGAAGTCGTTCACCTTGTGATTATAAGACAAGTCCGTGTCAGAATAAGGACCATTCGCCGTCGTTAACTCCACTTTTTACATTACGGTCATTTATGGAAATTTGAAGGTACAGATAGTTAAAATATTAACACGATCTTTAATGTAGTGAATATTGTTCCACGTTATAAAATGACTTTTTTGTTTAAACATAGTTCAATGACAATAATGCAGATTTAGAGCATATTTCTGGCATTTTTGTTATTTAATGCCGATAAATATGAACTATGATGGCACGATCGCCAAATTAGATATGTGGGTAAAAAAAATAATGTTTTAAGTAGAAGTTAGCGTATGTATTTTTCTAAACGATTGAATTATATTACATTTTTGAGCCATTCTGATGAATGTCTCATCTCATTCTCCTACGAAATGAGTCCAAATGGTTATGAAAAACAAGTCCGGAACGAGTTACGTTGGGTAGTATCGGAGACCGTGATATTGTAACAGTTGTGACGTGATTTGCTATATTTAAATACCGTTCCGGGTGGCAGGGACCCAGTATTAAAAGATTTTTAGAAAAGTAGCTAAAATATATTATTTTCTGTTGAAACTTATACATAAAGTTGTTAAGATGTTGATCTTTATTATCTGAAAGTTTCATGTAATTATATTAAAATATAGCAAAGTTAGAGCGGGGCGTCCAAGACTTTTGGATCACCCCTCGTATTATGACTCCACTTCCTAAAAATACACTAATTATACAGCACTATGTCCAGTCAACATTCAAAATGGCAGCGGTAACACCATGCACATATGACGGATACACCGTACGGAGGCCGCAAGGCGAGCGTAGTTTTCCTACGCTCGCCGCAGAAATACACTGATTTAATTGATCTGCGGTCGACACACGGCCTCCGTACGACAAATGTGACTGGGGTGTTACGCTTCGACATTTCACATGAATCATATATTGTCCAATTTTGATACAAAACAAATTCCACAGGCCACAAATGCACATAGCCTTCGTATAAATCTTATCACCTTCATCAACAAGCCATTATTACCCAATATAACTCACTCCGTATTGACATTTAATGAAAAAGTTGTGTATCATTGATTTGTCAAATGCAGGAAATAGATAATAAAGTATCCAAGTAGATAAAAAAAATGTATCCAAGCGTGAAGTATACCGTTATTGTGCTTTATGCAACATAACATATTTACTATCACAATATAATCGGTAATCTTGGAATGGACTGGTGTGATAGATAACTCCCACTTGTCAACACCCTCGACATGTGCATGAATCAGGCAAAAGTTGAATATCACTGGTGATCCACTCGATTACGCTGGTTACCAAAACGGTTCGTTTTGGTAACAAAATGTCGGAACATCCGGAAGGTACAATTTTTCTCGTTTCCTTATTTTACACGTTGTAGGCAGAATTCCCACGACATTTTTTAACACAAACGTGTATCAGTATCATATGCTTAAGAAATGTTTCATTATAATTGCTATTTTTTCGCAAACATGTACATTTTCTAAATCATATGATACTGATGTACGTTGTGAGAAAAAACGTCGTGGGGATTCTGCCTACAACGCGTGAAATAAGGAAAAAAGAAAAATCGTGCCTTCGACGTTCAGAGATTTTGTTACCAAAACGGTTCGTTTTGGTAACGAGCGTAATCGAGTGGATCACCAGTGAATATATTCCAGTTTCTTGCGGTTTTGTTAAAACCAACAATGTAAAAGTTAACTAGAAACATGACGACGGGGACTCTTTATCACAGGTCGCGTGTTTCGGATATCTTTTGACGTCATACCACTGAGTGAGACATTTTGATTTTGTATTTTTGTGTCGTACGTTAATATAATAACCCAGATGCGAGTAGAAATAATCTTGATTTACATCATTAAAAATTCAAAATTTAGTCAAAGTAATATCATATTTGAAATCTACATGTAAAATTATATCTAAAAGTGTGGTTTCAAAAAGTGTTTATCAACTTTGAAAAATTAATTTTCTTGGAAAATGTGATTTCTTGCTCGGGGAGATTCTCCATAGACCCCATGCTATAAAACCACAAAAACTGAAATATTTTTTCTTTTAGTGGACAGATAATATTTTGCTTTACTGGACGTATTTTCATTAGTATAAGTATCAGACACATAAGGGTTATATGAAAATTGAGCCACTTAAATTGATAATATTCAAGTTTAAGGGAACTTTCTTATATACCTGCCATGTTAATTGACCCGAATCAGCCACCTGGTGGTGAAACTGGTAACTACTTACTCGCATTTGGGTAATTTGACGGAGTGTCTGGAAATAGGCCCCCGAGTGGGTGTTCAATTTCCTCTTCTTCCACAAAGTCCAATTTGAACTTAATATCATCAAAATTTAAGGTTAACAAATACAAGTAATCAATAAAGAAGTTGGTACGTGCATACAGGATGTTTCAAACAAATACAAGTAATCAATAAAGAAGTTGGTACGTGCATATACCTTTGTCCAACTCTGCACGGCTTTGTTCTTGTAAGATGTTAACCTTCTATTTTTGGGGGAGGGGATTTTGCAAATATTTAATGCACTTAATTTGATGTACATGTATAATACACATATTAGATATATAAGAACTGATACTCATTATTATATAAGCATGAAAGTTGTTAGTATATATATGAAATTCATGCAAAGAATAGTTGGACGAGGGTTAATTACTATTTTGATATGTTCATTTCATAGGATAGGCAGAATTCTGGTTTGATAAAAATTGGTAGATATGTTTTATTACAAATCTTTCATTATACTTTGTAAGTCAGTTAGCCTTAGGTAAATGATGGACTTTTGACATGAATATATCCACAACTGTTTATTATGATGTATTTATTGTATGGTACTTTCATTACAGATCAAAACAACATGTATATGGGTGCACCTCTAAGCAGTGACCCGCGTATGGCAATTCAGCCAGGGATCCAGCCAATGGGGACTGCAGGTTATCCGAGTGTAAGCCCATATGGCTCCAGTGGTATGCCCGGCATGCCTCCTGCCCCAAGCGGCCTTCCAGGAAGTCTGGGCCACATGGCGCAACCTGCTGGCCTTTCCAGTTCCTCTGCACCACCCGGAAGTAGCTTATCTTTAGGACAAACTCATCCAGGGGGTTTACCTCTTGGAGCTTCACCATTAGGACATTCGATTCTAGGACCATCTGGTTTAGGGCCTTCTGGCCTAGGCCCATCAAGCCTAGGACCTTCTGGACCTAGTTTATATGGCACACCACAGGGGAGGACTTTGGCTCTAGGACCAACACCTCAAGGACTCACATCCATAGGACAGATGCATGGGCATGCATTGAAACCAACCCCAACACCCCCAAGTAGCTTATATGGACCAGGCCAATCATTCTCTGCATTACATGCAGCTAATGGTCAGCCTGTATATAGAGGGATGCCGGGTCAATCAGCATCTGGTATAAGTCCCTACCCTATTGATGTGAAAAATAATTCAGCTTGACCTACTTTTATTTTGATAAATGTGAAAATGAAACAACAATACTAAACAATATTGAAATTGAAAATGAAAATGCCAAAATATGAGTTGGAATTTTGGTAGACCTACCTCACTATCGATTTAAAGTGACAATTTAACTCATTTTTCTAAATCAGCCATGGTTTAAGGAAAGTCAAATTGTTAATACTGAAATATTCAGGATCTCAAAAAAAAACTACAAACACAATTTTACTCACTATAATACTGAAAACTTTAGATCTGAAAATATTTTTTGAAATATTGTAGTTGAAATTAGGGAGGTTAAGTACATTTATTCTTTGAAACAATGTGGCTAAGATGAGTTTATGGTATTCAGCCCGTTTAAGACACATGTAATATCAGAATATAAAAATATGGACGTTCAATTTAAAGTATTTTTGGAGACATACGTTTTTCGTAGTTTGAGCCGCAAGATACCATTCATATCTCGCAAAAATAATCTTGTAAAAAAAGTGCACAAAAGAAGCGTTTGCTAATACTTGAGAAAAGTTAGGTTAGGAAAGGAAGTTTCTCGAGATGTTATTTCACCTAAGAAAAAAATTTTCTTTTTGTCTAATGAAGACAGACATGTGGGGAAATGATATGCCAGCATAATTAGAATTTCTTTGTTGAAATAGTTCAGTGTTTCAGTTCAGGGGAAAATTCTTATCAACTTGAATTTTTGGCAGAAACATTTTCTATCTAGCCATTTTTACAAAGCAAAAAATTTAGACGACTTTTATGATACAATGTACTGAAACAATTTTCTAAATATATAAAACACAACTTCTGTTTGTTGTTGAGGTAACTGTAATGGCTATCTATATTTGTATTGAATGCGGGATTGTAAATACAATATACAATACTAATAGGTTAGAATGAAATATCCACTTATTGGCTATTTTTACATGTGTACTCATTTGGATGAAAAAACTGTTAAAGGGACATTCCTTACTAACCTGTTGCTGTCTGATATATATGGTTGCTATAAGCAATTATTCAAAATTAATGTGAAAACAGTTTGGTTAGATCAGGTCAAATTTGAAAATTGTATTTTGTGTCAAGCCTTAAAGTGCTATTTAATTAAAAAGTAAGATCGAGTTTCTAAGTACATTTTTAGCATCTCTCGTCCCCTTTAAAGTGGGGATCTTACATGTTTCTGCCCCAAAGGTGGCCTTCTTTAATAATCACTGGACCGTTAAATCAGGGTACATACATACATAATACATACAATAATGATTGACTTTTAGGAAACATTTTATATGAGATTTTAAAGGAATTTACCAAGGTTGAGAGACATTTTGAACAGTACTACCCATGACAGGATATTCACTTTGTTTTTTTGTGTATTTGTTACGTTATTGTGTAATGGAAAAGGGAAAATGCTATGCATTTTTTGCTCAGTATAGGAGCTGTATATATGGTACACAAAGTAATTGTACAATTTTAGAATAACTGTACATATTTTACAAGGTCGCTTGTATTTTTACAGAGTATTCTTGACCACATTATTTGTAGATTTATTAGTATTTACTTTTCTAATGTTTTGATAGACCACTTTTTGTTAATTTTGATTTGCAATGTAACAATTACCTCTAGTGTAATTTATTAATAAAAAGTTGATATCTGATATAAAAGAATTTTGTGATTTATTAAAGGATGAATGGCTGTATTGTCAACAATAAACGCCCACTTTTGCAGTTTTGGTGGTATGTTCTATATATTCTCCCTGATTACAAAACAAGTGTTATTTAAAAACAGCCTGTTCTCAATACTCTTTAAGTGTTATTTAACCTGATTGGTTAATTTGCCGAATGGTCAAAGAAACTCCCCATTGGATAACATTATAAAGATAATATTTCTGACATTTAACTTCCCGGACCTGGCTAAAAAAACTAGGCAATAGGCAAATTAAATGATTAGGCAAAGTTATCACGTGTACAGGATTGCTATCATGATCGTTGATTTGTTATATTGGGAATTGGACATCCATATTTTATTTATACAATTGTTGCTAACCAGCAGGTTCCATTTGTGTCGACAAGAGCGTATATCCTGGAATCAAAAGTCTGATTTCACTTTTATCATACCCCATTCGTTTATTCACAATTTTTTTATTTTTTTTATTAAGAAATATTTATTGCTTCATAAAAATATCATAATATAAATCCCTTCAGTCGCCCGAAGGCATTATAGAAGGGTACATTAATAGCACAAAATACAAAATTATGATTAGGTCAAGGGGTTCACTCTGCACTTGTGGTTGGCCATGGGGTGGAAATATTAAGTGTGGATAATATAAAATAAAGTATAGTATATATAGTATGTAGGGAGGGGAAAACGTTATAGGTTCATTTCAATGAATTCAGCGATTGAGGTTTGGAGATGTGAATTTAGATCAAGGGGAATATTGTCAGAGCCATGTTTCATTAAGTAAAGGAGATCATTCTGAGTTAAATGTTTATCTGATAGTCCAGTTATATTAATAATATCAGTTTTTAATTTTGTTATCTTTTCTTTAATAAGGGGACACTGAAAGAAGAAGTGTTTTTCTGTCTGGGGGGCTCCACATTTACAGTTTGGATTCTCAACATAAGTAAAGTTGTGAGCATAAAGTTGGGCTTTGAAAAGAAGATCAGCTCTAAATTGGTTAATCAAAATTTCATGAGATCTTTTTAGATTGAGTTTGGAGGTGCTAATAAAACTTTCTTGGTTTTTAAACAAAATCTTTTGGTGTTTTTTAAAGGATTGGAGAGTTTTCAAATTACGTAATCGTTTTGGTAGTCGTGACCAGTTTGATATTGCTGATGGAACTGATGAATTCAAGAACCTCTTTGAGCACCTGGTTGGTAAATTAAAGTCAGATCTATCACGTAGATTGCGTGTTCCCTGATTTTTGAATTTTTCAAAAATTTCATCTAAAAAGAGTGGATTTGGACCATTTACAACTTTAAACATAAAGTTGTTAATTTGCATTTTTCTTCTTGTGTCTAGAGAAGGCCATTGAAGGAGATTCAAAACTTTATCAGTATTACTGCCATGAAGACAACCAGAGCACAAAAGAGCAGCCTGATAATAAATTTGATCAAGTCTATTTAGAAGATATTTTGATGCAGTATTAAAAATAGCAGTACCATAATCAAAATGAGGTCTTATAAATGAGTTGAAAAGCATTTCCAGATCTCTTGAGTTTAACTTTGTTTTAAGGTTCTTCAGGGGATTAATCATTTTCCTAACTTTATTATATATTTCTTCAATATGGTTTTGATTGGTCAGATTATGATCAAAAGTATATCCAAGGTGTTTATGTACATTTGTTCTTTCAATTTCAGAGTCACTTAGAAAGGATTTGCTTACATTTTCAGGATTTGCTCTAATTCCATGGAAAATAACTTCACAGCTCTTTTCTGGTTTAAATTGTAATTTCCACAATTCGGACCAATTTTCTATCTCAGTTAGATCAGATTTAACTAGTTCAAAAATTTCTTGGGGCTTTTTGGGGTCAAAAATAAAATGAAGAGATGTGTCATCTGCATAGATATAGCATTTGGAGTTTACATTATCAGGAAGGTCATTAATGTATAAAATAAATAGAAGTGGGCCTAAAATTGATCCCTGTGGCACGCCACAGTTTAGGAAGCCTGCTTCAGTTGTTACTGATGACTCACCAGCAATGTTTACAAAAAACCGCCTATTTGTCAGATATGATTTTAATAAATTTAGAAGTTGTCCATGAATACCGTAGGCCCTTAGTTTGTGTAGAAGTAAGTTATGCGGAACACGGTCAAAAGCAGCTGCAATGTCAAGAAAAATGGTTTTAGAGGCTTTGCCTTGGTCAAAATTGGTAAGTAAAAAATGTTCAATTGCCATTAGCTGAGAATGAGTGCTATGGCCTGGTAGAAAGCCAGACTGATACTTGAACAAAAGATCATTTGAAATTAAGTGTTTTTTGATTCGATCAGCTATAATTTTCTCAAACAATTTTGATAATGTATTGAGTAATGTTATGGGTCTGAAGTTACTAATCTTGGATTTGTCCTGTTTTTTAAAAATAGGACATACACTGCCAATTTTCCAAGTATCAGGAAAAATATTCTTGGACATTAGTTTGTTGAAAAGTTCAGATAGTGGTTTAGAAAGTGAGTGTGCAGTTAAATTTAACATTTTATTTGTTATCTCATCTGGGCCACAAGCTTTGGAAGGGTCAAGAGTCAAAATTAACTTCATAACTTCAAACTGATCAGTTTTAGCTGAAATCAGCAGTGAGTTTGTTCTCATTGGAAAGTCTGGCAAAAAGTGATTGTCATTTTCGTCTAGATGATTCTTATTTGCAAAAAAAGTCAAAAATGCATTAGCTTTATCTAAGTTCCTAATGAGTGGGTGATTTGAATTTTCATCTATAATTGATGGGATATCAGATTTAACATGCTTATTACCGAGAAAAGATTTAATTATTTTCCAATAGTTCTTATCATTTTTGCTCAAAGTCTTCATTGATTCCAAAGTATTTATTTCGTTTTGACACTTAGCTTCTTTGATTAAAGTTGTTAATTGTAATGCTTGTTGGTCATATTTTATTCTATTTTCATCACTTGGATTTTTTATCATTTGATTGTAGTATTGTCTTTTCTTTTTAATTTCTAACTTAAGTTTGTCGTTAAACCACGGTTGATCATTTGCCCTTATAGTAATGATTTTGTTTGGGATATTAGTTTTGTAAATAGTTGTTAATTTCTGGACAAAGTCTATTGTAATTTTATTCATATCAATGCCATTATTAATAATTTGATTCCAAACAGGATCTTTAGAGGTTCTGGACAAATCATTTGATTCTGGACTTGTCATATTTTTTTCTCAACGAAATCACATCCAAGGGTTGAATTTTTATTAGCTATTTAGAGAGTGAGTCCTGCCTAGTATTAATTTCAATAAAAAAGTTAAAGTAGAACCCTATTTGAGAGTCAATCTAATACTTACATTACATTGATAAATTAAGGCAAATCCTGAAATATTTTAAAGTGCATTTTTTATGAAATAGTATCCAGCAAGTATTTAGATGAAACGGTCTTATTTAAATACAAATCATAACATGATGTTATTTTTCATGAAACATATTTCTTTTTTTTCTTTGATATTTTCTATGAAATCCCATCCAATGGTCAAGGTAAAATTTTGATTTTGATTTGGTATTAGGTCACGTGTTCCAAAGATCCATATAAGGCCCATAGAACCATACAGGAACGCCATTTTGAATGTCACGTGATAGATCCATATAAGGCTTTTAGAACCATATCGGGAAAAATGAGGGGAAGCCCCTGACACCTGTTTCACGATTTTATCCGAACGTTGTTCGGATCATTTCGGTTTTTATGCACTTCATTATTGTACCGAAGTTTGCCGATTCGATTCGTCGTATTTCGGAATCCTGGTGACAATTTTATACTCCATTTGGAGTATTTTTGATCTACTTCTTATGACGAAAATTCCCGAACCTTGTTCGGATTAATCCGGATTTTCTGACCTACTTTATCTTCCGAGATTTCACGAGTTAACATTCGTCTCATTTCGGAATCCTGGTGACAATTTTATACTCCATTGGAGTATTTTTGATCTACTTCTTATGACGAAAATTCCCGAACCTAGTTCGGATTAAACCGGATTTTCTGACCTACCTTTTCTACCGAGATTTAACGAGTTACATTCGTCTCATTTCGGTATCCTGGTGACAATTTTATACTCCATTGGAGTATTTTTGATCTACTTTTTCTGGATTTTGCCCTACTTATTATTGTGACAACAAGCAAATCAAAAAGTTCGACATGAACGGGTCTCGATCAACTAACCCAGAGCGTGGAAGCCAGGCACGCTAACCATGAGGCCATTGTGCTACCGATATGAAAGAACAAAAGTATTATATATTTATACCGAGCGTCAATTCAAAATGATCCTCACTTTTGACTCCACTTAAAGGACAACTGAAATAGCTTTTCTCAACTTGCAGCTACAAAAATGCGGTTTTCTCCATTGTAAGCCCAACGTGGAGTTCTTGCGATAGCCATTAGAAAATAAATGTTAGATAACTGCTAACGGTCATAGATAACGAAATAAAACTAACTGATCAATCAAATTGGCCCCCACGTGATCAGTAACGTCATATACAAAATATAGCTTTGGTTTATTGGTTCCTTAGTAATCACAACGTCACGGCAACCATAGGATTGTTGTGTAAACAAATAACAAAACATTTTGGCATTATGACGTCATGATCTAATGGACCAAAACGGGCCACGTGGGGACCAGTGAGAGATCACGTGGGGGCCAATAACGTCACAACCAATTCGAATATTGCTTATTAAGCAGCTAATAACGATCGTTAGAGTGAAATAATTTTTACACTGCTGATGAGAAAACATGTCCAAATACATTTATCAAAAAATTATATTGATTCCTTTAGGTTAAAAATACCATTTCATATCTGCTTTAAATACGACTCGTCAGTTGTATCCAGAATAGGTGAACGCCTGGCGCTAGTGAATAACCCAGTCCCAGATGAGTGGTTCGTATCCCTCCCTGATTTACTATTTTTGTTTTATTAAATACGACAGAAAGGAGCAAGGTGTAGTTTGAAAACAAGACGTTAGTTTGTTTCAAAACAGTTTGGAAACATTAATCTCTGATAATTTAAGATTTTCCACTCCTGAAGGGCCTCTAGATCTATGAAAGTCATTAATCAAGACAATGTAAAATTTTTAGATATATGTTATACATTTTCATACTTTAGCCTGTGGAATCAACTAAATACTACATTTTGGATTTCATTGATATCCTGTCATAGTCCTAAAAAATATTTTCTGGAACATTATTTTTTCAACACTGATACAAATTTCCCTGACATTTCCCTGACATATCTACCGTTTCAAAATTCCCGGTCATCTTTGGCCCTTTTGACCTAATTTTAAAATTACCTGATATTTCCAGCACTTGGGAAATTAAGTCAATTTTCCTGACATTTGCAGGTGTGTACGAACCCTGGAAATATCCCAATGGCTCGCCCTATGAATCGCTAGCACAGATTGGATTGATTAGTGTTTCAAAATGGTGGACGAAGTGTTTGATTAGATAATTTACATATTGAGCTTCTTAAAGGGGCAACAAGGCCTGTACATAGAAAATTCCAAATTTTTTATATTTTCTGAATTTTTAGGGCAACATTTGGCTTAACATCTCTTTTTGTACATTTTTTCTTAAAATGTATGGATAAACAATAAAATTTCAGCATTAAGCAGTGCAAATTCAGTTCAAAGCTTCTATAAAGGGAGTCTAACTTAAAGATTTTGAAGATCCGACCCGTTTAAAGAAGAATATCAGCAGCTTAAATCACGCCCGGTGATCATACAAAATGGATGGAGGGGGGGAGTAGGCGATTTCTGTAAGAAAACTCAACAAATTTGGAAGATTTATTTTTTTTCAAATGAATGAATAGGCGCAGTGCATGGCAAAATATGTATGGTCTTCTAGTATTTTTTTGAACTGATACGCTTCTAAGATATGAGATCTATTATAAAAGGTGCATCATCATCAACGTGCAAAAGTCAATGTTTTTGCAATAAATCAGGCAACAATGGTCTACACGACCTGTAATAAATAGGTATGAGGGGCGTTATTATCACAACACTGACATCCCTTAGCAAAAGCGCATGGATTTTTTCCATGCAAAGCACATGCAAAGTCCATGCAATCAGAAAAAATCCATGCGAGTCCATGCAATTCGCTTGGAAAGAGAAGGCTGAACAGAAAACCCATGCACTTATCCATGCAATGCCCATGCAAAGTCCATGCAAATGAAACTTTAAAAATTCCCCAAAATATATTTCCATGCAATCACCATGCAATTCACATGCAGCATGCAACTACCATGCAAAGTCCATGCAATTTTGCATGTATGCGCATGGACTACTGAAATCCATGCAAGAACCATGCAATTTGAATCAGACTGAATCCTAATTCCAAAACGAGGCTCATGCAGCATCTCTTTCAATCAAAGCTGGCTTAGCCATTTTGGTTTTGGTAAGTCTTCAAAAAATCCTATAACATCGGCCCTGATGCAGTTTTACTTTATTTGATTTTGATGTCAACTTTACCATTAGGTATTAGTTGTGCATTTGTTCCAGTTTCATCATCATTGTTCATTTAGTTATCCATTTTCTTAAGCTTCAAATTTCTTTTCAATATATCCATTGAATCTTTCTACCTTTTGTGCTTTGCCTGTTTGTTTTGATCTTTTCACCTAGAATTCATTCTAATCTGAATCATGATGGCATTATATCCTGGGCTGTAATTCAATATGGGTCAGTTTATTTGTATAGGTTTTACATAGGACATATACATTGTACATTCATTAACTCCTTGGAGACTGAAAACTTTTTGGAAAAATGAAGAAAATAAAAAAGTTATTTGTAAAAGAATCTAAAAGCAAGAGAAGGAAGCAAGGCCCAATAAATTATATAGACCCATATTTTATGGGTTTTTTTTGAAAAAATTGAATATGCAAAAGAGTGTCATTGTGACATCATAATTCAAGATGGCGGATTTGAACTTTTTACAAGACAGAATTATTTTAGCATTTTTTGTTTAAAACTTCAATTTAAAAATCTGAGCAGAACTACTTGTATAGATCTTTATAATGCTGATCATTTTGTGATATTTGTACTATAGCATAACTCCTACAAATACTTTTTAAAGCGCTTACAGAAAATTCCAGGAAAATCCCCATGGCGATTTAACATGGGATTTTTGTTTTTGTATTTTTTTGCAATTCGTTATGCTTTGGACCCCCTGTATCTTCATTAATATTATTCTCTGATCACAGTGCTTCAAAATTCAGAATATCTTTGCATTCTCTCCCCCTGCGATAAGCAGTTAGCATTTCGCCAATTAAGGATTAGGTGAACTATGTGAACTAACTGTAAATTAAGTTTAAAATCTGACCAATCAGAATGTGCTCTTGATGTAAATAGGATGTATACTAAAGTGTAAACTGAGTGTAAACTTAGGTGTAAATTAGCTCATTTGCATGTGAAATTGGTCACCTATTTACTGGGTGTAAAGTAAGTGTAAACTGAGTGAAAACTTAAGTGAAAACTAAGTGCGAATTGGATGTAAAGTAGATGTAAACTTAAGTGTAAAGTGGGTGTATACTAAGGTGTAAACTGAGTGTAAATTAAAGTGTAAATTAGCTCATTTGCATATGAAATTGGTGGTGACATTTGTCAGCTTAAATGCCTTATTATAAATGTTGCATTTAGAAGACTTCTGATCACATGGCATCCTTGACCTAATGTGCAGCAGAGGAAGCAGTACTATTATTAACTCTCACAATCTAAAAAAACAGGTGCTCCTTGATTGATTGGCATTGTCAGTAAGGTTGATACTAGTATACGAATTGTATATTACGGGCAGAACAGCAGATGCATGGATGTAGCATGAACCATACAAGTCCATGCAAAATTGCATGTGGATTGCATGGTTTTCGTTAAAACCCATGTAGATACATGCAATTTTGCATGTTAATTAACGTGCTTTGCATGGATTTGAATGGATGCCGCATGGACTTTGCATGGATTTGAATGGATTTTGCATGGACTTTGCATGGATTTGAATGGATGTTGCATGGATCATGCGAGTCCATGCAATATTGCATGTGGATTGCATGGTTTTCATATAAATCCATGCAGATGCATGCAATTTTGCATGGACATTGCATGGAACTTATTAACAATATTTCTCGCAGCCTGCATGGACTTTGCATGTGGATTAACGTGCTTTGCATGGATTTGAATGGATGTCGCATGGACTTTGCATGGATTTGAATGGATGTTGCATGGACTTTGCATGGATTTGAATGGATGTTGCATGGTTTTTTTAAATGAGTTAAAATTCTGCTGCATGTGTTTTGCATGGGTATTGCATGGAAAAATCGCATGGACTTTGCATGGACTTTGCATGCATGCGGTTTTGCTAAGGGATTGCTCACTTTTTAAAGTTGTTTCAATGCGTTATTCAAAAAATAACCCCATTGTTACAAAATCACAAAAAGTGAAATATCTATTCTCGCATTGCATTTTCTTTCACTGGACATATTTTAATTTGCATTGCTATTAGATACATTTTAAGGGTGATATGAAAATTGAACCACGAAAACAGATGTACTTTAAGTTGAAGGGAACTTTCTACCATACCCGCCATGCTATCTGACCCGAACGAGCCACCTTGTGGTGAGACTGGTAACTACCTGCTCGCATAAACATAAACGTGTACACAAGGAAACGATAGGAGCTAACCTATTTTATCTCTGTATACATTTTAACTTTAATACATCTTTACAAAATCTAAACATAATTCGCCAAGGGCCATAGTATCATCGAACGCCAAATACCTAGACATTGATCGTTTACCTTTGAATGAAATTAACTCTGACCTTCGGAGACCAACTTACTAATTAAGGTTAAATGGTGTAGAAGGAGATGTCCCGACAGACAGACAAAATGACAGACAGACCGAACATGCTTTATAGTAGGTCTCGACATCTCCTTTTGCCCTCATACGTGGTGGGCCAGTGAGCGTTCTACTAAGGTCAGAGGTCAAAGTCATTCTAGGTTAAAGGCAGAATCAGATATATGGAGGTGACAAAATTACAAGCAACATGTACAACTGACGTACACTATTCCTTACAAGCTCAAATACAATATCTCACAAAATATTTACGATATGTTAGAAATTGATGAAGTTATAATAGATTAAAAGTGCAAAATTGTAAATAATAAGTAACCATTCTTATAGAAGAAATATACAAAAGTCATTGTTGTAAACTCTTTAGTTTTCCTGAAATAAAGTGTGCACTTTTCGGATTGAAATATATAATATTCTAAAATTGAAACAATTTTTTTGTTAGACTGCTTGCTAGATCCGATTCTCTCTTTAAAATGTCAATATCTAGGTTTACGCGTTTTTTACTCTTGGTCTGAGATTCGACCCATGATTAGGTGACCTGAAGTCAAGGTCATTCCTATGTAAAATATCAATATCTAGGTATTTGATGATTTAAAGTCCTTTGGGCTGCTGTGACCCTTGGCAACCAATGATTAGGTGAACTGAGTTCAAGGCCAATGTTACTGTGTCAAGTTTGTTTCAAGATCAAAAATTAATATCTAAGTATTTGGCGTTGTAAGGACCTTGAGGGCTACAATGACCCTTGACGACACATGATTAGGTGACCTAAGGTCAAAGTCAATGTGTATTGGCCAACATTATTTCAAGGTCTAATCTAGGTACTAGTATCTGGCGTTTCACGAGGTTTCAACAAGTTCATCTCAATTCAAAAATCAGTCAAAGTCAAGTTATACGTAGTAGGTACGAAAAATTTCGAACGGAATGCGTGACATATACAAAATTTCGAACGGAATGCGTGACATATACGTAATTCGCGTGAAAAGTCCGAACGAAATGCGTACATTTTTTTTCCGGCGTTCGTATTTTTGCTGTGTAGACGATCTATTTTAGAAATTTTTCTACAGAAATATTTTTGCGTGACAATTACCAGGTAAAATGCGTATTTGCGTGACATTTTCTGTCACGCAAAAATAACTGGCGTGACTTCAAATTCTTCAGCAAATGCGTGACAAATACGCAAATTGCGGGACAGTTGACAGGCCTGCATTTGCTGCGAGTATTTTGTTCAAAATTGAATACATTTCTGAACACAATACTCAAGCGGCCGGGCGCCGTAGTGAAAATCGGAGCAAATGTGACCAAGACATAAAACAATTGAATAATACACAACTGTATCAGTTTCACATTTACCGCGGTCAAAAGCATTTACAAAAATACCGCCAGAGTTGGCAATCATATAAAATGAAACCAATCCCGCTGTGATTCATAGAAATAACAAATTTACTGCATTGAGCTCAATGTTATAACCATGTCGATTTACATGAGTGTCCGATTCATTGTACCAAATTTAAACCTTGACTGTTCTCCAGAAAGCAATAAGCTGACATACAGTTGGGGACATAAATAAATGACAGGTGGATTTGCTGAAGTGAGGATTTCCCATGTTAAAAATAAGAGAATTTACAAGAGGCCATAAATCAGTGGATGAGATTATACAAAATGTAAAATATACAAATTTTAAGGGATATGTATCTAGACAATATTGGAAATTATGGGCTTTCAGACCACCATAATTAGGAAATGGTGATCGAAAATCGACCTGTCATTTATTTTTGTCCCCAACTGTATATCATATTTTACATTTTAATACAACTGAAAAGATAATAAATGATTTAATATAAAGTTGACGTAGTTATAAATGTTTTCAGCGTAAAATCAATGCACAACCATATAATTAAAAAAATTAAAAAATACGCTGGGATTCCAACTGGATACAACTGACGAGTTGTATTTCAGGTGGCCTGAAGTGCTGCTTATTTTTTCGTGAAGCCACTCAGTAAAATTACGATTTCTCTGCACCCTGGTGTTCAATCAACATCATTCGAGTATCTATATGTTCCTGACACGTTCTGGCATCCGTTATGACAACGTCTACCCAATGTTTGCACGAGAAATTGACGTAATTCATGACTGAAATCGGGAAGACAAAAATATGTGATATTCTTTCAGAATTGTTTATAATAACTATATACAAAAACGTTCCCGAGACACAATCCATTTAGGTAGGGTTTGTTTTAAAGTCGAAAAGCCCCAATAAGACAATACAAACCCAGATTAAACCCGGAAGAATGCAGATTTCATGTAATGATTTACGTTCATGTAAACAAGTAAAGTACATATTATCCCCATATAAAACACGGGCCTACGTGACATGTAATAACAGGTTCAAATTGAAATTTATAAAATTTTCAACATAGCATTTGCTTCCGTATTCTGTATGCCCCTCTACCTGCTTAATAAGGCAATGTATCTTCAAATAAAACCTTAGCCAAGTAGATTAGAGTCTCTGGAACACTTTTGTAAATAGTTTTCACAAGCAATTTTGTTTGTGAATCTCAAATTTTGTCTTCCCGATTTCAGTCATGAATTACGTCAATTTTGCGTGCAAACTTTGTGTAGACCTTGCTATTCCCGGACGCCCAAACGTGTCAGGAACACATATATGTTTGAATGATCTTGATTGGACATATATATCAGGTTGCAGAGAAATTGTATTTTTACTGAGTGGATTAATGAATTTCATAGATCTAGAGGCCCTTCAGGAGTGGAAAATCTTAAATTATCAGAGATTAATGTTTCCAAACTGTTTTGAAACAAACTAACGTCTTGTTTTCAAACTACACCTTGCTCCTTTCTGTCGCATTTAATAAAACAAAAATAGTATATCACGGAGGGATACGAACCGCTCACCTGGGACTGGGTTATTCACTAGCGCCATAGGCGTTCACCTATTCTGGATACAACTGACGAGTAGTATTTAAAGGAATCCAACACCTTACAAAACTGCTTAACTGAGAGGAATAAAGGAAAATGCTTGCCGGATTCTGAATCTCTGTATTTTTTAATGATTTTTCACCGTCTTAGAATTTCAATTTTTTCCTTTGAAAAAATGAGATTTGCATTCAATTGTTTTCCAATTTACTCAAGGGGCGAGGAGGGAAATTCTCAATAAATGGAGTATAGTTGGTTTGGCAGCATTTTCAGTTAGGGGAGAGTCTTGGATGAAATTTCCACCTAGGTGATAGCTTCACAGAGTGGTAGGAAGTTCTTTCTTTGAAGAGTTAGCCCCCTACCCCACAAAAACACCCCACCCCGGGGAAAAAAAATTGTTCACACTAAATAACCTTAGATATTTTGATGTTTGTAAGTGACATACAAAGATATCATATATATGAATCATTTGCAGTATAATTGATGCTGATTACTCCTAAACAAATTGAATATTAGTACAAAGTGTGTACCCCAGGGGGCAAATTCGTGACCCATTTCCTTACTATTTTGATCCTAACTTTTCAACTAGACACTGTAAGAGGTTGAAAAAATTCGTGTGAAGTGCCCAATAGCAGGGTTAGTAAACCTGAAAGATGCAAAGCCATGGAAGAGGTAGAAGCTGAGAAACAAATTGTTGATTTTTCGAAAAATTTAACATTTTTGACAGCTGGATTTTGTGTATGACTATAGCTGACCCCTATAGTTCCTGGACCCATCCCTCTATGATGATATATATGGTTTTATAGTGTGGAACTAAGATGTAAAACATAATTAAGATGGGTTTTAAGGAGGTTTAAGGTTTTAAACAAGTCCAAAATTTGAAAAATTGTAAATATAAGGTTTCAAATTTACGAATTCCAGGTAAAGCCATGGCAGACCCCTATAGTTTCTAGATCCATCCCTCTATGGTGATAGTTATGGTATTGCTGTATGGAACTAATATGTAAAACACAATTTAGATGGGTTTTAAGGAAGTTTAAGGTTTTAAACAAGTTCAAAATTGTAAATTTAAGGTTTCAAATTTACGAATTTCAGGTATAGCCATGGCTGACCCTTATGGTTTTTACATCCATACCTCTATGATTAAATATACAGTTTTAGGGTGTGGGACTAAGATTTAACATATCCAAAATGAAGAATTGTAAATATAAGTTTTCAAATTTATGAATTTCAGGTATAGCCAAAGATGACCCTCATGGTTTTTTTTACATCTTTACCTCAGTGATGAGATATATATTTTTAGAGTATTTAACTAAAATGTAAAAGATGCATAATATGAGTTTGAAGGAAGTTCAAGGTTTTAAACAAGTGCAAAATTTGAAAAATTGATCTCGAAAATTTGTCTCAAATTCACGTTATTCAGGTACTGCCTTGAATGAGCCCTGATAATCGAAGGTTATGAGCATAATAGTAACAACTGTGATATCATAGCTTAGAGACCAGGTGTAGAATATATACCTGTTGCAGCAGTTAGTCTGCTGCATATAGATGGAGTGAAAAGTCATGAACTACAGTAAAATCTTTCTAATCTGAATGCTACTAGATATAGTATTTGGACCAGCTAAAAGCGTTCAAATTAGAAGTGTTGGAATTTTGAAGTTTTTACATCTGCAATATTCTGGATTTAGAAGAAATATGAATGCATTCTCAATGAAAAATATTAATAAATATTAATAATATTTATACTGATCACCCAAAAAGCTTAATAGCATTCCAAAATCCAATTCAAAAGTTTTGACATCATAACAATTCAGTGTTAAACTGACAATATTTGAGCAATTTTGTAAGAAATATGTGATATTTGGTAAAAAAAAGTTCAAGTTAAACAGGTTGATTTTTCATATATGAGTGTTCACTGTTCAAATTAAGAGGTGTTCAGATTTCAATTTTTAAACACAGGAGTCAATGGGAGGAAGAAAAAATTGAACTGGGGAAAAGTGTTCAGATTGGTTGGTTTTCAGATAAGTCAGGTGTTGGGATGATTGGTAGGTGTTCACAATAGTCAGATGTTGGGATATACAGGTTTCACTGCTGATATATCATTTATACAAGATGATGAACTAGAACTACTGTACTAGGTGCCTTTGATAATTTTTACCACAATGTTATACTATGTCAGGAAAAGAAAGCATCCATGACACTGTGCTTGTACAACTTGAAAATCAACAACACTTTAACATTTGATAAAGGTGTCTTCCAAATGAGTAATCCACATAAATTCAAAAACAAGCACTTGGCATGCTATTCCCTATGATCATTAGTTTCATTAGTTTCTCTAGAATCTAAAATTGACCTTGGGTTTATGAGAGAAGTAAATTGGAATGCAGTTATATGAAATATCGAATTGGCTGGAATTGGACACACCTTGCCTAGAAATGTGTGAGTAAACTATGATCTTATATGGATACAAACAGTTCGTTTGACAATGATCATCTATCTATCTTATCCTGTAAAATCAGAACTTAAAAAGGGATTTGAAATGGAGATCGATGAAACCATACCACAAATTCATAAAACTTTTGTGATTGATGCAATGGCTATGACAAAGGGAAAATGAAGATTAACTTATATGTTGAAATTTGGAGAGTTTTGGAAAGCTATATTTGACTACTCCATCAAATCTAGTTAAGGAGCCCAAAGAATAGATTTCATATTAGACTCCTAGCTAGTTGTCTCCATCAGTAGAGGATTCTGAAAGAATGCGAAGAATGGATGCTTCCCCTATTGAACTTTAATCCATAGAAGAAATTACACCATTACCTAAAAATATGAATACCTTTGTCCAAGTAATATAAGACAAATTTTCAAAGATTACAAAGAAATTCAACTAGATGATGGCAACTCCGCGGAGTAGCAAATCCCAACGAACAAAATATCAATTACCGAATTCCAATCAATTATACTCATTACTTTGGTTAAAATTGAAAAATTTAGATTTTAGAATTGCGAATTCCTGCAAAGCAGCCATTTTGAATTTTCTGAGGTACAAATCTGAAAAATAATACCATAATTGTGATCTACTCCAAAATTCCTTCAATTTGAGTATTATATAGCCATACGTTGAAGGGATCGAAAAATTATTGCGAAATCGTACATTAGATGGCCATTTTGAATTTTACGAGGCTCGAATCAGAAAAAAGATACAATATTTGCAATCCACTCTTAATTGCCTTTGATTTGAGTATAATAAAGCTATACTTCAGAAAGATTTTAAAAATTAGCGAAAATTTCTGTTTTCCTGACCCCCATACACGGCCCCTGGGGGTCAGGATGAAAAACACTGAATATATGTGGAATAGATAGATGTTGCGAATATACTACCAAAATTTCAAACAATAATATTAATTACTTTGGTTTAGAATGAAAAATTTATGATTTTTGCGAAAAAGTCCCGCCATTTTTAAAGCGGCGGCCATCTTGAAAAAAATGACACTGATATTATAATTTTATGACTATCATTTCAATAAATGAAAAAAATTGTTCAACTATGCTAGAAAATGTCATCTGCAAAGTCACTATGTAAAGATTTTCTACAATGTCTGTTTGTTTGAAACATATTGATCATATCACCATAAATACTTTTTTGATCTACATAAAGATTTTAATGTGACAAGACCCTCTTACCCTAGAGTTCCTTATATCATTGCACTAACGGAAGTTTCTAGGCCCAGGTGGGAATAAGATCCTTATAATCCTTATTTTACCAAATAATTACTGTTGCCAGATGACAAATTGTTTTATTGGGAGTGTAGTGATTATAATTTGATAATTCATAACAACATTTTGTATTAGGAGATGATCATTGCTTAATTACAGAAGGGGCATAACAAAATATAGAGAAAACATGTTTCTTTTAATTAACCATGTCTTTATGTATTTTGATAACGCAGAACCTTACATCGAACATGTTGATGTGAAAAAGTAAAAATGCTATATCACATAATAAATATCATGAAATAATAATTAATTAGTTATAATCCATTTAATCAATCAATTACTACACTGTATACGATATCCGTAGGAGCAGTTACACTTACTGGGGGATTTATTAACCTCTCACCCCCTTAGGAACTCAAGGGTTAAGTCCTCAACTCTAATGATTTTTCTTTTAACAATACATGTAACATGGATCAAACCTGACCACAATATTTTCAACATCTAATTTCTAAGCTAAGTCATACATTCAAAAAGAGGGACATCCAGGGCTATACCTGAAATCGTAAAGGAGGACTGAAAGTATCGCAACAGATTTCAGCAATCATATGTTGGATTTTGGCTATTTTCTGAGGATTTGAGGAGGTAAATATGTTAGGCCAATGCATTTCCTCCAGGAAAAGCACCCATAGAGATGATAAAATAATTTATATTTTGAGACAGGGAAGGTGCAAACAACCCACCCACATGCATAAATATATATGTGTATATGTATAAATATATGTGTTTTTACATACAGTTAACCCCTTTAAATGAAAAATACATTCCATCAGGGATTTTAAAGATATCAAATATGGGTGACCAAAATTAAGCTGAAAGCAATGGATCACATGAGTTTTCCCTATGGGAAAATAACAGGAAAATATTGTTTTCCGCTTTATCTAAAAGAAATTTATCCTTTTAATGGTTAACTATGTCTCAAAACGCAACATATTGATGCAACAAAAATTGAAAAACCAGGGGTGAACGGGGTTGAAAATCAGGACGACATTTCCCAAAAAACATGTGGGTGGGTTGTTTTCACCTTCGCTTTCTCAAATTCCAAACTATTTTATCATCTCTAAGAGTTCTTTTCTCGTAGGTAATGCAATGGCCTATCATATGCACCTGCTTAAATCCTCAGAAAACAGACAAAATCCAACATATGACTGTCTGGAACTGTCTGTTGCGATACTTTCCGTGCTCCTTTGAGACCTGATATTTCTCAATTTTTCAAATATTGCACTTGTTAAAATTCTTAAACTTCCTTAAAATTCATCTTCGGTATGTTTTACATCTTAGTTTCACACTCTAAAAGTATATGTTTCATCATAGAAGTATTGATGAAAAAGCCATAAGGGTCATCCATGGCTATACCTAAAATTCGTAAATTTGAAACCTTATATTCACAATTTTTCAAATTTTGGACTTGTTTTAAATCATTAACTTCCTTAAAACACATCTAAATTATGTTTTACATCTTTAGTTCCATACTACAAAACCATAAATATCATCAAAGAGGGATGGATCTAGAAACTATAGGGGTCAGCCATGGCTATAGCTGGAATTCGTAAATTTGAAACCTTACATTTACAATTTTTCGAATTTTGGACTTGTTTAAAACCTATAACTTCCTTAAAACCCATCTAATTTATGTTTTACATCTTAGTTTCACACTATGAAAGCATAAATATCATCAAAGATGGATGGATCTAGAAACTATAGGGGTCAGCCATGGCTATACCTGGAATTCGTAAATTTGAAACCTTATATTTACAATTTTTCAAATTTTGGACTTGTTTAAAACCTTTAACTTCCTTAAAACCCATCTAAATTATGTTTTACATCTTAGTTCCACACTATAAAACCATAAATATCATCATAGAGGGATGGATCTAGAAACTATAGGGGTCAGCTATAGTCATACACAAAATCCAGTTGTCAAAAATGTCAAATTTTTCGAAAAATCAACAATTTTTTTCTCAGCTCCTACTTCTTCCATGGCTTTGCATCTTTCAGGGTTACTAACCCTGCTATTGGGCACTTCACATGAATTTTTTCAACCTCTTACAGTGTCTAATTGAAAAGTTAGAATCAAAACAGTAAGAAAATGAGTCACGAATTTGCCCCCTGGGGTACACACTTTGTACTGATATTCAAATTCTTTAGGAGTAATCAGCATCAATAATACTGCAAATTATTCATATATATAATATCTATGTATGTCACTTAAAAACATCAAAATATCTAAGGTTATTTAGTGTGAACAATTTTTTCCCCAGGGTGGGGTGTTTTTGGGGGATGGGGGGCTAACTCCTCAAAAAAAAGAACTTCCTACCACTCTGCGAAGCTATCACCTAGGTGGAAATTTCATCCAAGACTCTCCTCTAACTGAAAATACTGCCAAACCAACTATACACCATTTATTGAGAATTTTCCTCCTTGCCCCTTGAGTAATTAGAAAAATGAGTAAACATGAATAGCTCGAAATCTAACGGTGAGATTTTGTTTTAAAAAATCATGGATATCAAGGCTAAATATAGCTATACAATAAACATAAAAAAAGCAATGCTTGGAGTCTTCATATTCACACAAAAAATTAATTAGTAAATGAGGTTTGATATTTGTGAGAATAAGTTGTACAAGGTGCAATGCTCTACAAACACCAGACTACAGGGTGGATTAGGATCAATGACACACATAAAAATTAATTTAAAAATATTTCATTTTTGTTATAAAGATGACCCATAGCTTTACTATTGACTTGCCACAGTCAACGTTGAGCGAGCACATTGGGCAACATCAGAAAAACCCAAAATACAGAATAATATTCTATGATGTTAATATGGTGTGTATATGTAAGCCACATCTAATACAATTTTAAAGTAATATTTCATTTTGCTGAGGGATATTAATCTTTTTATTCCATTATAACAGTTTTCCAGGGGATTAACAGTAAAATATAAAAGCTATTGAAAATCCCATTTCAGATCCCATATCAGAAAAATCACTTATTGAATCCTGTATCTGATTCCATATCAGCCAAAAATCTGAGCTAGATTTGCATCACCACAAAAATACATTTTTGTTGCGGACAATACTACATCACGCAATCTTTTTTTATAAAGATATTTGGAGAGATTGCATGGTGCAGAGTCATCTGTAACGAAGAATCCTCATTGCATCAAAATTCTACAAGTAATATCTGAAATGATAATGCAAAAATGGTGCTGATACAAAAGTAAAATGGGAGAATGAGTATGGAAGTTTCAGAGAAACAAATCATAAATTGGTCATTGTCTTTGTCTTTCCAAATCTTCAACAGAGTCACAAATTCATGGAAATAGATAAAACTAGAAACAAGATGACAACCATAAAAGCAGACAAAAATTAAAGACAATATCCATGAAAGAATAAGACTGCTTGTTCCCTCATTGCTTGAAACTATTTTAGCTGGAAAGATTTAACGAAATTTGCTATTTTCGCAACTACTGCTTTTCGATTGGTGCCTCTGGCACTTCCATACTCATCCTTTTCACCTAAAAGTAACTCAAGTCCTTTTTCACCTCGTCTTTTAAACGCCAATTCAAGATGGTCAGAATTGAGACCAGACGAAGCAATTTTTGTTGCAACAGTTTTAGTAATGACACTGCCTGAGATAAGTGGCAAAAGAGAATTGAGGTTCTTTTGTTCTTCTGACTTGCGTGTCAATTTCAGATATACATCATGTAGAGAAAAACTGCACCCCATTAGAATTGATTTATTGATAGAACTTTGCTCGACCATATCTCGCAATGCCTCACAGTCATCTTTTGCATTGTGTGCATTGAATGAGGCCTTCATAATATACTCGTATAAAGTACCCTGACTGTATCTATGGACCTTTCCTTTATATGCCTCCTTCATTGGGCCTAATGTATCTGAAAATCCTACAACACTATTTTCGAATCGTTTGAGGAGCTTGTTCTCAGATACATGATATGCTAGTCTCGGGGCATCAAAGACTTTTGCGTTATGCCCCACAAGAAGGACAGGCGCAAGAGGTTCCAACCATTCGATGAGCCTAGTAAGGCCTTCTTTTATTAAGACACTTTGCACAACATTTCCCTTATACAAGAGATCTCCTTTGTCGTTTCCTGTGAGAAGGGTGATTTCACTTGCTTTCTGATCTAAAGGTAGGAGTGGTGTGATGTATTGATTAAAGGATGCCGATTTTGTACAACATGCTATTTGAAGAATTTCTGCATTGGAGTAGAGGGAGGCCATTTCTAGATCAAAATAGACTATTGTAGCACTTGTGTGCTCAAGAGGACTGTAAAGAGGAAGAGGAATAGGTGGAGGAATTTGGAGTATATCTTCAGGCATGACAGTCATAGTATCTATTTGAGGACAATAAGTTTTACCCTCTCGTAACTCTGCCGTGCTATTTTTTGAAGTAGAAAGACGCTTGAATGACAACCTTTTTCGTTTTGCTTCAATCGTGGTACGTTTGAACTGGGAGCATTTTCTTTTCAAATCTCTCTTTTGTTCTACTTCTTGATAGTGTTTCCCTGGTGACAAGTTACATGAGGTAAAGACATCTTTAAGGTAGTCACCACCAATGTTCTTTTGAGAAACTGCACAATTAACTCTCATATCAAGAGCATTTGAAGAACCGTAGTGTTTGTTTTTTGGAGCCTTTGAAGCAACCATTGAAAAGAAGCTTTCACATTGCATGAGTGGCAAGATTTTCAAACACTTCATGTAGAGCTGCTTTCAATAATTGATTGGTGAGGTCAGCACCACCTGGTAAATTGCTGTGTCTGTAATTGGCATTATCTTTAGCTTTACACCAGGAGGGGCAACGTGTGTGCTCCCCAAAGGCATGCGGTACAATTACTCTGAGGTTGAGTTTGAGTGTATCACTGTTACCCTTACATTGTTCTACTGCGATTGTAAAATTGGATGTAAAGTATTTAACATGTTCTCTCTTAAAATCTTTGTTATATTTTGACTGTATTTTGAACAGTTTGTTAGTTAAATTTTTCTTAGTATGCCAAATGTCACTGTTCTTTGTAATATCATGGGAGACTGAATTTCTGACGCGTGCTATCGTTGTTGCATCGTCATCCATTGTCAATGAACTAATATGGACATTATCTTTTGTTTCCAAATTCTTAAAAATTGCTACCGCTGCTTCGGGTTCCATGCCCTTTGAACTTCCATGATAATTGGTATTACATGCGTGCCTAGGTACATTGTTTTTCTTTACTATGTGGTGGATACATGTGGCACAATCCTTTTTTTGTACACTGTTACCTATTATTTTTTGGGTTTTTTCCCCCATTACAACTCCAACCCCAGATTTACTGTTATATGCCCGGCCAGCTCCTCTCTTCTGCCACCCCATATCATATTTGGTTGTTATTTTCACTAGATTAGCTTTATTTGGAGAGTCTTTGGTATCATTTGCAGTTTTGATAGAGGGTTCTTTTGACTCATCTTTTGTTTCATTGGAAGGTGTGTTTGTATGATTTTCATCCTCTTGGTCTGGGTTGGTCATTACTGGGTTCTCACTGAAATATATTGATAAAGTTGGGCTCGGTAAAAAGGTAATTACATGTAATCTCATAAGTTCTCATAATGCATTTTCCATCATTTTACTAGTTTTAACCCAATTTTTGGAAACTTAAATGCAACAATTTGGATCCAATTTGCAATTTAACATTGATATCTTCAAGGAATGGTTGATATTATGGCAATCAGTTGACAGGCAACACAGAGCAGTTACTTTGTTCATGTATTTTTCCAGTTTTCATTTCTGGTTGTTTGTCTTTCGGACTTTGGGAAACACACCTTGGCAGAGTGAATACATGTTCATCTTTCAATGATTCTATCAAGGTGTATTTCCCGAAGCACAATTCAGTCTTACACTGCACAAAAAACACCAATCCTGTTGAATAAGTTCGGGGAATGCTATTTATTTACCAACACAGGATTTTTTTGCAATGAAGTCAAATTCATGGTTACTGACGAAACTAGGATATGGTTGTACCTTATGTTTCCAGTTTTCATTTCTGCCTGCAGTGCAGATTCACAGCTCTTGACGGCTACATTTTTTATTGGACTTGAAATTTCTTCTGATCGGTGTGCAAAAGTAGTTCTTGACATGAAGGGTATTTCCATTGCACTCATGAGTTTTTCAGCTTGTTCGAATGCTAAGCCAGTGTGGCAAATTGCTGGAATTGTTTCAAAAGATTCAATTATGTAAGGCTTGCTGCATGTTTAAATATAATATTATTATTCTATAAAACGCTCATGAAACTGTATCAAAATAAATTGTTATCTACTGTATTCCCAGTCTAAATTGTCTGTCGATATTTTTGCAATAATTTTTCAATCGTTGGGAGTGGAACAAAATGTACACATTGTAATTATTTTATGATCCGAGTCCTTACTTATTATGTTCACATTGGGTTAAAGTAGTTAGGCCTAATAAACCAGAAATAAGGTATTTTAACCCTTTCCCGACGTGAATATAAGAGGAAAATGTTGTCCCCAGTGACGGATAAGTAAGAGTGTTTTTTAGGGGAAAACTGCAAAATAGCTATGCCCTGGGACCTATACCTTGGATTTCATCACTGATATACAACTTGTCAAAATTTGGTGTAAAAATACTGAATAGAATTTGAGATATTGTCATTTTATTGATGTATATAAATAAAATAATGGTGCCAAAAGGAGCCTATCGTCCTGAAAGGTATTACATTATAGGGCTCCATATGGAGCCTATCGTCGTGAAAGGGTTAAAGGAAAATTTTGATAGGATTATGACTGTCAGAGTATTGTTTCTCTGACGTCACAGTTCATTCCAGCACTTTTAAAGCCTCCATTTCTGTGAAAAATGAAAAATAAACTCTCTGGACTAATGGATCTTTTTTTGTATTTATCAAAAAGATGTGGACTGAATCAACAAAAGGTTAGTGGAATAAGTTAGGTTCTTGATCAAACATCATGTTAGGTGAGATTTTCAATCACGATGTGCCAACAAGGGCTTACAAGAGCAAATAAGAAAATCCAGTGAAAACTCACTGAAAAAATACAAATGCCCGGAGTTAGGTTCCATAATCCAGAAAAATGCATGTTGATTTTGGAAGGTATAAATAGTACCATGGGTACTGGGCTCACATGGTGTTGCTCAAAAGTGAATGATGGCTAAAATGGCAGAAAATAAAAAACTGATGTAATTTTTTGCCGATTTTTTGTATCAAAATTATTTCATACAACTCCTCTTTACAGTGACATGGCTTTTTACAATGCTGGACAGCTGAAATTGTTTATAAAGCTAGCAAATGGTCCAAAAGTGAATTTTGTGAGACAAAAATGGTGGCCATTTTGAAAATAGGCGAGCTTTTGAATCAGGAGTCAGAGGGAGGTTTTCTATATTTAAGTTGAACAAAAATTACTTAAAATGGGAATCCTATTGACAGAAGTTTTAAAACGTGCCACTATTCTGGACTGACTGAGAGACAGATGGACAAATCAATGTTAACTAAAATGGCTGAAAATAAAAAAAACGGATATCATTTCTTGCAGATTTTTTTGTAACAAAATTATTTCATACAACTACTCTTTACAGTGACATGGCTTTTTACAATGCAGGACACCTGAAATTATTTATAAAGCTAGCAAATGGTCCAAAAGTAAATTTCCCGAGACAAAAATGGTGGCCATTTTGAAAATAGGCAAGCTTTTGAACCAGGAGTCATAGGGGTGTTTTCGGTATTGATGTTGAATAAAAATAACTTAAAACGGGAATCCTATCGACAGAGGTTTTAAAGCAAATGGTCTAAAAGTTGATTGTTGACAGACAGACGGACAGACAGACGGACAAGTTAGTGATTGCAATAGCTCACCATGTGAGCTAATAAAAATATGATAGTGTAAATACATCCCAGTTGACAAGGAGTCAAACCTAGCTCAAATATTGTCATGCCACGTCATATAACAAACCAATGTCAACGTATCCATGGTATCAGTCATTTGAGTCAAAAATTGTCATGTGACGTCATATAGCAAACCGATTGCAATGACCACGTATCCATGGTATCAGTCATTTGAGTCATTGAGGTTTCCATAGTACTAACACTGAAGTCATGAGTCATAGAGTAGGATCACGTCACGATGTCACGTGAACCATGATATCCTGATCGGTGTTGGGCATTTGTAAAAAATCGACAGACAATTTCGACTGGGAGGGCCTTATTTATATTGCATTATTACCACCTTGCCGGGCCAGTTCTAGGGGTTTTAGTGCTAGATGAGAAGGCGTTTATTTTACTATATCGACCTGAGAAATGTGTGACGTCATAGTGGTGGTCCATATGGACCGGTCTAGAATATATTCTGGACCGGCAATTTTCCCCGGGAAATAAGATATCGTTCAATGCGTAAGATTTTCTTGCTGTTTCAGTCCTGGTCGTTAACGGTGGTAATAATACTAATAACGTCATTTCTGCGAGCAATATAGTGAAATATTGGACATTGGGCCTTCGGCCCTCGGTCCAATATTTCACTATTATATCATTGCTAGAAATTGTGTGATTTGATTGGTCGAGTCAGTACCATGTGATCAAAAATACCATAACGTATTTCACAGCTCCCTCAATTTTAGGATAATAAAAGACGTATTGCCCGGCGTATTGCCCGCCCGGGAATTCTGACAACTATACTGGACGAAAATAAAGTGTACCATTCAATGATACTTGTACGTAATTATGTTCACTTATGGATTAATGATATATTAATTGATTAAAATAAATGATCATAGGGAATGTCTAGCAATGATATAATAAAACAAATATTTCATTCTATGTTCGGGCAATACCTGTTGCACTTTCAATGATTTTTGCAGTCATGTATTTCCCTCGCCCTACGGGCTGCGGGCAATACATACCGCAAAAATCATTGAAAGATGAACAGGTATTGCCCTCCATAGAATGAAATATTTGCTTAATATCGCCCTTAGAAATGACGTTATTGTACTATTGTTATGTTTCCATGACGTCACAGTGAAATTAATAAGGTAAGACTGAGTAAATGCTGCCAAGAAAATCCTTTTCACAGCGTTGCGCTCATGTTTTGACAAATGTGGCTCACTATCTGATATTATTATAAAAAGGTCTAAGGGCTAATTTAAGAAATATCTTCTCAAAATTTGTGTTTTTGGATTGTGACAAGCAACACTTCAACCTGGCACAATACACTGTGCTACAAAACTGGCACAAATATACAACTATGGGAGAGAACTTTTCTCAAAGAGAAGGCTCCTAGGAATTCGGTTATCGACTAATACGGTTCTAGTACGGTTATGCAATAAGCCTACCTGCTGAAACTTTACTATTAATATCAAATATCTTAGTAGGCTGTGTTGATCCTATTCGTTTGTGTCTTTTTCCGCTGTAAACATTTGTGTCAATATTACATTTTTCACAGCGTATTTGAAAACAGCTCCCGAGTCCCATTTTAGTCTCATGAGAAATATTTGAAAGTTTAAGGGGTGTTTTACATGTAAAACAACCCTTTTCTAATTGAGCTGCTATCAGGTCGATTTCAACTATCATTCTACCAGGAACATTTGCCAAATCTGAAATTTA